CTATTGAAATTCTGTCCTTTGTCAGTTTCCCAGTTTTTGAACATCCTGTCCCTGAGTTCCTTTGTATCTTTCACCTGCCTGCCTCCTGTTCTTTCTCCGGTTCTTGCTCCATGAATCAGGATACCTCTTACGTTTTCTTCCTCTAACAGGAAGATCTGCAGTAACAGTGTTGTTGTTCACGTCCATGTCTTCACTTCCAGATGAGTTCTCAAGTTCAGGTTCTTGCAGCCCTACTGATAAGGTGTTGTTTACAGGCTCCTCCACCATTGTTGCCATTTCCACTGTCTCTGCAATTTGCTCACAAACAAATCCAGTTGATTCAACTTGGATGTTCAGAGCTCCAGGTACACTTGATTCCATCTGGATAATAGGTTCAACCTCAAAGATTTCTGCTGGTCCTTCAGAGTCCCCCACTTCATTAATCAAAGATATAACTGTTTCAAGATCCATTGTTCCATTCATGATTTAGACTCTAATTCTATACCGGCAATCAACAAACTCTTCCTCTATATAAGAAACAAAGTCTGCTTCGGCAAAAGAATCTTCCAGGCTGAGATCAAAGAAATGTAGAGAGGAGAAGTAAGCAACACTCAGGAACTCAATACGGTTGTCAAGGGTGAGTTCAATACCAAATGCCTCCAAGACGAAACATTTCTTTGTGAAAGTGAATATTTCAGTTAAACATGTCGGTGTGACCTTTGTGTAGTTCACGTTCAGGTGCTCAACCTTCAAGCAAGATTTGATAATCAAAAAGTCTTCATTAAAAAGATGGATGCAACATTCAAGATTTAGCAGTTCCAGATTTGGCAAACTCACCAGAAAGGCAAGAGTTGATACCTGAATGCCACTAATATTAAGCTACTTTAGTCCTTCTGCTCTTAACAGGCCTGTCACAAATATGTAGTCAATTACCGATACTGGACAATCAACAACCGTTAATGGGATTTTAAGACTTTTGAAATACCCTTTTTTAAAAAAGAGTTTATGTAGCTGGGATGCGGGAAATGGAATTCAAAATCTTTCAAAAGTTTCGATGATTGATGAGTGAGACAGTTGAAGTGTTTCTGCACAGTAGATCTGCCAGTGACAGGAAAGAGAATACATGAACTACGATCTCATCTGGCAATGTTTGTATCATTTCCTGCTGCTAGAACACCTGAAAACATGAAAGAAATGCATGTCATTTTACACAAATGTTCTATGTCCATTGTGCAGTATGTATGAGGATAAATATTTTAATTTAGAACCAGACTATTCTATCTCCGAAATAAAAGTAAAAGGGAAATGTGAATACTTCTGTACATCAATATTTACTGTGATTGTTAAATGTCAGTAACAATATGTAAACAATTATATTTGCACCGTCATGAAATGTTCAGAAGCTCATTAATATTATGAAACATGAAAAAAAGTCTCCTACCTTGTGCATGTGACTTCAATCCAACGTTGGAACCAGAGTGTCCTATCTCCATGTCACGTGACAAATACGAATATAATCATTGGATGTTCACATAGAACACTCTAGAACTGAAAGTCTGTTAAATTTGTGGAGATAGAACTGAGCCCATCTGTGAAAAAACACATTTCCTGGCACTGTTTCGCTTTGAAACTAGATATGGAGATAGAATAAACAATGAAAATAGACCGAACACCATTAACTCAATTTTCACCCAAAGTGGAGATAGAACACTTTGGTTCTCAGGCGTATATATATATATATATATATATATATATATATATATATATATATATATATTCTTTATTTCCTCCAGAAGTTTATCCGAAGATTATACACAATTAATCAAACGCATTCACACAAACTCATATTACCTGTACATATATACAATACAAGACAAGACAAGACAAAATATCAGTATAACAGATTCTCATGTAACTGTATCAATACATTGTGAAAACTGAGTATCAGCACCAAAGAAAAATGACAACATATCTTCATCATCTTGTAATTCCAACTGGACATAGGTTTCAACATCAAGCAGATCAATAAAAGTTGAAAACAGTTCATTTCTTTCCTGCAGTAGAGCTTCACAATGTAATATGATGTCATTATCATAATCAAAGGCATGCTTGTTACACAATAAACAGTCTCTGGAAGTTTTGTTTCGTGAAGAAACTCTAACCCAAAATTTTAAACTTAACCTCTGTTCTGGGTACAGATATGCTAGTTGCCATAATATATGGTTATTAAGCTTTGTGTGTATTAGCATGAAGCGTGAAAGACCTGTATTGACAGAAATTTTTCTGCGCCAATATTTTCTTCATATTCATAATCGGTTTTATTAACCAGTTGCTTCGAGTTTCTCTTTGTAGGAAATACACCACAGCTTACATATGTACAAAGGTTGTTTCGTAAGTTATACTTGTTAAGAACTGATAATAAATCTCCACAACATATTTAGGATTAGTTGGATTTGCAATGTATGCACAAAAAAGATGTTTAGCAAAATTGTTACAGGTTAAGTTACATAAGCGGCTAAGCAGCTGAAGTTTACACTTCAGATCTTTTATCAAGTCCTTGTACAGTTTGTGCGAAATAGCGTTGAGTATTTTCAATGACAGAGATTCAGACGTCTGGTGACCAGCATAAGACGGCGTGTAGAACATGTTATCCAAGTGCGAGGCGGTTACACCAGATACTGAGTTAGCCAGTCATTGTGGACCTTACTAATGTGTTCGACATTAATGAAATGTGAACTGTGTTGTGTGTCTGTTGTAACGACTCCGGCAGCCATACTTATTTCACCTTATTTCACGGTGATTTTAGTGAACTTAAGTTTGCTACAATTAAACCCTCAAATAGTGCTCAAATTCGGTCTTGTGTCAATCTTCTGACTGAACGCTCACATGAGGCCATATAAACAGTTTAATGTGCTTTTCTAAGCACCATTTTTATGAGGCTGAAGATCCATTTTTACTTAGTGAAAAAAAGTGGGTGGTGCGATATTTGTGACGAGGTGTATATATCACCAAGTTTGCAGTTAATATCTAACCCCTTTTGTTTTGTCTTAGAGAAGACAACAACATTACTTTTTGAAGGGTTATACGTCAGTCGCCACTTTGAGGCATATGAATGTACTGTATCAAGTGCCTTTTGTAGCCCTCATGATGAGGTGCTCACAAGAGTTGTGTCGTCTGCAAGCAAAACAGTTGGAATATCTAGACCAAATACTCAAATACCACTATTTGCTTGTCTAAGGGATGTTATTAGGTCATTAATAAAGACTAAGAAGAACCAAGCAGAGAGAACTCTTCCTTGTCCGACACCTTGTCTTACATGGTATATATCTGACTGTTCACCCTGATAAGTAACAAAAGCATGGCTATTTGTATAGCTATGGTGTAATAACTTCCATGTATTTCCTCTGATACACATTTGATGTAATTTATAAAAACGCCGTCCTGCCATATTCTATTGAAAGACTTTTCATTGTCTAAGAAAGCAGCATATACTGTAGAATCTCACTGTATGTAAAATTGAATACTTTCACTAAGGGTAAAAACGGACATTATTGCCCCATGTTCTTTCCTAAAGCCGAACTGGAGCATGTCAGGGAAATCAGGATTTGTCTTTATCATTTTTAGTTCAATGCGCTTAACAATAAGTTTTTTCAAACAGCTTTCCAATGCATGAAGTTAAGGTTATACCTCTATAGATTCGGAGATCCGATTTGTTATTCTTACCCTTGTATTTAGGAATGACCATTCCTAGTCTATAATTCAAAGGAATGTATTGTAGTCTTAACATAGCATTAAACAGGGCACACTTATATCTTATCAAGGATTCACCCCCGTAAATTATATGCTCGTTTGTAACTTGATCAGGCCTAGGGCACTTGTTTCTACTCAGTATTTTTACAGTTTCATTTATTTCTACAGTAGAAAATTGTTTTTCTAGTTCCTCATCAGGTGCACCTATCACTTCGTGAGTACGTTCTAGAGAAGAAGATATTTCTTTTCGAAAATTTTCATCAAAAGTATCTGAGCAATATGGCTGAGCTAGATCAGATTAATATTTTCCCCACAATCAACACATATCCGAGGGTGTTGTGACACCGCAGCTGTCTCCCTCATAGTTCGTTTGAATCTTTATCTCTCGATCTACCATTTTGAATCCAAGCTCTTCGAGCCGCCCTCATACGATAGTGCGCGTTATCAAGACCATCTTGTCTCCAAAATGGTTTAAGAAAGGGCTTAAACACACTTTGTGGGATACATTTGTTACCTGCATGTATAAGAATTTCATTTATGATGTAACATTGGTTTTCTAAATTTTGTGGATCTAATGAGTGGGGATCTGGATTGCCATCATATGCACACTTAATATATCTATCAACTTCTGCTTGAAACAGAAATATTAGTCTTATTTGCTTTTTCCCATTTAGGGAAACTCGCTTTACATTTTGATCGTGGCTCGTTAGTCCTTCTTGTGATATAGAAATATGACATGGAAAGTGATCAGATATTTCATAAGGACAGCTTGCTATAATGTAACAGTCTATAATGAAGTTCCGTAGCCATGACGGTACAAGAATATAGTCTATGAGGCTGTGTGACGTGTTATCTTTTGATCTGCATGTATATCCTGGTCCTCCGAACTGTACCATATTTACTGTATGTAATAGATGTCTGTTTTCTATAACATTTCTATGTAGCTTATCCCGATTGGCCTTACAAACATCAGCATTTAAATCATCCAAGAAAACCATGGTTGACGTATTTAGTAACCCAAACCGAAGATAACTATATCGCACTGGAAAAGTGCTGTGGTATGTACTCAACATGCTCATGAAATTAAGGTTAACTGAATGGGTATGAATGTATTGCTTGAGTCCACATTCACAACGTAAGATTAGAAAGTATGCATACACGTACAATAGGCCATTATCCAACATACACAAGTACTCACATGCTTGACGTGTACATTGGACAAGCCTGAAACTCGATGATACGAAGAGATATGATGGGATCATTATTTTCAGTTTGTCAGGATAGATGAGGATACTCCATTCAAACACATCAAGCATCTGCTTTTAGAAGTATGGAATATCAACGAGCCGAAATGGATTTTACCACTGATTGGAACCAGCGCTAATGATTTAGAAATGGAGGAAAAGCTGAAAGAGGCAATCTTGTTTGTGTTTAAAAAACTGTCGACAGTATCAGGTAATCTTTACATTTTATGTCATCCTTGCAAATAATGCCACCAGGTGTATTTGTATTGCACTATGTTTGAATTTAAATTCAAGCTTAAATGTTGATTATTAATTCATGTTTAGAGAAATAATGTCATGGACGCCTTTTAGCATTTGTGATAACATGTTCCATAATTGGAGTTGGAAATACTTTGTATAACTATATATATGTCCGTGGAAATACAAACCTAAACACGATCATTATCAATTCAAATTACCCTTTTACTGCATTCGTTTCGGAAGTGTATGCCTGTAGAAAATAACCCTGATCGTGTTGTCTCCATTTGAAATTAGACCCCAAAGCACCTTTCAAACACGTCAACTGATTTATCAGTATTGTGTGTCATTTCTCTTACCATTTTGGGCAGAGTTGTGGATTCTGTCTGATGGCTTGCATGCTGGGTTATCCGGGTATATAGCAGATGCTAAAGCAGACCATGATGTGCTTGGAGAGAGGATCACTTCAATCGGATTTTCATCCTGGGCGGAAGGCCTCATGGAAAAGGTAGCTTGTACTGACTTTTCTTTCACAATTTACGGTCACTTTGTTACCTGGCAGTAAAGAAGTGATCATTCACGATCGAAAGACGTCATAAACTACGTAACCGTCAGCGTAATGTATAGTTCTTTTTAGTTTGTTAACAAATATGATTAAGAGCTTGGTGTTTGTGATATCATTTCAGCAAGCTAAGCACTTCAAGGTACATTTGTCCGCGTAATCAGCTGATGAACGTCAATAAATATAACTTCAATTGTTGATTGATGATGGCATCTTTGACAAAAAAAAAGATTCTCCGTATTTGAAAGTACCACACACATATATATATCTATCTCTCTCTCTCTCTCTCTCTCTCTCTCTATATATATATATATATATATATATATATATATACTCTCTCTCTATAAATATATATATATATATACTCCCCAAAAAAAGAAACGCAAAAGGGATAAAAATGGTTACTGAAATAGTATTATAAATGATGTTGGTGTTTTCAGGAAAGATTTGGGAGATGTAGTGTTATGGGTACAAAATGCCATGAAGAATGAGATGGAAATTTGATTCAGATGTTTTCAGGGAGAAAAACATGCAAAATTGACCAAAACGCAGCTAAGTGCTAACCATGTCACCAAAACACACTTCCATAGGCATTAAAAGCGCAGGGTTTTCACTCGAGTGGCAATTGTTGTTGACGCGCGCTTTAATGCAGAACAATGCCAAGACTCAGCGAAGAAGAGAGAAACAACGCAATAGGCTGATTGGAAGCTGGTAATTCACGATCTGCAGTAGCCAGGGTGTTTAACGTGTCGCCAAGCACCATAACAAGACTGTGGGACCGATATCAAAATCAAGGAACAACACGTGACCGTCCCACATAAGGTAGACCACGAGTGACCACCAGGGGGCAGGACCGATACATCCGGTTACGTCATCTCCGGGACAGAGCCACAACCGCATCCTCTACGGCATCCAACATTCCGGGTATGGGCAGGATATCAGCCCAAACAGTTAGGAACCGATTACGAGAAGCAGGACTTAGGGCAAGACGTCCCCTTCGTGGGGTCGTTTTAACGGCAGAGCACCGTCAAAATCGACGTCAGTGGTGTCAAGCACACAGGGTATGGCAGCAGCTTCATTGGAGGAGGGTGTGGTTCAGCGACGAGTCCCGTTTCCGGCTGTATCGTTCAGATGGAAGAACTCGTGTGTACCGACGTCGGGGACAGCGTTTTGCACCATGCTGTATTCAACAGGTCGACAGATTCGGTGGTGGTAGCGTGATGATGTGGGCGGCCATCTCGCACACTAGCAGAACTGACCTTGTCCATGTCCAGGGCAACTTAACAGCTCAGCTGTACATCAACGAGATCCTGAGGCCTCACGTCGTACCCATCACGCATACCGCCAACGTCATGTTTCAGCATGACAACGCCCGGCCCCATACAGCACGTCTCACCACAGCTTTCCTGCGGGCTAACAACATCCAGGTTCTGCCTTGGCCCTCAAGATCGCCGGATTTGAATCCGATAGAACACTTGTGGGACGAGTTGGACAGACGTGTGCGTCAACGTCAGCCACAGTTGGCACAAGCACATCAGGCAGAATGGGCTACGATTCCCCAACGTGTGATTCAGACCCTTGTGGCTTCCATGGGAAGGAGATGCCAAGCTGTTCTCGTTGCAAATGGTGGCCATACAAGATACTGACACCTTCATGACCTTGACCTTCAACATGTGACATTCGCATCCTTGTGGTTTGACCTTATATTAACCACTGAATGGTCCAAACTTTCATCCTTATCGCATTTTTCTTTATCATATTAAATGTCTCTACATATTGTCACCGATTCGGGCCATGCGTTTCTTTCTTGGGGGAGTATATATATATATATGTTATATATATAATGTGAAATTTCCGTATTTCAAGAACAGGATAAGAAAAATTATCAAATCGGTTTCCAAACTCCCTATGTGATTTTTTATATTTTAGAGATCCAGACTCCTTACAATAACATCATTGTGCTGTTGTCTATTGTATAGTGTTTTGTTAAACTAAAATTTATGTCAAGGTAATTCCGTGACATTGATTAAGAAGAGAAGCATTATAGTACTCGATGTGTATCGTGCTTTATGGTATCACCAGTTATTTCCGCTTTCCATGCTAAAGAGAGGTTTCATTGGATGGAAACGACTTGTAGTCGTTTTCGCTCTTTTACCTGTTGCGATTCCGGCTGAGAATGTAGGCCCCAAGATCCAAGTACGCTTGTCATAAGACGCGACTAAATAGATCGGGTTGACAAACTCAGTGATTTGGTTTATTGCATGTCATCGTAAGATCGATGCTCATGACACTCGAAATTCAGATCCATAGTCTATTTATGACAGACCGATGCCATATAGCTGGAATACTGCAGAGTTCAACAACAACCAAACAAACAAACAGACGTAATACATGAATGTTTGACAGCGCGAAACAGTTGAAACATCGCGCCGGGTGTTCAGTTTAATTTCATCTTTCTTTCAGCACTGTCAAATACAAGTAAAGTCGATATATTTAATTTAATACCATTGATACAAATATGAAATTTTGGTGCTCGATAGTGACATGTTGTTGTACAAGAGCATTGAAGACTATTCATTGACATGTCACATAAGGCCACAAGGTTGCGCTGAACTCAGTATCTCGTGTGATCGCCCCGGGCAGCAATCAAGGCTCTGCATCTCCTTGGCACTGACTGGATAAGTGTACGAATCCTGTCCTGCGTAATTCTGCGCCATTCTGCTTGTAACGCGTTGGCCAGTTGTGGGAGTGTCTGCGGCGTGTTCTGACGTTGACGTACACGTCGATCGAGTTCATCCCAGAGGTGTTCGATTGGGTTGAGATCTGGAGATCTCGACGGCCAGGGCAAGAACGTTGATGTTGGCATTATGTAGGTAGTCTGTTGTCCTGTTGCAACAGCTCCCTCTGGCGGTCAATGATTGGAAGAAGGTGAAGTTGAAGGATTTGATTCATGTTGCGATTTGCTGTCAAATTTCTCTGAACCACAACCAAGTCAGATCTCGTGGTGTAGGATATGCGGTGGTCTGTGGTGGACGTTGAAGTGGCGTGCAACAGAAGACTGCGATTCCCCTCTTTGGATACGTCTTATGGCGATGTTCCGATCGGCAGCGCTGAATTTCGGCCATTTCGAAAAATGTTGACAATTGAATGACAAATTATTGGCTGATGCTTGCCTTTTTATAGCCACGACCCCGAGTTACGAATGTTATAACTTGCACGTGCATTTTGCTTTACTGTTTTCCTTCATGACATTTTTGAACAAGTGTGAAAACAATGCCGTTAAAGACATTACAAAACGACAATGGCGGCGTTTTGACGCTCCGTTTGTCGAATATCAGGCCACCAACATTTTCCAATAACATGTATCCAAATTATATACCGGATTTTTTGTGTAGACAGGTTCAGTGAACTACACACTACCTGTCATCCCTTTTTTTACGAGTATATACTTGGACAACATCAATGAAACACACAGTAGAAATCCCCCAAATGATTCGACTTAACTTCTTTACGTCTTAGCATAAACGTCTTTTTATTTTCATTAAAAGGGAAATGGTTCTGGTCGTTTTACATACAGAACTCTCTGGGAAGACATAGGAAGTACAATGAGCCATCTGATGTTGGTTGATAATGGAACAGTCGACCCATATCTGTGCACCATGTCGAGCTCGTCTTTTTTCACGAAGACAATTGCCGGATTATCAGTCCCTGAAGATGGTAAGATATTTGTGAAAAATATGGGAAAACTGACTATTTCTGTTAAAGCCCGTTGCCATTAAAAATAACTCATAACTTGGGTAAGAAAAGAAAAGGAAAGAGTAATATACTTTAGGAAAACTAACTGTGCTTCATAGAAAGTGGTATAAATGTTATGTTGTTGAAAATAACAAAATACATTTATATTTATATATATCCCACATCCTTGTTTAAGACAACTGTGGAATGCCTTGTTTTCATCATAAGTCTTCACATGCTTCACAAGTGTATTATTAGGCAAATATATGTGTGCAAAAGTGCACAATTCAATTTTATGACGTGGAGCACCATGTTAATAAAATCAACCCCTCCCCCATTATAACTGGTAAAGATAAGCGATTGATGGAAGAGCGAGGGTGGTGGGGTCTATGTTTCAATGTAAGTGGCATGTCATTCTTTCAACAGGATCTCGTGCCATTCCTGCAGTTGCGATCCTTTTTGGTGGTGAACTGTACTCATTAGAGAGTATCAGAAACTGTGTGAAAGAGAACATTCCAGTTATTATTGTGAAGGTAAGGCAATTTAACAATCTTGATTGGTATAAGAATTAAGAGCAGTTGGCCAGGGCACTCACGCTATTTGTGTTTAATAACTCATCCGAGGTTTGAGCGATGTTTCACGCGATGGAGTGGTCAGGCACTGACTTAGTAAATGCATGACATCTTATCCCAATTGCGCAGATCGATGCTCATGCATGATATTAGTCACTTGACATTCTGGTCCAGGCTCAGTTGTATATAGACTGCTGCTATTGTAGCAGGAATGTTGCTGAGTGTGGAGGTAAACATCAAACAAAATATGAACACGGAAATTTCAATGGTATTTTAGCTGTATACATGTATACGAAGGTGTCCAGGTAGAGACTGACGTTGGAAAAAATACTTACATCAAAGTACTGTTGGAAATGCTAAAAATGCTTTTTGTCCGTTAAAAAAGGATAGACTGTTGCTATTGAAATATCGAGCAACTACAGATCAACCTACCTGTAGTTTAAAGTATTTCAGTCACAAACATTTTTACCTAAGACAAATTTGAACGAAAACAGTAAGTTCACATTTATTCTAAGTCTAAAGCGGACTATAGAAGATACGCACGTGACTCCTTTATGAAGATAATAATGTTGTCTTCACAAAACATCTTATCCACACAAAAAATCATTTGGAGAAAGTTCTCGATGTGCATCTTCTAAAATAACAAAATGACGCTGAATTTGTTTTGTCAACACTGCTCCCATGATGCATGTTACATTACACTTTCTGTACTGGGAAATGTATTCCATCCTGTATATGAGGTCACATTATCTTCGCACCATTCATGACTTTCGCAGTCACGGAATATATACAAATCACCTTGATGAAACCTGGGTGAATAAGAATCAGGAACCAGATATTGTCATGCCAAGTTGCCAACCATGAGTAGTCTGAAGGCGACCATGCAGGAATATATGACATCTTGCAATGTCGACTTCAGACCATCTGAAATTACACTTCAACTCATGTAGAAAAATCGCCTGAATAAGAAACCAGTAAAGTACAAGACAGATATCCTGGCGACACATCACGATTATGCTGTCTTAAGCTACAGTCACACAGACAATGCAACCTCGATGCAACCTCTTGGCGATTGATTTCTTTGCGACGACTGGCAATCGTTGAGACCGGTGCAAGAACTTCTGCCCATATTTGGAATTAGGGTATGTTCACCCATCAGTCATCGATAGGTGTTGCAACTTGTCAGTGATTGGTCGGCAACTGTTCACCGCAGTTACGGCGAAATATTTGCAACTGGTTGAGACTGATCGGTGACAAGTCAGGGAATCTTCGGCGACTTGTTGCCACTTAACGGTGACTGGTCGATGACTAGTTGTCGATCGATCACTGGTCAAAACATAGTGCATATAAAAAGGGTGCTTTCCTAATCAAATCATTTCTTTGCAAGTTGTCAAGATGTTAACAGCAGAACAGTTGAAGTTGCTCCGCCTGCAAAGAATAAATCAAAATGCGTCAGTCGCTGCCATGATGGTGTGGAAGAATGAGAAGGACAAAGCGAAGGCAGACCTTGAATCGCAAGAAGGCCACAGCTAGGAGACTATGAGAATTTGATGCCAGAGTTGGTGAGAGAAAGTCGTGGTGATTTCGTGGGCTATCTCAGAATGGAGGATGTCTGTAATGCACAGAGAAGGTCTTTTTTATAGACGTGACAGATTGCAAACCCAACGGCGAATGGTCGACGCACGCTTTGAAACCACTTTGCAACCGATCGACAACCACTCACCGATGAAGCGTCGGTAGATGACCACCTCATCACTGATCAAACAGCAATAGGTCGCAATAGGTTGCAAAGAGTCAACACCCTTGTCAGGCTTGTGTAGACCAAACCGATCACCGCACAGTGGAAATCAATCTGCGATGAAAATAACTCCACTTGGGGACCTCTAGGAGACCAACGAAACCTCCGAGCGACCAATTTGGTCGCATCCAGTTTTTTGTGCATGTTCAAAACACCGGGTTTTGATGCTGCATTGAAAACTTGTAGCGACTTCAGTGAAACCTTTCAGAGACTCCTGAAACCTAATTGAGATTGTCAAATATTTCAGTCGCCAGGTGGTTGCATCTCGGTCGCATTGTCTGTGTGACTGTACGCCAATCAGACATTATGAGCTCAGCACTGTTGAGCCTATATTGGCTAACTGTAAAGGGTACTTGGCAAGACATGACACAACATTCAAACTCACACATGACAAAGGGATCGTCAGTCTTTAGTAGGTAACAGCCTTGTTTATCCAGTTATCATACCTTTGGGTGATAGTACAGAATCATATACGTCATCAGTCAGATGGTACCTAATAAATCATCTGTAGAACAACAAATACATTTTGATTCCAAAACTGCAACTTTACATTACTCATCCCGTTTCATAGTTTTTAACTATTCCATCATATTTCCAAGCAAATATACATTTGCACTTGTGAGAATGCACGGACGGGTGTAAGGTCATCACCTCGGGACACGTGTTAGGTAATCACCTCCAGTTATAGGCCGTTTCATAAATGTGTATGGTTGAAACACAAATATTTTCTGAGTTTATCATCATTTTACCTGTAAAACTACATTTTAAGGCTAATCACAGTGTCACTTAGGATAGGCTATATTAGGTCGATTTGCGTTCCTTTGATATATGCTATTTTCATAGCCCCTTGACTCATTTATGAAAATGAAGTCAGCAATGCATTTTTCCAGCATTTCCGACAGCCAAAGTTTCAAGGGGCAACAGCCAACATGCAATACGGTTATGATTTCAGGATTCGGGTGGTATAGCAGACGCCTTTTGTTTTGCATTGGAAAAGTCGAAAGGTGTTTCTCAAAAGATGAAAGATGACAGAAATGAACGGTTAGTTAATTCTCTGAATTACAAGTAGGGTCAATATATGTATATTTGCCTGTATATTTTGCTTAAATTTATTTCACAGCATGATGCAGCTCTTTAACGGTCATGTATATCACTGTTTGTTCAATTTCACCAGTTTCGGAATTGTCATCAGTCAGCGTGCAAAGGAGCAACTAAGTGAGATGCTTGGCCAAGTTGACGAATACGTGCAGGTCATCCTGCATTGTCTTCAAAGGCGTGATCTCCTCTCTGTCGTTGACCTGTCACTCAACGGGTCCCTTTTCCAAGGAATCATGTCGGCAATTATCAGAAGTATGACATTTCAGCTCCTAAATGTTTATTTTTTTAAAGAAATGTAATTTTTTATGTCTACCTTTCTAGCATTGTTTCTACAATGGCGCTTGGTCTGTTGTCTCGTAAAATATTGACTACAAAATAAACATATATAGTCAATTTTACCAAATATTTGCAAATCTACCTTTGAAGAGACAGGACAAGTCGATAATAATTAAAGACTGTTATTGTTTACGATGTGTTACGTTCTGACTTCCAAATTGAAACAGCACGTTAACCCAGAAAACTAAACGCTAAAGAATCAAGTGTGAAACAGACAAACAACAAAGAAATGTTATAAATTAACAATCATAACATTAACTAGGTTTACAAATCAATACAAATTACTGCAAAGCAGCTACAATGGCAGTACACAATCGAGTGGGAGTACATTCAATGGTAGTACAATTGCGATGGCAGTATAAAATACAATAGCAGTGCTAATAGCAAAAAGTCAGTGATAATAATATTCACCTAGCAGCAACAGTGGTCAAGCTCCCAAAATAGGCAATGGCTGGATATCAGCTGGTCCTCATGTAATGTCACGTAAGAGAGGCGAGGCTATTGCCCCCATTATAGTCTGAATACCTTCTGGGAGGTTCAGAAACATGCTGGATTAATCTAGCTGTTCTAGAAGATTCCAGATCACACATGACTCCAAAATCATCTAATCATGGCAACTTCCTCACCATTTGCATTAGATATTGGCCAATAATCGTCTGACCTTTCGCGAGGTCGTCTACCTGTAGGATTCCTTAAGTACCCCAGAATAACGAAGCCCTTCACCTTGCCAGCTGATGGAACAAATGTTTCTTTTTTCAGAGGATGATATGATCGATGTTTCCACATTTTTGACTGTTGTGTAGTCGCTAACTGATAGTGGTGACCCCAAGATACATCTATAATTACAAATCGCTTACAAAATCATGTACCTGGAGCTTTTTTCGATCAGTAGCGTCAGAACTCAGCGTGCTGAAAACTTTGTCGAACCAAGTTTGTTCCTCAGAATCTTCTTCGTTCTCTCATAAGAGATACTTCCTGTATTGTTGTGACGTATTGATCATCCTCAATCATATTAAAATTGTTTCCAACCTTTTCCTTAGTGGTGGCAGATGAAGGTCTTTCTGATATTAGATCACCTTCGGGGCACTCTCTTCCCCTCTTGAAATCCACTTGAACAGTGGCGTCCCCTCATGGGTGGCTGTTCGAATGAGCCCTTTCAGCTGGAGTTACTTGATGACAGAGCGGTCGATATTTTTTTATCATTTTCCTCAACAGAGAATACCATGTGACTTTGATGCATGCAGTAACATGCTGCCTTGTTGTGAATTTGGTTCAAATGCACTCTGTAGATTGGTTAGTATTGTTTGTGTTAAATGCAGTTCTGTTGGACTAGAGGTGTACTATATATCCTCTGGTTCAGAACATTTCTGCCACCCCTCGTATGCTTATCGTATATATGGTATGGGGCGATTGCATGCTCTGGCTCAGTGAAAAGATTGAAAGGTCTTTTTTTGGCCGAGTGTGGCGGTAAACAACAAACAACAAAGCAGCACGGTCTTTCTGTTTAAAGCTGTACTTCATCAGACATATATACTGAACAACAAAAGTTCCCGTGACAATGAATAAGATTTAATGCAAAGTTATGTTTTTACCAAATCTGAAATAATTTCGGTTTGCAACATATAAAAGACTCCTGTAAGTGTTCAAATGGTTTAATTTGGCATACTGACTCCATGAACATGCCAAAACGTCAATTTACAAATCAATAGCGTGCGTGTCCAACTCTGGTTGCGTCTTCGTCACATGGAATGGACCAGGCGTCGCACAAATTCTTGTGGGATATCTATCCATATCTGCTGGAGCATGTTTCGTAGTTCCTGGAGCGTCTGTGGAACACGTGGTTGACATCAAAGACGCCGATCCATCTCATCCGACATGTGCTCGATTGGTGAGAGATCGGGGGAGTGAGCCGGCCAGGGGGTGACATTCGCGTTGTTTTGTTGAAGAGAATCCTGAACAAGTCGAACAAAAAGAGGCCGGGCGTTGTCATGTTGAAAGGTAATACCTTGGCCATGACGACGCAAAAACGATAGAACAACAGGGCCGATGATCTCGTCGCGGTAGCGCTGTCCATTGAGATTTCCCTCTACCAATATCAAACGGGTCCTCTGTCTTGCTGTAATCCCACCCCATACCATAACACAGCCGTCCCCGAACCGATCTCCTTCCATGACACAATGAAAAGTCTTGCATAAAAGTCAACTTTTGCATGGAATGCATGCTTTTCTGTAGCAGTTGCGTTTTTGTGAATTGATTCGATACATGTACTACAATATTGAAAACCAAACTTTACTTGTATTGGTGTCACAGGAACTTTTGTTGTTGAGTATATTTTCTCAAACCGAAAGTGATGTTAGTAAAGTGGAAGTGCATAAAACGTTATTATTAAGGTAATTGGAGTAAGGGGGCTTTATGTTTTAAAGTCCGGCTGCATATGGCATGTGCGCTATAGTCAGTCTGCCGTCCGTTGACTGTCGAAATATGAACCGGATGGATGCAACTGAAACTTTGGGAAATTATTTAGTGTCATTCATTAACCCTGATATGTGTTATCATGGAAAAACTAGGTTAGACATTTGAAACATTACGAAAAAATAATTCAAATTAGTAAAGACTTCGTTTTAGATTCAGCCTCTCCACAAGATCACAAGGTCCAGGGAGCTGAAACTTTAATTTATTACGTTTAGCAAGGCAATAATATGACTTGCACTTGGTCCCGATCGTTGCATGGAACCCACTTATTATTGCTCTTTAAAAATGAAAAACAGGTTTCAATAGTGGTCAGTGTTTCAGTTTCATATGCACAGAAATCACTAGAATTTATCTCTTTTGGGTTTAGATTTAATCAGATAGGAAAATGCTTGTTTCTCTTATTAACTGAAATGAAAAAAAGTTTTGATGATGGTCGAGTTTTTAACTTTGTGTAGATAAAAAATATTCTTTATTTACTTTTGGGCCCTCTAATCTGCACTCAACTTTTGCACTCTTACTATGTATGAAGTCTGTGACACTGCTTTTCCAAATGGTGCAATACATTAACTTAACATGGTTGTCCTATCTAATTCCTTATTTGGAATAATACCTTATGTTCACGCGTTTGTAAAATATATAAATCTCATTTGATTTCAGCGAAAACAAGTACCGAGTTGATATCAATGGTGGATGATTATTTGCCAACACCCGTGTACAGTAGAAAGTCAAAGGATAAAGCTGAGATTCATATTGAAAACCAGAACTTGTTCATCTATAAAGACTACTTTGGTGAGCTTATGCGCATGGACATCGGGACATATGTTGCACAATTTGCAGTTATGCTTAAGTAGTGTTCCAAGAGTTACCAAACAGTTAACATATCTGAAGTTGACCAATTATGTTTCACATATCTACGTCCTAAAAACTCTCTGAATGACAACATAACTGCTATCTGTTGCAAACAATAAAGTCACTGTTCTGGCTAGAAATAATCTATTTTCTCAATGACAAAGTATGATATAGCATTAAGTTGGCACTTATACGACATTGTCATAACATAGTTAGATGACTGTGCACTGTTTAATTATTGGAAAGCAGATACTCATTACATATTTATTCATTCTAATTTATGTTTTATTAGAATCTGAAAACATTGTTAACATGGTTTTCAAAGAAGCAATTCTACAAGAAAAGTCGGAATGCGTTGAATTCCTACTTGAATGTGGAGTTTCCGCAGTGGAAGATCTTGACATGTTGGAACTATACGAAGAGGTGAGTAAGTAAAGTTCATATGCGAAAGAATTAGGGATGCATGCATATGTTCGATTAATCTTCTTATAAACGAGTTACGACCAAACGTTTCAGGGCCATAATTCATTTTATGTGCACGTGAATGAATGTGTTATTTGAGTGATCAAATGATACCGTTGTCATTGATCATTTTAAATAATTTTGTTTTCTCGACAGAAACAAAAGTAAATGCTGGTTTCATGAGTTGAATCGAAAGGAGCCGTTCATGATAATTTCATGAAACTGCTTCATACTGACAAAGTTGATAATTGTACGTTTCTTCTCTTCTCTCTTTAAGATTCTTCTCTTATGGGTCAATTCAGTCACTACTGACCATGCTGATGGTCAAATAGTAAAGACTGGAATCATCATAGGACTATTTTGAAACGTTATATTTATGACGGTATTGACGATAAAATGTAAAATGGAAACAAGTACATTCAGATCAGATTCATACTACTCTTGCGTCAATACAGTCAAAACATTTTATCACAATCCAATGACTTATTGCTTCGAATTTATTTTCTGAATGTTAACTTAAACTTGTTTTAAAATGGTGGCGACATTAAAAATAAAATGAAGACAGGTAAAAATCTTTAGCCAGTTAAATTTGGAAATTTGGTCAGACGCCAGAAACACACCCACAGTTGAACCAAAATTCAAAAGCATTTCTCGTTGAACGAAATGATACCATCCGTTGTTATGACGTCACAAATTGTTCACGAATAAATATGATCCCAGCGTATGAATATTTTAAAAAAATCACATTTTCTGAAATACCAGCCCATCGCCTCATTATTTATAAATGGTGACATGATTGTAACTGGAACATTCAAATCATCGTGTTCTTTTTAAGTCTTTGTAGGTTATGGTTATGAGCTGTGTTATTGACTATATGTCAACACATGTTGATATCATTACAGACAAAGAAAGGGCTGAGGAAGACCGTGTTCGCAATATTCAACAATTGCAAGGTAGGTTGTAGGCTAGCACATGCAATGGTCATTGTATGGAAATGGATTGTACCTCAATTCTCTATTCTAAACGTTTGTATTTGTACCTCCTGCTTGGCGTAGAAGGCGACTTAAAGTAGGATCATGAAATTACAGGACTGATTGTGTGTCATCCTACCCGTTAGATTGGACATGTGGCCCAGTCGACCGAGTCGTTTAAGGTAACCCGCTGTGCAAAGTTGCGCACATATATATGGGTTTGAATCAAATCTTTTTAAATTATTTTCTTTAGAAAATGTTGGAAAGTATACATTTGCTTCATGCGTTAACCCCGAAAATAATTGCTTATTGAACTTGCTCGAATCCCCGAAAAAAGATGTGCTGTGGTTCCCCACAATTATGTGTGGCCTCTGTCAGATAACAATTATATAATTTGAAGCTGTAACAGAATTAAATTTCTGGTATGAATTTACATTTGTTTTTCAGACACAGCTGACCCATATTTACTGTATGAGATTAGTTTTGTGAAAGGAATGGAATTGAAATTTTCCCGTTTTGTAAATTTGTAGTAGTGAATCATGATCTTTTAAAATATTCGAACTTTTTGCAACAAAGTTTAAAAGATTACATCTGCATGTCGCCATTGTAAAATATAACACATCTTGCTCTTGATAATTAGTTTTTTCTATCTTAGCTCAATAGCTAAGGATAAGATATGTGTATATCGACACTGTAAAAAAATGAAATTTTATCCAGGTGCTTCACATGTACAGTACTGTAACACTATTAGCTACAACTTGATCAATAATGTAGTGCAGATTCGGTTTCACTGTTATGATCGAGTTTGCAATGTGTCATTAAAAATCCCATCTTCAACGACGAATGTTTTTTAGCTTTGAACTGTTTCATCACTTCAGCTTGTCCTGCATTTACTCAAATTTTCAAATGTAATGGAATCATTTCCACATTAATCCTTTTTCATTATTTCTTTTCTTCTTGGCCGACCATTTGATATTCTGGAGGGTGGGGGGTATTTTGTATCGAGCTTAGATATTTTCAGTTTCATCTACAAAACCAGATATATATTTTAAATTTAAAACTATGAGCCCATGAGCCTGATATGAGCCTACCAGCGGATAACAACTTCTGGTTTATTGCATTTAGCGACTTTTCGGTGTAGATTCTTAAACTGTTATCAGACTGGAGTTCCACTGCCTGGGCATCAAGATGTTGTCCGACACCACCACGTCCCAAAAGCTCAAGAAAGATCCAACCAGCAGACTAGAATGCTAACACAAGTCCATACTAAAACGCATCACAGATACCATTGAGCTCACCACCCCGCAGTAGTACAAAACTTTCCGTCTTACACCCACAACCTCCATATGCCCCTTCCACCATCAAGATCAACAAAAAAAACACCAAAGCCAGATTAGTTGTATGTTCCAGAGACACAGTCTTCTACAGCACTGCGCAACACCTCACCTAAATACTTTCTCGTATCTCGGTAAGACAGCTAAATCCTATGATGTTGTTGATCTGTTCACAAACGGCCCTGCTGACGAAGCCCGGCAAATCCTCCCTCAGCGCATCTTCAACCTTGATGAACCACTTGACACCAACCTCTCTGTAGACTCTATTATCAGTCTCGCCAAATCCTGCATAATCTCAACCTACTTCACCTGGGGAGACGATATCTTTGAATAGACCCCACGGGGGACACACACACACACACACACACACACACACACACGGACCAGGACCGCATTTCACTACTCCAATACATCAACGCACAACAACACCGAGTCAAGTTAGTTATAACATATTTAATTTCAACTGAAAATTGGGATCGACAAAAAAGGCAAAGCATATTTTAATACCTCTCCCTATTTAGAAATCAAGTAACAACAGATAACAAGGTGTATACATAATAACTACTCATGATATGCCTTGGTGGTCATTTATCAAACATAATCAACAGTGTCCGGTTGTAATGTACACAAGATACAGATATATTATATGTGAGTGTTTAGAGTTATAATTAAGTTTATGGACAGATAAAAAATTTTCTTGATTTGTTTCATGTGATAGGCTTTCACATCCGTAAAATACTGTAACAATATATCCTTTTTAATGTAATATACTCAATTGCTTCTAATTTGATAATTTGTTTTTAATTTGAAAAAAACAAAACAAAGAAATTGTGTAGCGGGTCTTCCTTGTAGTGACCACAAGGACAACTTAGGTTGTCAGTTTGGAATCTGTCGAATTTATGTCCGTCTAAGTCATCACATCCGAGTTTGAAGCGGTAATGGATAGTTTCACAGAATATGGTACTAAACTTTGTATCAAAGAAATGTTCGTAATTGTAAATGCATGATTATACATTTCGAAAATTTGAATATCAGCCAGTAGATTTAATTTCTACATATCGTTTATTCCATAATTTTGTAGAATTAGGCATACAAGATCTTGCATAATGTTCAGTCTTTCGTCTAATTGTTTGTGGTCTGAGGAGTTTCTGAGACTGTTATCACTTCGAGCGTTGACTTGGCCTGGGATAAGGTTGCAGAGATAAGCTGGTGCTAAATCATTAACCATTTTGTAGAATAAAGATAAAGATTTGTTTCTGTATACATTTTTTTGCCTTGTGCCCCGTGGTTCTTAGAGCATCCAGGCACAATTTTGAAGTATCAAATATCTATCTTTAGTACAATTATTCCAAAGAATAGAAGCTGCGGAATATTGGTGAGATGAACATGATGTATACATGATTTTTAGACTTTTCCTGGAGAGGCAGTATTTTAAACGTCAAAAGCAGTTTATCATCTGACTGGCTTTTTGCATGTGAACAATTGCCTTGCCTTTGCATGTGTTTGTGACGGGTACCACCGGATACGCTCACCTTTTTGCGAACACCTGGTATCGTCACTATTTGATAGTGATTCATAAACACATGCTCGTGATATAGTCGGAATCGTACAATCGAAAGTGTATTCAAAATAATTACACAAGATGTACCTTGGTGGTCATTTATCAAGCATAATCAATTGTGTCCGGTTTTAATGTTCACAAGATAATGTACCCAATTTTGGTGAAAAACTATAGGAAAAGTTATATTTCGATGTTTTTCTTTTTTTTAAGTTCTCTTTAGCCAGGCAAACAGATTCAATTTCTTAATTGGTGGAATTTTGCCTAAAGTAATGGTGTATTTCTTTGCTTAGTAATTGTATCTTGTCCCTTTTTTGTCGAAGAAGTTTATCTAAACCACTATGGAACCATGGAGGATCGTTTTGTCGGTGTATGAATTTCAAATAAACTTATCACTATGGCTAGATATCTGAATCCTATCAAAATCAACACTTGGTGTATAAATTTTAAATAGACAAGTGAGTGAGTGAGTGAGTGAGGTTTTACGCCGCTTTTAGCAATATTCCAGCAATATCACGGCGGGGGACACCAGAAATGGGCTTCACACATTGTACCCATGTCGGGAATCGAACCCGGGTCTTCGGCGTGACGAGCTAACGCTTTAACCACTAGGCTACCGACCGCCCTTTAAAAAGACAAACGTGTCACTGCTTCAAATAAAATCTGCATTAGACACCACTTGATCGTATATGAATTCCATCTACTAGTATACGATCATATCACTGCTTCAACTGAAATCTATTCATGGTTCATGATAACATCATCACTTGTCGGTAAATGAATTTTAAATAAACAAACCTGTGACTGTTTCTATAAGTGACTTCGGTAAATGGATGATATGAACAACTCCCCTTTCAAGACGTCCTGGTATCCAGAGACCCTAGCAACAAGATCAAAAACTACCGTCTACAGGAAGCCTACCCATTCTTACCACTACATTCACTTCAACTCTAACCATCCCCCTAAAACTATGTCTGGCATCATCTACACACTGACCAAACGAGCCAAGAGCATCTGTTTCAGCAACCTTGTTCATGAACCTAAACATCTGCAGCATGTTTTCACCAATCTTAACCAGTATCCTACAAGGCTTGCCAAGAGGACCATCTCCACCACACTCCAGACCAAACCCCAAACCGACCAGACCAGAATCCGCCGCAATCAGAAACAGTCTACCCTACATTGGCAAGATTTCGAATCGAATCAGTAGATTACTTAAGCATTAAGCAGGCACCGATACCATCTTCGCTGGCTCCCCATTCCTCAAGACCATCCTCTAAGCTGATGACTGTCACTCTCCTTTCAAAAAGCAAGTTTGACAAACATCACGACTTCACAAAAAGATCATGGAAGCCAGTGAAATCCGCCTTCACAAACCTTTGAAATCAAGAGTATTACATAACGTCTACCTATGAAGATCGATTCAAGCAATATACTCTTCCGATCTGTATCCAATCAGCTTGTTCAACTTTTTAGTCATACTGTATATCTGGCATTATTCCCTTGTGCTATTTGTTATTCTTACTTCTTCCAATTATTTGTGTGACACTTTTTATCCATAACCTGTTGTTGTTAATATTAGTGTGCTGTTTATGACTACAAATCATGTATATACTTCTCATTACATGGTTGAAGTCACTCCAGCTGAATATCGGTGAAAGAATCTTCATCGAAACATCGCTAAATGCAATAACACCCCCACCCCACCCCCACCCCACCCCTCCTACCCAACCCCACACACACAGTTCTCCACATAGTTGTATGTTTTCTTATTAACTCATCAACTTCTAGAATGACAATCACACAGTTAGATTTACCGAGGCCTTGGTCTTGTTGTGACCTTGATCAAACAACGCTTGAGCAAGAGTCGTTTGACGCTTATTGAAGTCTTAATAGAAAGAGCATGCTCGATTGTAAGTTAATTTGGCACGGATTGGGCGGTATATTTGCTGGACCCATAGATGTCTCTTTGTACGGATTTATGAAGCTTTGGAATCCAGTACAAAACAAGAATGTACACTTTTACAGGTTTTAGAGTCACGCCAAAGTTTGATAGTACAGATGCATGGGTCTGGCAGATTTCTTTCTCAGTTAACATACTCGGTTTATTTGTTGCATTATTTTATGTCATGAAATTCTTATTTCATAAGAAATGATATCTAATATATTGAATAATTCTGCTTGATTTAATAGAGCAATGTCTCACAGAAACAGAAGAAAGAAAACAGGAAGGGGTCAGAGATGAAAGATAACCAGGTGCTTCATAGTCAATATTTTCGTTTATAGAATGTGACGTAGGCTGATGAAGTTGTCAATTCATAAACACATGCCTCTGATATGGTCGGAATCGTACATATAGACTAAGTGGAAATGTGTTATAATTAGAAAGTATATGTTCCTGTAACATTAAACATATTTTGTTTGATTGGAAAAGAAGTAAGTTATTTCTCTTACACATACATATCATCTGAAGGTGTTTTGAGATCTTTACCAAAGTGATAAAATATGGTGCCAAGTTTTACATTTTCAATTTTTTGTTTCAGACAGGGGTAGATCCTTCAGAGATCAGCAGAAGGCAGCAAGAAGCTGATGAGGTGTGTTACAGATATTTGTAACCCCTATTTTGCCTTTTACGCCAAATGAAATCTGTTTCGGCGGATAATCGAGACTGAAATTACTCTTGCCTTGACGTCTATTTATATACGTTTGTTTTGTTTTGATTTGTGTGTGTGTGTGTGTGTGTGTGTGTGTGTGTGTGTGTGTGTGTGTGTGTGTGTGTGTGTGTGAGAGGGTTGGTTGATAAGTTCTGAGCATCACATTGGGAGGAACTGCGTACTTGTGGCTATCTATGTTACAAACTTATGCATGATGGAGTATCTCATAAGAATTCAGGAGTAAGACACCAATGAGCACAGGTACATGTATGGTGCTGGCAAACAGAAAATCATTATTAGGGCGAATATCGGATTTGAACCCACGACCATATTAGGATTCTGGCACGACCCAGGGACGCATCTCTGCAGAGTGATTTGCAGCACATTACCCATACCCCACGGAAGAAATGTAGGTGGGATATAATGTTATTAATCAACAATATATATGTTTACAAAATATATTTTATCCCCAGATGTCAATTGATCAATAATAATTATACATTTTGTCATATGTTGTTTATTTTATGTCACTGTCGGACCTATATTTTCTGTGTTGTTTTTGTCTCTTATAGATAATACACTCATTCACGGATAGACTTCTCGAGCAGTTTGTACCAAGCGCTTTTGTTAACAACGAACAGAACACCGACAGCACACGAAAGGTATTTTATCCAACCGGATAAGCATGATGCTACATACCAGTCAAGTGAGATTGAGAGCAATGAAAAACAGTCAGGTATCTTGTTAAGATCGATGATATAGAAGTGTAAACTGATACGTGTCGTCATAAAATTATGATAATAGTTTATCTTGTATCTTAATTCTCTGCAGAGCACAACGGAAATTGACACTGATCATGGAAGGGAAGGGAAAACAGTCGGAAGAGAAAAATTCACACAGCTGTTCTTGTGGGCGGTTTTAACAAACAGGAAAGTCGTGGCTCAACAGTTTTGGACTCGAGGACAGGTCAGTATTGTCTTAAGTTCACATTAATTCAACTACCCGCTAACAAGGAGGGGTAGCCTAGTGATTAAAGTATTCGCTCATTACTGCGAGGGCCCGGGTTCGATTTCTCTTATTGATAAAATGGGTGCAGCCCAATTCTGGTGTCCTCCACCGTAATGTTGCTGGAATATTAATAAATGCAGTCAAAAACATAGTCATTCACATATATTGGGAAAGATATTTGCAAACACTTTTAAAAACAACTACTACCATTTCCTCAAGATTAAAATAATAACATCTGTTGACAATGTTTCATGTTTTGGGGTGTGTTTTCCTCTCACCTCAAAATAATAAAGGATTGATATTTACATTCTGAGGTTGAACCTTATAGAAAGATCTAGTAGTCACTAAATCGTCTCGAGTAAATGGATTCTTTGGTAATTTCAGAATCCAGTGTGAGCCTCATTAAGGCTTTAATGGATATATTCTCCCAATCTAATCACTTCTTGATACATGCTCACTGCACTATCACTTCAAGCCTGAAAGTCTCCTGGGCCTTGCCATGTTAATGAGAGCGTGATGCGCACTTGCTGTGCAATGAAGTACCTTTAAATGCTAAATACTGAATGGACTACTTTGATATTAGCGGTTCATCTCGTCTGTAAGTTGTTTTTGTGTGAATTAAACTAAATTGTCTTGGCGCTTGCGTCTTATTCATAAGGATATCTGGTGACATAGACTATAAACGAAGCATCAGTGTAAACGCAAGTGTGTATTGCTAATATTAGTAAATAAGCGCGACAAAACCCTTTCCATATACAAGAAATATGTGGCAAAAGCAGAGTCGATTGAACGATTGTAAACCAAGATTCTCGACACCAACATCAGACACAAGAAAATGAGTAACTTCCAACCATTCAGGAACCATTGAAATCCAAAGAAAGAAGCACGCCGTTCACAGACCCCCTGTTATCTACCTACCCAGCGTGTACTCCACTGTGCTTTAATCACATCATCAACCACAAATGGACATTTTGATTGCTTTATTGCTTGTGTCACCATAGCTAACTCCTCGTTATTACATCCAGCTCAAACACTATACATTCAGTTTACTTCTCTTCTGTTAATCTAATTGGCTTCATCATTATATTGTTATCTCTGTATGTTAATTCTATCTCATCGGCTTCGGGTAGAAATAGATCACAACATCAATTTATGAAATTCTATTTCAAACGAATAGTTTACGCTGCATCATGGTCCAGACCGTATCTCAAATTCCATATGTAACAAAACATTTAAAACAATTTTTAGCTCAGACATATCGTGTAAAATTGATATTTCATTTTGTCGTATCAAGGACCTCATGGTGTCCGCTCTGATAGCTGGCACCATCATGGACGCCATTGCAGAGAAAACATATAACAGCAAGAAGAAAGCTATACGAGAGGCAAATGCAAGGTCAGCTATTTATATGATGTTCGAGCACCATCTGTTTGGTGCTGTCACACAGAGACTTATTATCAGAGCGAATCATTGTCTGGTTCACAGGTTGCGTAAATGCAGGTTTTTATTTTTTATCGTTTCACAATGACCATTTGATACAACCATTCATCATGTTCTCCAGGCCTAACGCAATCTCTAGATACCTCTAAATACCCATTGGTTTTGAAACATGTCAGTTATACACATGCTTCAGAGATTGCACATATACGGTATTTTAATTGTGTATTTGTTGGTCAGTTGTTCTAACCAGCCGATAGCATTAGCTGTGAACATACTGACAAATGTCTATTTGGTAATACAGAAGCAACATTCACCACAATCGGATGAATATTATGCATAAAATAGTGGTTGTGTGTACTTTAATGCTTCATAATTGCATACGTCCAATTGTATGATTAAACATTTATCATGACGAGTGCATATGAATCAGTGCGCATCTATTTTATAGTTTCTACCGATCACTGACAATCGGGACACTGGATGCGTGTTATTGGGATCACAAGAAGACTTCAGTGAAGCTTATCGAAAAGAGAATCAAAGACAACATCTGGAATATCGATTTTCTCGCCCTCGCCTTCGAAAGTAAAAACTCGAGTATATTCAAAAGTGAAGGCATTGTGTTCTATACCTTATCAAAGTGGTATGGCGACATTCCCAAATCTACATCTATACTGAAGGTTGGTTCAGCTTTTTTCTTGAATGCCTTTAGCGTTAGAGGTTCACAACGGAACAGTGAACCACGTTGGATATAGAACATCGCAATGTGCTTTATATGTAGTCTAGAAACAGTTGATTAATTGGCCTTAAAACAATTGTATATGTTTACAATATAAGTTTGTGAAATAATATGACGACATATTACGGGCCATACAGTGGCCCATGTGAGCACATAGTGTATTGGATATTTCGATTCTTTGTGGAATGTACTCGTGAATGAGGTCTAAAAAGTGCAATATTTCTGTCACATCGAGCATTAATAATTAAATAGCTTTCATCATATTACAGCTCATCGGATGTACGTTGTGTCCAGCCTTCATTTTTTGCTTACTGAAGAAGAAATCAGACACAGACAGAAAATATGACAGCCATGAAGGCCAACACGGCGCGCCAGAGAAGACTACTACCACGTACGTTTGCACATAGGCATAAAAGCATCCATCAAGGATTAACATTTGTTTTTGAGTACTCTCATTGAACCAAGTTCACCAAACAATTGATATTTCGCTCATCTTGCTTTTGTTTCTTTTGTTTGATTATTTTATTTGCTAAAAAAGTTATTCTCTTGTTGCACAGAAACATTTGTATCAATTGAGATAACCATAACAAAGTTTAATGACATGTTTAACACCATGTACTGTTTTCAAAACTTGATGTCATTGGAAAGGACAATAAGTGGTCAAGTCAAACAACTTCAGTTTTCTAGGATTGATAATTTTTGACTTTTGTCAAGGTTTTAAAATCTCCTCAGATTTGAAGTAAATATAACCCTTGCGTATTGCGACAATGTCAAACAATATTACACATAACATTCGTTTAGAAACTTTGCTACATGTTATTTATTCAATATTTGTCCATAAGTTATAGTGTAGAAAATTATCACTGCTGGCAGCAACTGGTGTCTGTCTTTGATGACTGCTAACTTACATTTACAGGTGAACTGCGGAGTGGTGTCACCATTTTCAAAATTGGTGATAGTTTTACCTTGGTAAAGTGAATGAAGATCTACCTGCCCTGTATTTGCATGTCTTCTTATATATAACATAGGCTATTTACGTTCAAGGAAGAAAGCGTGTGTTGGCTGCTCTCGTCTCGGAGCATATTATTCGACCCCAGTGATCAAGTACACATCGAACCTTGTAAGTGTGTGTGTGTGTGTTATATTGTTTAACGCTGCACCCAACGATATTCTACCTATATAAATAATCAGATCTTGAAGAGACAATCTCCTCGAAGATAAGAGCGACAAATACATTATCATAAACATTCGAAATACAAAAAGCAGAATCCATTTTATGATTGCGATTATATCATGAGCTATTTAATAGTGAGTCATTATGGTCGTGAAACTGTCGGAATCGCACAATTGACTCTGCTTTTAGCAGAGATTTCCTTTCATAGTCGAAAGGGATTTGTCACTTTTTATCTAAACTGACGTCCAAAAGAAACTTTACCAGAGTTTGAAATCACACTTGCTCAAAAACAACAAAACATACATGGACAAAAGGCAGAGTACATAAACAATCGCTCACGTTCAATAACAAGTCATAAGTAGCGTGTGCGACCACCAAATGCCTCAATACACGCAAAAACTCTTCGACGCACAGAAAAAGTAAGTCGTCTGATGACGTCACGTGTGATTTGACGCCATTCTTCTTGGAGGGTCAAGATCAGTTCTTGCCGGTTGGCTGGAGAGTGTGGTCGTTGTCGAATACAACGATCCATCAAGTCCCAGAGGTGTTCTATGGGGGACATGTCGGGTGAGCGTGCAGGCCACGGCAGGCCGTTGACGTTATTGGCTACGAGGAAGTTAGTGACAATTCTAGCGTTGTCATGCTGATAAATGACACCATGTGGCTGCTGTTGGAGAAATGGTAGGACAACTGGACGAAGAGTGTTATCCATTTAACGCTGAGCTGTCACGTTTCCGTCAACGATGACCAGCGGTGTCCTCTCCTGCCAATAGATCCCTCCTCACACCATGACACTCCCTCCACCATATGGTACGGCCTCCTGCACGCAACACACCGCCGTTCGTTCACCCCTTCGGTGGTAAACACGTTGTCTTCCATCAGCCCTAAACATACAGAATCGACTTTCGTCAGTGAAGACAACCGTCGTTGCCAAAGTCGTACAGTCCAGGCCCATCTCAATCGCAGACGACGATGTTGTGCTGTTAATAGCTGTCCTCTGTATGGTCTAAAAGCCCTGATTCCATGAGCCCTGAGTCTCCTGGCCACTGTCTGTTGACTAACCCTTTGACCTGAGGCATTTGTCGCCGATGACGTCACTGTCAGGAATCGATTTCGGAGGTGCAAGGTACGCAAGTACCGGTCATCATGGGGCGTGGTAACCCTGGGTCTGCCTGTTCTTGGCCTGTCAGCGGTCCGCCCTGTCTGTCTGTAACGTTGCATCAAGTTGGTAACGGCAACACGGGAGCATCCGAAGGTTCGTGCAATATGGGCGTGGGTGGCTGGTGGCTGCCATCTGTACCATACCCAAGGCTCGTTCACGTTGTTCGACTGTGAGTCGTGGCATTTCTTTTTTGTTTTTTTTATCACTGTGGATGTCTGACGCCGTTGCAAACGTTTTATACCCTTACCAGCAAGTGTTGTTTTGCAGTTGTCCGTGGTGCACGTGTTTTTCACTCTTTCGCGTGTTATATTAACATTTCCTGCATACACTATTGTTGTATTTAGGTTATGTGTTTTAGATAGACTTCATCGAAAAAAAATTATACTTTGTCTGAAATTTATATTTTCAGTTGGTAAAGTTTCTTTTGGACGTCAGTTTACTTAACGTAATAAAGTACTGGCTTCTTGTTTAGGGCGAACTGTGGTTTCTGTCTGTATGTGATATGTGATACATAACTGGTGATTTTAATGGATTTCGCTTACAAACATTTTATATGATATAAATAAATGACATGTCATTGTCACAATAGTGAAGATTTGGCTTTAACATGTTCTCACCCTCAAATGTAGGTTTTGTTAACAAACGTGCGTTTACAAGCTATACCATCCTGCATATAAGCATGCAAGTAATACCATAAAGGTGTACGCATTTGGATGGCGTAACAAGTGTAGTTTCGAATAATTCCTGTCTACGGTAATGAACAATGATTGTTAAACTGCAGCAATTATGAATATAACAGATATCATCCAGCAATATTGCCATTTCCTGGAGCTCAACATGTTAACCCCCTGAAACAATATTTTGAACAATACATAACATGTATGTAACATGTTGCTTTGCAGCTGATCTACTGTATTTTCCTCGGTCTGTACGCCCATTTCATGCTGATTGTACTCACACTGGATTTCAAATGGAACTGGGAGATCCCACTGCTCTTTTGGATGGTAGCTTTTATTGTGGAGGAAGTCATACAGGTATGCTTACGACATTGTAATATAGACATTACAAAACTTTCATAGCCGCTTAAATATGATTTAACATATTTTTGTTCAATGAATTTGGATCGGTAAACAAGCTAAAAGGTTTATATTAATTCCTCTCCAGTAAAAGTTATATTCATGAAGGCATTCAACAAAAAAATACATGATGATAAACTAAATACGTTAACAAGAGTAAATGGTCATGGACAACGGTTTGGTGTAATGAGTAGAAAAAATAATATATAAGCGGGATATATAGTCTCACGTTAGTTTAAACCTTTTGGAAAGAAGTATGTATAAATGTACTGATTTTACGATATCTAGATTAGTTGCTTCGGAAAATAAGCATTACCAGTCAATTATATATACGCTTAAATATGAATTAAGTTAAAATGAAACCATCTTTTCTGGACATTTAGCCATATCCTCTGTATAATACAATGGTGAACTACACATCTTACAATTAATGGCATGCACAATGACTAATAATTGCTAAAGGGGCGGTCGGGTAGCCTAGTGGTTAAAGCCTTCGCTCGTCACGTCGAAGACTCGGGTTCGATTCCCGAGATGGGTACAATCAGTGTGTAAAGCCGATTTCTGTTGTCCCCCGTCGTGATATTGCTGGAATATTACTAAAAGCGTCGTAAAACCATACCTACTCATTGAATTGCTATAAATAATAAGATCTGATCAAATTTACGTCACAAATCTACATGTTCCACAGATATTTCCGCAATGTTACACACAGTAACGCTCGTAAATTATCCCTTAAAAATATGTGAACTTTAACGTTTAACTTGGTTGCGTCCCCAATGTGCATCCAGTGTTGATTACACAAGTAAAATAATCACTGAAATGTAAGTTGTCGTATGTCATTAACTATTAAAAACTCTGGGTGAGTCTGGCGTTATACTTGTTCACAGGTTGCACAATTCACGGAAGAACAACAGCAAAAATCAAGGAAAAAGCGTAGAGAAAAATCATTTCGCCGCTTTCGTAAGATTGTTCGACTTTACTTCCAAGATAAATGGAACTTTCTGGACTGTGTTTGTGTTGTTGGATTCATCATTGGCTACACTTTGCGTTGCGTTCCAGCCACCTACGATTATGGACGTTTATTCCTCAGCATTAACTGCATGTGTTTTATCTGGCGATTTCTTCAAGCCTTCACTTTGAGCAAGACGATCGGTCCAATGTTATACATGATGTTCAAAATGGTAGGCATTCATCAAACGACTATCAGTTCAACGTGACCAAATTTTCATACAGCGCGACTTAACATCTTAAAAGAGGGAGCATGTTTTTTTTAGAGATATAATACCCCAAAATACCCACTATAAATATTATTTGACTAATCACCTGCACCATAAATGTTTCAGGTGAAAGACCTTCTGCCGTTTCTGGTGATCTTGTGTGTGGCGCTATTTTCCTATGCAGTTTGCACGGAAGCTATCCTTTACCCGAATTCAGTTTGGTCAATCGACTTTGTTTTTCAAATCCCCGTAACCGCATTCTGGTTGATATTTGGAGAATTGGACTTCTTGGGAGAACTTGAAAGTATGATTATTTAATTGTGTGTGACTAAGTGTATCGTGGAATCTCACATTTTCTATCACTCTTTTTTAGATATACCGAAACAAAAATGATTGACCATTTGCTTCAAAATGAATAACTAATTCCCCCTATTTTCAGCCTGTACCAAACCAATATGTCCCTCGTACATTGGAATAAAAACGGTTCCATATTTCACGGCAGTGTACATGATCATGACCAACGTCTTGTTACTGAACCTCCTAATCGCACGATTCAAGTGAGTATACATTTACAAATCAGAAGGGACTGATTTAAAGCTTTGCTGGTATGTGTTTGTTTAAGTCTACAATGTTTTGAAATAGCACATAACATGGATATATTATTGGCGATTAGTTTGAAAGACTGATCACAAATTCATATTTACTCTTTAGAAAATGTGTTACCCATTACTGTACAAAGTAAAAGTAGCTACGTTATCTCAATGCATCGTGGCCTGTCGTTTCAATGAGTGCCCTGCAAATTTCTCGTTGTTACGTTGCTTTCACCACAGTGTTGTCATACACACATACTTTGGTATGTCTTTCTATCTACTCATATTTCTGTCTATGTACATGGGGGAGTGTAGGCAATAATTTGTCACTGGGATTCTGTTGTTATGAAAAATATATGCCTTTCCAGTTTCATGGAATCAATTCAGGGATACTTGTTTTAACGCATCACTATATATGCGTGGGTATATATTTTGTGAACATCGGGATAGAACAGGTTTACTGAATTTCCTTTTTATAACTCACCTTAATCTCATACAAAGAATTACCAAGTAAATTGTTGCATACTTATGTGTTTGTCTTTCTTTACATTCAGCCACATTTTCGAGGAAGTAAGAGGAAACACGGACGAAGTATGGGCAAGACAGAGGTGCAGTCTCATGTTGGAATATGAAAGTAAACCTCCTGTACCTATTCCCTTCTCCATTTTGTGGAGGATGATTTCTCGCCTTTGTTCTTGTCGGTGCAAATGCAACCGTAAGTGCATTCATCCAAACCGGTGTTGTTTCTGAAACGTTAAATGCGGAATATTTTAATAATACGATATCTCAATAATTTCTCTGTGTGAATGTTGTTGTAGGAAAACTGAAAGATTTCTGATTACTATAGCTTAAATGATTAAGATCGGATTATCACCGTAGTTTATAAACATAATGTAAAGGGTAGGCATTCGATCAAACGTCAAGCCCATCAGAGGTGAGGTGAAACGGGGTTTAACGTCGCGTCCATGCACGTGTGTGTTTGTTTGTGTGTTTGTGTGTGACATCAACACGTCCTGGTTTTAGCCCCGTACTGTCGAGCACCAGGCTCTCCGGGCGGATGCCCTACCACGAGACAACGAAGGTGGTAAACCGCCATCATAAGGAAAGAGAAGCCTTAGATAGATACTATAAATTTATGATGTTCCAAAGAGGATATCCATGTGCTGCATCTCATAGGGCTTCACTTCGATCGACAGACCATTGTGTGACTGAAATACTGTATACAGTGTTTAAAACGACCTCAAACTCAATTCTCTCATGATATCTCAGACATTACTAGCGACAACAATGTTGTCCTCGATACCATGTGACTGTGGTATATAGAACCGGTATGTTTCAGGTGGAAAATTGAAACAACACCCAGGTGACGATAAGACGGATGTTGCTCTAACGCCTCCGCAGGAGGATTACAACGAAGACAACTGTGACACTCAGACGACAGATTTAAACATTCCAGATCATGGTAGTACGTGTAGATGCATTTGCCTTCAAACCCAAATCATTCGTGAATGTATTAACCAGATAGCAATGTGAAACATAGTCGTATTCTTTTGGTTCGTCTTCTCAGGTCAGTGTCCATCCTTGCTGCTTCATGCAGCCCTAAATGCGTGTACACCACGGTGGTTAGGTACCCACGGTAAAAGGAAAGTTCGCTGACAGGGCTTTTAATTATGTCACTAGGATTGGTGTAATGTATGAAACAACAAAAGATTAACTTACTCATCCCTGATGGTTCAGAGAAAGGTCGACATTATAACAATAACGAATCAAAACTGTTTCTTCTTATCTGAAACATTTCTCTGTAAGTCTCTGATGTGTAAGATTCATGTAAACGCCAACCGTTGGGTCAAACGTATTGTTTACTGCAAGAATATACTTACCTCCCCTTAAAAATGGCAACCGAATTGATCCGATCAAAGAAGAACTGATATCCCTATCCCTTTTTTAGTATTAACATATATCATAAGTTCCACGGGAACACGAATCTACTGTTAACATAGATGCATGAAGATAGTTATCAGGCAAACTGGTGAATGTATGAATGCCAAGTTACGTGGTTAACGCTTAGAGAGGGGATTGTGTCCTTTACGAAATTCCTCATTCCATGAATGACATGCTGCTTATCACATATATGCAAGATGTCGGTTCAGAAGTCACTTATTATTAACACAGCACATACACAGAAAGAATATGTATAAAGTAATGCTAATTCATAAAAACTCAAATCCTTTGTATTTGGACTTTTACCAACGTAGGCGGATGTAGAACCTTAGCTGCTTCTGAGCAGAGAATAGCTTCTTGGTTTTCAACCATTTCAAATGCCGGTCGGTTCTATTCAATGTGACAAATGGCGATATATCTCAAATATTGGTGAAAGCGACATCTCTCTAACTTTTATTTTCAGATGAAGAGCCCAGTATAGACTATTACGAAGGGAAAGGGCCAATTGAACCACCCGTTACAATACTTCCAGGCCAGTGCAATATATGTAGGTAACCAAACTATGGATATCATAAACACAATGTATGTTGAAGCGGATTGTCAGAGATATATATGTGTCATTATATTGCATTGGTTAACTCCGCACTCAACAGTATTCAAGCCGTATGGCGGCAGCCTGTGAATAATCGAGGGATTGATATTGTGAGCAATAATCCACGCCTTCAAAGAAAGTCACCGAGCCTGACACCTCATTCCATTTGGTCGTTCTCTTACGATTAGCGTAGGTTGGTTGGAACCGGTTCCTACCCATGGGACTCATCATCATATCTTCATGTTGTTTATTTATGCATTTTGACGAGGAATGTTATATTTAGTTTTACATAACAATTAAAATGTAGTGTATTTAATAATCTTATTAATAATATTATCTAATAACCCTTCGCCCAAAGTTTCCTTTCTTATCATGTGTCCATGCTTTTATCGTCCTAGGTACCTCGTAATAAGATATAGGTCGCTCAGTGTGACAATAGAGTGAGGCTGGAATGAACATAAAGCAGTAGAGAAGAAAGATAAAACCGCAGCACAATTTATTCTGAATGTTAATCAAAGTTTCTCATATTTGATCCAATAAGTCATCGACAAGTGCTGCGTTTATTTTTAACAAATACGTCGGATAATTGTACTAGCTGAGACATCTGATGGCGATGGTGTTGGCGGTTACCACCAAGACCTGGAAGCTGCAGATGTTGGTGGTGAGGAGGAAAGTCAACTGAATGAGGAAGGCGTCAGCGAGCAATCAGGTATAATGTGCATTAGGCTTATTTCAATGGTCGTCAGAATGTCCTGAAATTGAGTGAGTGAGTTGGGCTTAAAGCCGCTTTGAACATTATTCTTGTTATATCACGGCGTGTCAAGTTTATTTCGGATGAAGTCCCGAAATGATGCACGTCGCAGACGGTTATCACATTGGTGAAACCCACGAGCTTTGGGATCGTGTTGACAAAGCTAGAAACATAATCGGAGCGAACCGCGATTCAAACCCACAATCCTAGGTTTCTGCTCAGCGAAATGCGCCCCTCGTGCGCCAACACCCACACCCCAAACACACAGTTTCAACACTCCAAATGAATAAATTTTCAAACATATTTATCTTTTTTTGTTTTCAAAATACTATACAGGGGGAAAAAAGCAGGGTCTTCATGGTCACTTTGACAGGCTTGTCCAGAGCGACGACTCCTAATACGAACCTGTTCGTCAATATACATCATGTTTCGTTGATCCTTAATTATAAACTCATGTCAAACATTTATTTGTAGTAATGAGGTAATTCGAAATTGTGTAATACCTCATGAATTGGAACATTCGTGGTTTTAATGTTCTAACTTTCTAAATAGAATCGATCCCATACGCAGCTTGTGAAAATCCTGAAGTGTGATTTTTGTTACCTTGTAGATACCCAGATTACTGAAACCGATGCCATAGACGAAGATGTGGATGCTCAAGGGGATCACGAAGATGACTCTAACCAGCAGACCTCGGAGACTCAGCAAGATGAAAACTATGATTATGGGGGTAACAATGGTGAGTCACTGACAGAGTTTCAAAAACAGGTAAATTTGGTCTTACAATCATTCAAAAAACTTCCAGATATGATACGTTTGATGAATCCATACTGTTTGATTGCACGGATACAACATAATGAGTGCATAATACCCAGTTGATCAAGGTAATGTGTATTGGTTAAGAAGCTTATTTCTAAGCGTCCAGAGAGAGCAGATGACCCTCACGTAAAGACATGGTGGGAACCTAATTCTGAGTGAAGTTATTTTAATGGAAACGCATCCGAAAGATTATTAAATGCTGTACATCTTGGTCAAATTCATAATTGACCCTCCTCAGTTAACACAGGCACAGTTACAAGTAAACAGTCGTAGGAAAGGCTGTTAAATATCCCGAAAACCTGGACAATCTAGGTTTCAATGTTTTCATACTTAATACAATCTATCCATATTTGGTGGTTGTCATGTAGATGCAAAAGCAGCCGAAGCTGAGGAAACAGGCGAGGATTTGGAAGGTCCACAGGTTGAAGAAGAATATGATGAGGAAGGTATGAAATAGTATGTCTGATGTAATCCAAGAGTGATTTAATATGAACCATACTGTTCATTGTTACTGATACAAAGAAATACATCCATAATGTTTGTTTTGGAGTGATACAGTTAATTTCTATTAGTGTCTATTTTTAACAAATCTGTCCCATTATGAATATTTGAATCAGAGGCGTCAGTGGTGTAGAGAAGGTCAGCACTGGGATAATCGACGTCGGGCTTATGTCATGTTTTTTGACGAATCGAGGTTAACACTCGACTTCCATGACCAAAGGAATCGAGGTTGGAGACGTCCTAATGAGCGTTTTATGGACATCGTCGTACAATACATCGTTTTGGGTGTGGGTTACAGTAGGGGGTGGAATCACTATGATTGGTGAACTGCGCCCCATATTGACCATGGCTTAGTCACAGGTCAATACTATCGGGATCCCATCAATGCATCACTCGTGGCGCCATTTGCACAGCGTGTTCGGCTACCTTTTATCTTTCGAGATGACAATGCACGTGCTCACCGTGCTATTATTGTGATCCAATTCCTCCAACAGCAAAACACCCATGTCATGCAATAGCCAGCACTCAATCCTGACCTTTCACTCACTGACCACGACTGGGGCGTTATTGCCTGACGTGTACGCCAACGTCAAAATCCACCCACCACTCTCAATGAACTCGGTGTTACTCTCACTGATGAGTGGAACAACATGTGTCAAGCTGACATTGGTAGACTCATTAGAAGCATGCCTCGAAGAATTAGTGCATGTCTGGCCAACAGGATTTTTTTTTAACCCGATATCAATGACGTTAGATGCAAAATGCAAATTTTGAAATTTACCCCTCACCATCTAATCACACCAATCATTAGAACCCATTAGATCTGATCGCCTACTCCCCAGCAGATATAATCATGCCATTTCCTTTCGCTAACACCATACAGGTAAGATATGTCTTGACGATTCCCACTTTCGCCCTTACTTTAGCTTAGTATATATGATATGAAGCTTATTGAAGTAGTGGATACGCCCAAATAGTAGGTAGAATATATCTCGGAAGTGACAAAATAATAATTAATCTACATCTACTCTGAATCGCATGACCTGCAACATAGCTTATATATAAGCACACATTTGGTGAATTTTAATAATATTGATAGTGTTGGTATCAACATCAGAACAGACATAATATGACAACGTGTAACATCCATTAAACAACTTGACATGAACATGATAAGAGCGAAATGAGAATGACTGAGTGTATGTTTTTTAATGTCGCAGTAACGATGACCTATAAATAATAAAGCCTGAAAGCAAGAGAAACAACCCATGCCATCGGGGTACGTTCACAGGCAGTAAGCTAAAGCGCAGAGTCTGATCATTCCTACATAATCTTTAGACAACCTTGATCAGTCGTCCTTATCCACGAAAGTCGAAATTTATTTTCAGTCTACTATGGTTACTACTATGACGATTCGGAAGTTTGTACTGACGATGACACGGACATGGAATTCGATCCAAGTCGAGAAGAAACAGAAACACAAAATGATGACAATAAAAGAAAGGGAGAAATGAATCTGGATGAATTCGAGAGGGCAAATGCTGAACTATACCTTCACGAAAGAGTTAAGCTTGCAAATTAATAATGTGTTGATTCTGCAGAACATGTGTTGAAAACCAGTACAACATGTATATATATGTGTGTGTATTTGTAGCAGCAAATGACATACAAAATATACGATCTCAAGTGACGAATTCAGTGTTCCATCATCTATACGTTGATTTAACGTGTTACGCAAAACAGTGCTGACACTTCACAAAATGTTCACTTATGTGCACTCATCTAGATAGTAACTTTGTTTTGATTTTAGACATATGCAGATATGACTAAAAACTGCCATTGGTTCTTCTTATATATTTTTTCATTTAATTGTGTTGATGTAAAGTAGTTATACCTTTTAGTATTTCCTCTGTATTTAGATATGAAGCATAAATATGCACTCCTCTAGATATTGTCTTTGTTTTGATATTAGATATATGTAAACAAGACGCAAAACTGTCATTGGTCATTCTTGTATGTTCACACAATTACATTTTTATTTAATGTTGTTCATCACATATACTTATGACTCATGACTGTATACTTATTTAGATATTGACTTTATGTGCGTGTCTATATCTTGAGATATATGTAGAGATGATGCAAAACTGGCATTGGTCGTTCATGTATGTTGACTCGTCTCAAATTTGATTAAATGTATTTTTCTTGTTCTTTAGTTATACATATGATGCATAAATGTACACTCATCTACACACTGACTGAATGTACGTTTCTGTCTCGTTAGGTAACTGTAGGTATGATGCAAACTGACATGGTAGTTCTTGTATGTTGACATATCTGAATATTTATGTTAATGTATTTTTATTTTTATTTAAATATACAAACATGTATGATACATATATGTACACTCATCTATACACTGACTTAACGTACGTTTCTATCTCGTTAGGTAACTGTAGATATGATGCAAACTGTCATGGTAGTTCTTGCATGTTGACTTATCTGAATATGTATTTAATGTATATTTCTTTTTCTTTAGATATACATACATGTATGGTGCATAAATGTACACTCAACTATACACTGACTGAATGTACGTTTCTATCTCGTTAGATAACTGTAGATATGATGCAAACTGTCATGGTAGTTCTTGTGTGTTGACTTATCTGAATATTTATTTAATGTATATTTCTTGTTCTTTAGATATACATACATGTATGATGCATAAATGTACACTCATCTACACACTGACTGAATGTACGTTTCTGTCTCGTAAGATAACTGTAGATATGATGCAAACTGTCATGGTAGTTCTTGCATGTTGACTTATCTGAATATTTATTTTAATGTATTTTTCTTCTTTTTCTTTAGATATACAAACATGTATGATGCATAAATGTACACTCATCTATACACTGACTGAATGTACGTTTCTATCTCGTTAGACAACTGTAGATATGATGCAAACTGTCATGGTAGTTCTTGCATGTTGACTTATCTGAATATTTATTTTAATATATTTTTCTTCTTGTTCTTTAGATATACAAACATGTATGATGCTTAAATGTACACTCATCTATACACTGACTGAATGTACGTTTCTATCTCGTTAGACAACTGTAGATATGATAAAACTGTCATGGTAGTTCTTGCATGTTGACTTATCTGAATATTTATTTAATGTATATTTCTTTTTCTTTAGATATACATACATGTATGATGCATAAATGTACACTCAACTATACACTGACTGAATGTACGTTTCTATCTCGTTAGGTAACTGTAGGTATGATGCAAACTGACATGGTAGTTCTTGTGTGTTGACTTATCTGAATATTTATTTAATGTATATTCTTTTTCTTTAGATATACATACATGTATGATGCATAAATGTACACTCATCTACACACTGACTGAATGTACGTTTCTGTCTCGTTAGGTAACTGTAGATATGATGCAAACTGACATGGTAGTTCTTGTATGTTGACATATCTGAATATTTATTTTAATGTATTTTTCTTTTTCTTTAAATATACAAACATGTATGATGCATAAACCGACACTAAACTATACACTGACTTAACGTACGTTTCTATCTCGTTAGATAACTGTAGATATGATGCAAACTGTCATGGTAGTTCTTGTGTGTTGACTTATCTGAATATTTATTTAATGTATATTTTTTTTTTCTTTAGATATACATACATGTATGATGCATAAATGTACACTCATCTACACACTGACTGAATGTACGTTTCTGTCTCGTTAGATAACTGTAGATATGATGCAAACTGTCATGGTAGTTCTTGCATGTTGACTTATCTGAATATTTATTTTAATGTATTTTTTTATTGTTCTTTATATATACAAACATGTTTGATGCATAAATGTACACTCATCTATACACTGACTGAATGTACAGTTCTATCTCGTTAGACAACTGTAGATATGATGCAAACTGTCATGGTAGTTCTTGTATGTTGACTTATCTGAATATTTATTTAATGTATATTTCTTTTTCTTTAGATATACATACATGTATGATGCATAAATGTACACTCAACTATACACTGACTGAATGTACGTTTCTATCTCGTTAGGTAACTGTAGATATGATAAAACTGTCATGGTAGTTCTTGCATGTTGACTTATCTGAATATTTATTTAATGTATATTTCTTTTTCTTTAGATATACATACATGTATGATGCATAAATGTACACTCAACTATACACTGACTGAATGTACGTTTCTATCTCGTTAGGTAACTGTAGATATGATGCAAACTGTCATGGTAGTTCTTGCATGTTGACTTACCTGAATATTTATTTAATGTATATTTCTTTTTCTTTAGATATACATACATGTATGATGCATAAATGTACACTCAACTATACACTGACTGAATGTACGTTTCTATCTCGTTAGATAACTGTAGATATGATGCAAACTGTCATGGTAGTTCTTGTGTGTTGACTTATCTGAATATTTATTTAATGTATATTTCTTTTTCTCTAGATATACATACATGTATGATGCATAAATGTACACTCATCTATATACTGACTTAACATACGTTTCTATCTCGTTAGGTAACTGTAGATATGATACAAACTGACATGGTAGTTCTTGTATGTTGACTTATCTGATTATTTATTTTAATGTATTTTTCTTGTTCTTTAAATATACAAACATGTATGATGCATAAATGTACACTCAACTATACACTGACTGAATGTACGTTTTTATCTCGTTAGGTAACTGTAGATATGATACAAACTGTCATGGTAGTGCTTGTGTGTTGACTTATCTAAATATTTATTTTAATGTATTTTTCTTGTTCTTTAGATATACATACATGTATGATGCATAAATGTATACTCAACTATACACTGACTGAATGTACGCTTCTATCTCGTTAGGTAACTGTAGATATGATACAAACTGTCATGGTAGTTCTTGTATGTTGACTTATCTGAATATTTTTTTTCTTGTTATATATGTCTGACGCAAGCATGTACACTCATCTAGATGCTAACTCAATGTAAGATTCTTAAAGTTGATACATGCAAAAATGGAATTGGTCCTGTTCATAAGTTTTTATCTAAAGTACGTCTCTTGTATTTTAGACATGGGACATAATTGTACACTCATCTAGATATTTATATGTACTTCTCTCCGTCTTCAGATATATGCAAATGTGGCGCAAACGGTCATCCGTCCCTCTTTATGTTTAAATATTGACTCAATGGTTTTTACAACTGTTTTAGATGAATGTAAATATGACGAACAACTACACGGATTTACTATTTACTCTGTTAGATATTGAGTTAATGTGTGTAACGCGTAATTAAGGTCTTGGTTTTAAATATATGTTGGTATGGCCAACACTATGCACGAATATTGTTTCAGACGAACTATCTGGATAGACACGCATAGTGTGAAGGGATTAATATGTATAGCGCGAAACTATGCACTAGTATATTGTAGATGTCCAGTTGATAAGATACTTGAATGTACCATATTGATTAATTGGGCGGCATCTAGTATGACATATCATTTAGATTTGTTCATGTTAGTAAAATGAAAATAGTACTTGGTTTTTTAAAACTTTAAATGATACAAAATTCCAGTTGTGAAATATTTTAAAAGTATTCTTATCAAATACAACATGGTTTAGAAATTCTGATACAGATTTGATGTGTAGCAACATTATCGGATTCTGAATATTTTTAATATATATTTTAAATAGAATAAACTTTTCAAATAATTGGTAAAGGTTCACAATCTTTGAAACTCTTTGGGTACATAAACCTTCATGATATGTAGGACCATACAGTGAAGTGGATTTCTTATGTAATGGTACTATACATTAATTTGTTTTATTCAAATTGAACAAATATACTTCAATTCTGGAACAAATTTTAGCATTATCTCCTCAGAAACTAAACTGTCACAAAATTCGGACCTGGTTTATTTTTAAACAAATGGCACAATATCGGTTGAATTCTACAAGTATCGTTGTTGAGTGTAATCTGCTGTTCAAATGTTTTAAGCCCAATAACTCGTGTTATGACGTGTTGTGTATTTTGATATTTTACTTTGTTCATCGACCTTTTACCAAACCAACTATTCATCAACCAACCAGTTTATTTTATCAACGTTAAAGATGTAAGTAAAATACAGTTGTTTTACATGTTGCCTTCAGAAACTCGTGTCATGATTTTAGTGCATATTCTTGCTTACTCTCGTTCAATGTAAAATCAAAAATATTTTTAGCGACTGAACCTCATGGGTTGATCAAACTCATTTGCCGCTGATGACGTCACTGTCCGGAAGCCATTACGGAGAGGAATTGTCCGCATCCACCAGTCGCCGTTGGGTGTTGTGGCACGTGGTGTACCCGTTTTTGGCCTCTCTGATGTCCAACCTGTCTCGCCTATCTGCATGTATCAGGTTTGTGACGGAAACAGTTGAAGGCCTTGCTACATAAGCGTGAGATCGTGTCCTTCGGTATCATCCCTATGGCTCGTTTCGCTGATCGGCTGCCAGCCTCTGCATTGGTCGGTTGTGCTTTTACATCAATGCACGATGCCACCGTCTAGTTTCGATGGTGGCCTACTGTATATACCTTTCACGAACTCTTGTGGTCATGTTGTTCTAAAAATGTTGCTCTTCATACATGCTTTTCACAATTATCAAGCAGTGTGGTACATTGTTTCGGATGGGAGTATTGTTCTTCAATAAATTGGATTCGATAATATCTATTGTATTTGGGACATTCCGTTTTCAATGTGGTAAAGTCGGTATAAATTTTTAAACAGTTTATTGTTTTGTTTTTTTCTCTTCAAATATCAGGCGGTGGTACATAGGGTAAAAAGATAAGCATGTTCACATAAAATTATTATTATTATATGACAAGATGACAGCATGGGTATGTAATATATCTTTTCTGTTTTGTATTTTCTTACAGCCTTAAATATTTCATCGATAAATCTCGATAGGGTCTTGTGATCTCTAGCGTTGTGACTGGACATTAAACTCTTGAATGTGTACAGATTAGTCCATTTATTCTGTTAAGCATTTGGTAAGTACACAAGGCTATGTTTTAACAGAGCCTGGTATCTAAACAAATAATGGATTTTGTCTGCAACTGAAGGAGAGTTGCACAGTTCATACATAGGATCTGCTTCTTTTACATTACTCCAACGACCGGTTTCAATTGGTAATTTATGATCACATGTTCTGAATTTTAAGACTGAATATAATTTGTTTTTGTCAATAAATGGTATCGTTCAAATTTTGGCGTCTCTGTCTGATACAGAATACCATATTGCTTGTCCATTCTGTACTGCCTCGCTTACCTTAGCAACCAGCCATGTGGTATAACAGGTCAAAGGGTTGTAGAAAAATCCCCAGTTATTTAATATAGTTTAAATCTATTGATACTAGCCACGTATTACATCATAATTCCGTTCAGCACAATGGTAAGTCATTTGTGAAAGGGTCTTATCACAGGTAAGTGTTGCGATATTAGGTCAGAATGTTATTTGCCGTTTTGAGATAGTTATGTGTAGAGGTACCCTGTCTAATTCCCCATAAACCATAAAATGTGGAGTTGATGCTCTTTATCCAGTGGCATATTATAGAAATTTGAAATGAACACTCTCAATAATTTCTAGATTTTCGTAACCCCATATTTCTAAACCTTATAACCGAGATAACTCAATCGAGAGGTAAAAAAATATTCCTGGCGCTCTTCAGAAGACAACCTGGCTTTCTTGGTATTAGAGGCAAAACATTAAATTGCCCTTACCATCCTTCGATTGCTGTGGAAAGTTACATGTAGCTCAGGTAAACTTGGCTGTCAACTAGTTCGATCAAACATGAACTGGAGTTTTTAATTCATATCATATCGTGTCATTCTTTTTTGTTTCTGAAATGTTAAAATAAGTTCCATTTAGTGCAGTTTATTCTAAACGAGTCGAGAGTGTTCTGTAAATCAGCTGGGCATCTAATACGACTGCATCATCAGAATACAGTAGTTTTATAAATTGTAATAATAGGGTTGCATCATCACCAAGATTGTAATCAACATTTACAGCATGACAGTTATGTTCCAATAGAGATTGCCCTAAGGTCATTTTTATACAATGACAATAGAAATGGGGATAAATTTTCTCTTTGTCGAACTCGTGAAAGGCTTGGGGAAAATCTGATGTTTTTTACTAAAACATATGATTTAATACCGCTGTATAATGTTTTAATTAGAATTAGAAATTTACCAGTGACGGCACTTTTGATTATTTTTTGCCAAAAACCTTTTATCCACACTTTGTCAAAGGCCTTGGTAAATCATTTATGACTATATCCAAAGCTTCAGGTATGTGTTACTCTATGGTACAGTGGTCACATAGGTTACTCGTTTCAGCTTTGAAATCGCCCATCAATACGAGATAATCACATAATCACTCAAGGATAAAAAGTTAATTAATATGGAATGTTCAAGTTCAAAGACTTCTTGTCGTAAAAGGCGACTATATGAATCGAGAGGTCAGGTTCCGTGACTTGGTGGATTTCATGTCATCGTTTCCAAATTGGATAGATTTGATGCTCATGATGTCAATCACTGAATTCTCCGTTCCAAATCCGAATATTCACAGAATGCCGTCATATAGCTGGAATATATTTGATTCCGCCGTTGAACAGCAAATTATTCTTATTATTGACGTACGTGACGTACTATCAAATCAAACGAAAGAAATATTCACTTAGTAATCGCGCTTTGTTGAAGATAATATTGTTACAATTCAAAAATAATTCTACATACAATATAACATAAACAAAACAAGAAATATGTTATGAAGATAAGGATAGTCTAACTAATATATAACAATCATGTGTATAACAATCTAATAGGTGATAATGGTGAAATACATTGCAGAAATCGGCAACAAAGTGAAGAATATGTTTGGACATGTAGCTATTGTTCTAGCTGAAAGAGCAACAAAGTATCCACTGCAGACAGACACGACGAACATAATTACTGAAATGACAATTGTAACGGTTCTTGATTTGGTGGTTTAAGCTTATTCCACGCATCTAGTTGATGGTCCATGCTCTTCGTGATGTAACCATGAGACGCAACACATTTCATGATTATTGATTGATTTATTGCTGGAACCCGTCATCGTTGGCCCCGAAAAAAACATTGTTAGGATTCAGGAGAGCATAATACATCGTCGAAAACATACACTTTCACTTGACAACTTCAATGTGTAAGGCAATCGTTTTCGCAAATCCCGCATATGTCACCGCATCGCATTCTTCCACTCATAACATGTGCTCTCTCCCTGACTTCCGTTCAAAGGGACATAACTCGTCCTCGCATACCGCAAATAATAAAATACGCATTGTCATTTCGTAATACTAAAATATAAAACGACCACAAAATCTCCCAACATTACAACAATGAAATCAACATATCAGACTTGTGCTCAAATGACATTGTACATAAAAATACAAGCGACAAAACTCCATAGACCACTGTACGACTCCGACAAAGTCATGAACATGTGTTTGTGAATCACTATCAAAGAGTGATGATACCAAGTGATTACGGAACCGGTGGCACACAGCATACACACATACTAAGGAAAGTCGATTGTTCACCAAGAAAAACAAGGGAACGTGCTACAAGTCAAAATAGGGAATTGCATTGGACAACATTTTTGTCACTGATGTGTCAAATTTGGAAAAGTCCAACTCCAAATTCAAAATATCAACCATAAAACCTTTCAAAAGCTTTACTGAGGCCTTGAATGTTGTAACCTTGATCAAACAACTTTTGAGCAAGAGTGGTATGAGTCGTATGAAAGAGCATTGTACCCCAAAAGCTGTAAAAAGTAGACACTGGTATATTGCTCGACATAAAGGGGAACAAACGGTCACGACATATTAATTACCTGATGGAACTCATGTCTCATTTTTTCTCTTTTCCTTCTTAATGGTATTCATATTAGTTCATCAACTAATCGATGCTTGTGATGTCAATCACTGGATTGTCTGGTCCAGACTCCATTATTTGCAGACCGCCGTCATAACTGGAATAGTACGGCATTAAACAATAAACAAATAAAAACAAACTTTTGAACAAAGCAACAAAGAGTGGGATGTAGGTGTATACACTGTGTAAGGAACTTAAGTATAAATAACTTTGCACTTATATCTATATAGAGATAATTGGACTGCCAATGTATCTGTATGCATATGAAGATTATATAAGAATCATAATAATCATTTTTATTACCTACGAGGGCAAACATATCGGGGTTCACAAAAATCATATGTGCCCTAGGGTCATATCACGTCACGAGACAACAGTGTATTGTTTCCGTAATCCGGGCGGCATTGTTGATTCGTTCGAATCTTATTGTGACGTGAGGTCGGAATGACGTCACTCTAGAAACGACGCCATAGCTGAAGATTGTTGCTCTCGCTCGGGAAATACTGGAATTTCGTCACTCGTGTCGTAAACATAGTATGACATGAACTCTCATATAATATCCTCTATTCATTGTTTCCCTGTGCTGATTCAATACATATGCAAACAGGATATATATGGTTGTGTGCAAACCAGTGATACACAGGTAGAGGATAATGGTTGACTGTGAAACCATTGCCAGCTTTCTGAACTACATGAAGAGAATTATGTCAGACTGCCAAACTGTACCTATATTTTGCTAAAGAGTTTTGTCTATAGTCAATATTATTATCATATTGTGTTATTGTGTGGTAACACTTCAAAGACAGGTGCATGTAGACTATTTATGTATTTATGTATATCATGTAGTTATGACATATTGTGCCCTTTGAGTGTAGGAAAGAAAACATTCCCAGTAGGTTTTGTCATTCCATTAACTCTACAGCATGCACTTACAGGACGAAAACATGACATTCAAGATAGTATTCACAAAGACGTGATTAAGTCAGAGATGAATTCTTTTAAATTTGCCATTGAAAGAAAACTTGCCGCACCTAAGATATCAATTCATCGGCAGGCCAAGAACATTGTATATGTATCAATACACGCACTTTCATTGAATCTCGAGTTCGTTCCGTACTTTGATCTTACCCTTACCCCCTTTACCACAGAAGAACCAACGCCACTGATAGCTGCGTGACCTGAATGCCTGGTCTTCTTTGCATTTCTTACTAAAACATTTACGTGGCGTATTTCACCCAGTCATTCACAGTCATGGGAATCTACCACAACAAATCCAGATGTAGGTAAGTTAATGCGGTTTATTTTGAATCCTTAATATGGTCATATGGCTTGTCTACAACTTTATGCAGATAACAAACAATATATACGTTGACGATTCACCTATATATATATATATATAGAGAGAGAGAGAGAGAGAGAGAGGGGGGGGGGAGTTGGGAGAGAGATAGAGAGAGTGTGTGTGTGTATGTATGTGTGTGTGTGAGTGTGTGTGTGTGTGTGTGTGTGTGTGTGTGTGTGTGTGTGTGTGTGTGTGTGTGTGTGTGTGTGTGTGTGTGTGTGTGTGTGTGTGTGTGTGTGTAGTGAGCTATTGTCGTGGCCTTATGTCCGGCATCGTCGACATCTGTAAACATCGACCACTAGACGTCATGAACTGAAATTTCACATGTTTGTTCCGATGATAACAATTGAAAGCGCGCAAGAGCCTCGTGGATCTCCTTTCTGTAATGTAATATTATGTAATATTAAAAGCTGTATGCAAGTTGTAATAACCAAATATCAAAATGTATTTTAAGGAATACTAGAGCAAATGGGTCACTATAACAATAGTACTGACTAACAGTGTAGATGTATACTATGGATGTGATAACCGATACGACCCACGAGATTACTGGCTAAGTGATAGAGGCTCTAAATGTCCTAATACTACGTAATGAACTGCTGTGTTGTACAATGGCTCAATTGAGATTAGATATATTACAGCATGTCAAATAGTCTTCCTTAGTACACTGTACAGAAATTAAGTCGTCCAGAAGCTATACCTTATCCAAACGGAGTGTCAGTAAATCACTCTCATCAGTGACATTGAACTGTGACACAATCTGTGAACTACTGTTCAGAGCAGGGTAAAATAGATGCGTTTTAGTACAAATCTATTAAGACATAAAACTTACTAAAAGTGTAGTTTTACATCGAATCAAGACTTTTAATGTCACTAAACGGGTCATGGAGGTTGAATGAAATTATGTACAATCGTATTTACGAAATAAATTCGCAACGCTAAACAACTTCCAGTATTGCACACTGGGAAATCCCTTAAGATCCCTTAGCATAATAGTAACATGAACCTATTGCTTATTTGTAAACAAGGCTTTGTAGTCTGTCTTGAAAGACGTTGTCAAAGGCCCCTATGTCCATTTGCTGTCTTTGTTCAAATGAAACACGACACCTACATTCTATACTCTCGACTTCAATAACTCCCTTACCCCCCCCCCCCCCCCCCCCCCCCACACACACACCACCCCCGCCCCACACACACATACACAAACAGACACAGACACATGGTATAATACAAACACCACTGACGATGTGAATAGGTATGCTTTAAATGCACATGATGAATAACCCACCTTTCTTACGACTGAGTGAATTATTTGATTTTACCGCAGCTTTTAACAGTATTTCAGTTACACCACTGGTCGTTTACCACTTTGATACAACAAACAAGTGCGTTCATGGTGGGAAGACACTTAAAGGGGAACTGTACACGCAAAAATCACTTTCTTTCTTTTTCTAAACAAAACGCAATTTTAGAATTAGTTAGTATCTGTGTTTGAAAATATACACTCATTTTTTTTCACGGTGAAAGTAGGAAGCTCACAATAGTGTTAAAATGATATGCCGTTATGAAACCTTCGTTTTACGAGCGAAATAGGCCTGAGTTATCCCCCTTAGATTATGACGTAATTGGTGCCAATTCAACTGGGTCCCTGTCTATTCTCAACGCAAAAGATATCAAGGACCAGTTTGCGGTAAAACAACATGGTCTACGACACACTCCGGCGCAGTGGTGACTCAGCATAACACAATTCTGGCTGGCATCTGAGTCGCTAGAATCACAAAACTGTACCTACACCACGTGAAGCGGCTCTAACAAAGCATGATGACGTCATAATGTTTATCAATTGGCACCAATGACGTCATATTGCAAGGTGCATAAGCCATAGTGTTTTTGTTATGGAAATAGAACACTTGGTAAATGTGAAAAATATAAATCGTTTTAATGCAAAAAATATGTTAATTAAATATGATGTTTTTATATTTTTGTCTATGACACTTCTATGTTAACACTTTTAATGTGGAAAAAGTACAAGAAAAATTGGTTAATTTCCGTGTGAACTTGCCCTTTAATCAAGGGGTTGGAGCCCACGCCTTGGGCAACAAAGCAACATGTACCTCTGAAAATGATATGGTATACAAATGTGCGCACGCGCACGCACGCGCACACGCACACACACACACACACACACAGAGTGTAATCATGTGGTAAGAATTCATGAATAAAATATATGGGTTATTGGTGCATTGATGTTATTGATGATGCATTGATGAACGACAATGCAATATCTAACTATGTTCTTCCCCCATAGCCCCAAATAACATCATATAAAATAAACGCGACAAAAGATTCTATTATCATAAGAAATATCTACCGTAAGCAGAGTCCATTGTACGATTCCGACTGAATGAAAAGCATGTGTTTATTGATCACTATCAGGTCAAATGTATCTTTTATTCATTTATTTTTTCTAGTTTATAAACCAAGTGACTGTAAACATAAAATGAAAAGAGAAAACATATTGCGATGGCATTTCCATTTCCTTGATGAGAAGTAATTCATTTTACTGTGGTACCATACCCAAGCCTCCTATACCTGTATGATACCTATGGTGTAACCTCATTTTACTGTGGTACCATACCCAAGCCTCCTTATGTATGATACATATGGTGCAACCTCATTTTGAACAATAGTTCAGAACAATAGAAACAATAGTTTCATTGGCTATAGCACATTGAGGATTCATAGTCTCGTCAGTAGAAGGCGTATATCTTTATGGCATTATCTAAAATGTGTTTTCACCCTAAACCTGACAAAAATATATGTCGCGAGTTATAAGATGTTCTCTTTCTATCATCATAATTGGAACATAAGGAGTTCTAGACAAGGGTATCACATGGTTGTGCGTTCAAATCCGACTTAGTATCACTGGCCTCGCGGTAAGGGTCTGTACAACGTCTACGAGAACGGAACTACATGTATACATACATAGTTGTTCCCCTTGACTGACATGATCCTCCAATTATGATTATTCATCTGACAACACCTCGTGTTCGAGGGAGTCACCAACATGACCACAATTAACGCCTTTAACTAACACGATATAATTTTAAAACTCTTTGAATATAGACATGGCACATAACACTGCATGTATATGGCGTAACCCCAGTGTGGGTTTGATGTAGTGACATTTTAATTACCATAATTGGTATGTGGTGGTTACAATGATCAGTAAATGATTGTGTGACGTTGTCATAGAAGTCAGCGATATTCCAGCTATAATACAGGGGCGAGGCACACTTTGTGTAATACTATCTTCAGAAAACACAGTATTGCGACTCCTTTCATCTCATTATATCCCACCTACTCAACCCTTCTCAATATCAGACTGCCTCCGTGGTCTAGTGGTAGAGCGTCTGCCCGGAGAGCGGAAAGACCGGGGTTCTGTCCCCGACCGCGTCATACCAAAAGACGTTAAAAGTTGCCATGTCTGGCGCTCGGCATTAAGGGGCTATAACAAGGACTGGTCGGCTCGGAATCAGTATACTGTGTCTGAGTGGGGTATTCATGTTAAACTGCGGCATGGTATCTCAGTGTGCCAGCACAATAAATCGGCATCAGTCCGGACTAGTACAAGCAGCCACACACACACACACACACACACACACACACACACACACACACACACACACACACACACACACACACATGTGCATGCACCTCGCTATATAAGTGCAACAATCTTGGACGCGACGTTAAATCCCATTTCACCTCACTTCCTCAATATCATTCTATTAATAACATCAATGTTAAGGTACTGATGGCCGCTATGTCTGATCCAGAGGGTGCAGACTCGTCTCAAGACGCCCCCAAACGTGGTAAGGACAGGTTATATTTCAAGTATGTTGGTTTTAGTTTTCAGATATACATGTGCAGTCATTGCAATCAATCGTTTTCAACTTTATGTTAGACAGTTGACACAGCCGACTAACATTCACTCATCTACCTACACAATGACGACAAATGAGAAAGTAATTCATTGTAGGTAGTCTGTTGTATATGTTGAACTCAGATAAAACTCTAATTAGTGGCATGTTATCCATCTACAATCCGATTTTCTGAGATGGTGCCATATCTAGACACACTCGTTATTGATAGTTCATGACGTCCTCCTGTGGTCATCTTGTGGTTTCATCATGAAGACACATGCTATGTCATAGGCCCCGAAACTGACATCTACCACATATTCAACATACATGTATTAATAACTCGTTTCAGAACGTCCTGGTGGAGGTGTTTGGGTGCCAAAGCCAGGCTCTTTACATGGTATGATTACTGTTGTTGAAGTTAGTCAATATCAATATTTAAGTTGTACGCTTCCACGCCAGCCTGCTGAAAACTGAACAACATTTCACGAATTTCAATTTTTCTTTAACTTAACCGAAGACTAATTCACATGATGTAAGAGTAGGCATGCTTGTTGATGAATTTGCACGTTAATCAAACGTTTCTTTCTACTTTTTGTTTGTTGTTTGAAGCCGCACGCAGCAATATTCGATATATGACGGCGGTCTGTAAATAATGGAGTCTGGAAAATCTAATGATTGACATCATGAGCATCGATCTGCGCAATTGATATTGAGATACGATGACATGCATTAAACAAGTCATGCATTGACCACCCGATCCCGTTGGTCACCTCTTACCACACACAGGTGTTACTGATCATGTAGAGCAATTCTACCCCGAATCTTCACAGGGTTTGATTGTGTTGAATGTAGGTTGCTGAAGATCAATTCTCACCAAGAATGTCACGGGATTTCTTTCTACTAAAGTGTCTATTATGCCATTGTAGAGTACAGAAGAAAAAGAGGCCACTTGCATTAATTTTAATGACCATATATTCTATAATTGTAAGGATATAGAAGACATTATGTTCATCGTGTGTATTTATTCGTATGCATATTTACACTTTATACGCAAAAAGAAACTAAATGGACACATCAGATTAAGACTATTGATTGTACCCTTATCTAACAATGTACCTTAATAATATACTGTACCATAATTGTGTTATTTTCTATTTGATTTTTTATTTGTTATCAGCCCTAACATTTGATGTGACAGGAATACTTATTCGATCGAACAGCGAAGTAAGTACAACTTAATAATATCAACTCGGATATCCATACGAACCTTAACCTTCGAAGGGTATGTGGTCCAACGTCGGTGTAAATTGCCATTTACAAGTTCTGAACTCTCAAACAGGTTCATATGGGATAAATGTATCAGTCCAGAAGCTATAGATTTTAATATCTGGTGTACAGTTAGAACCTGCGTTCGTGGATATACTACCTTCCTATTGCAGTCATCTAAACCGATGTATCACATCGTTGTCTTTGTTGCCATACGCCACAGTCAGAAATATTTCAGCATTATCACGATGGCCTGAAAAGAATTGAGTCTGGATCAAACCAATCAGTTGTTCATCTTATGAGTAACACCCTAACCGCCAGGAAACGATGGCACGCAATAAACCAAGTCACCGATCCTGACCACACTATACATTTGATATAAGTGGCCTATTTTTCTATGAAGACAAGCATAGGTTACTGGGGACCAAAAAACTATTAACCCGGAATCTCCACGAGTTTGCATCCCTTTGTCATCTTGTGCGAAAAAATATGTACGTGCTATTGCACCAATCTCAATCAATTTCTAAAAGTATGTACCTAACTAATAGTATATAGCAATCATTATGGTAAGTGGTGGGATATGTTTTGATCATCTTTGTAGGTGCCCTGGTATGAACGGCATGCTGAATGGATCAAGAAACACGTTCAACAGAGGAAATGTTCCGTGTATTCGAGGTATTTGACCCCACCTAAATAGTGGTTATTTACACGTCGCATTCATGCATAAATGTACGAGTTCAAGAGTTGCCAACCCTGTGATACAATTTAGATCATATAAAAGAGTTTGAAGTTCAACACAGATTTAATTAGAGACATGGTAATGAATGCACGAACAAATTGTAACTCGGTGGGAATAATACACTAGCGATGACCCCAATATGAACTCTTTGGATGCTTGTTAAGGGACACTTACATTATCAGAAACATTTCAGAAGGAATATTATATTAATGTCACTGAACAATAAGGCAGTTGTACTGTACTCCCTCCGCAACAGTCACTTGGTGGTTTAATGCATTTCATTGTACAGCACAGATGTGAACCAAAATCATTACCAAGATATTATGTTGACTAATTCAAACCTGGATCTTGACAGGGAGTACCTGGAGTATACTGTGCATGAGTACACAAACGGTAAACGTTATTACAGATTTACAGAAGAAAATGAGGAACGTTGCGTATGTGGGCACTTGAAAGCTGAACACGATGAAGAGGACAGCAATAAGAAATGGAAGAAGGAAGTCAATACATCGACGGACCCTTCCGAATACTATGGAACACTGCTTATCAAACAACTAGTGAGGAGTACAAATGATAAGGCAGAAAATGACAGTAGCGTCACCAAAGCCCCAGATAGGGTTCCGACAGAAGAATCGGGCCATGCATTGGAGGTAATGTTCACGATTTTGTAAAAGTTCAATAATATTTTGAGCAATGGTTACTATGGTTATGATATATTGTTGACACCTTATCTTATTTACTATGTCTGTATTCCAAATTGCAGTTCTTGCGCGTAGATGAGGATATACCAATGGGGGACATCAAATCTTTATTGTTCAATGTGTGGAACGTGAACAGGCCGAAGTGGATAATCTCACTGATGGGAACACAAGATGAACTATTCACACGGTTGTCAAAAGCTGTGGTCAAAAGGGCACTGAAGAAACTATGGGACAGAGCAGGTTTGTTTTTCATAATTATACTAGACACCAACATAAACTGTGCATATAATTTTGTGTTGTATCTTTGGATTTGATCTTTTGGATCTGTGGGAACAAAACACTGGAGCACGCACAAACTCAAATGCACGGCCAATGTCCCACCTTCACACGCGCTGCGGTAAGCCACTCGAAGCATTACGCACGTGAATGTCATGGATGATAATGCTGACAATGCAAATTCATTTGTCATTGATTTTACTAGTTGATAGAGGGTGCATTTAATCGCCATCATAAAGAGTGAGTATGGTTTTACGCCGCTTTTAGAAATATTCCAGCAATAAGACGGCGAAATGGGCTTCGCATATTTTACCCATGTGGAGAATCGAACCCGGGCCTAGGCGAAAGCTTTAACCACAAGGCTTCCCCACCGCCCTGTCACCATACGACATTGATCAGAACGTGTCTGTCAAACGTTGAGTCTAATAAAGCCATTGATTGAAGATCAATCGAAACATTTCTGAAACCATGTCTGCACTTGCCCGTCAATGACCGACCACGTTCTGGACATCCAAGAGTTACAAACTCTGACCAGTAAAGATGGATTCACTTGGATAACAGGATTTTGAATATCGTAACCACTGCACAGTTTATTCCAAATGATGGACGGATTCATACCTATACCGTCAGACACCAGCTGCGAGAGCACGTAATGGGTTTGCGCTGACCTACAAATCGCTAAGACATCGGCAGCTTCGTCTACCGTGGCGTAATCACCACATCCGTCCTCCTATTTATTGGCGGAGGAACGTCATGTTCACAGATGAATCCAAATTTCACGTGTCAAGTTTCTCATGTACAGTGTCTCATGTTGGTGCCTAGTATATACATTGCAACCCTGAATTATTATTTATGAATAAAAATGTACATGACATATTGATAAATACAAAAAAACAAATCTCATTCTGGTATAATTGTAATAGTTTTCTGAAAGACTACGGATTTTGTGGGTAATTCAAATATGGCATATGGCAAATACGCATAAAATATGTCACTTTTGTTTAACTTTAAAATACATTTAAAAGAGGACAAGATATGGTAAGAGCCTTTTGGCCACACAGCAGCTAGTAGCAAAACATTTAGATATTTTTGGTGAAAGTTGTAACGAAAAGGTGTGACTAGAGGTTTTTAAGGAAACATTTTAGTTTATATCTGAACATGATGGAGTCTGTAATCTAGGCTAATTTTCTAAGGGATAACGACATTACTAACATGGGGGAAATGCATCTTGGGTAATGGACTCATAACAAGAGTTTCTCTTGAAAGTGGAAAAATCGTCCCTTTTCACAACTTTGATCATGCCACAAGACCTAAACTTTCACGTGTAAAGACAAAAGGTTAGTTGTCAGCCATTTAAACATATTTGATCATTTTCGTACCAATATTCCAAAGCGTTGGACATTTACAGTAGGCCAAAGGCCCTTATCCTATTTCGTCAGTTACATTGTGTAAAGTAGTAACATAATATTTTGAGAATTCTTTCGCGAACACCTGGCATCATCACTATTTGAAAGTGATTCATAAACACATGCTCATTATCAAGTCGGAATGATACAATCGATTCTACTTTTGGCAGGGATTTCTTATGAATATTGAAAGGGATGTGTCGCTTTTATTTAAAAAAATATAATTTCATTAGTTTATAAATGTATAAGATATATAAATTTTACAATTTTTCTGCACAGCATATATACTGTTTTACTCATGGTTTTTACTTTTAATTGGTCCTACTAAAGAGTGTTTATTCATCTGACTTTGAATTCGCAACAGATCTCTGCATCGTATCTGACGGCTTACACAATGGAGTCTCAGAGCACCTTGTTGGTGCAAAGTCGCTGGAACGTATTACATCCATAGGATGTTCATCTTGGGGTATCTTGGGTGACCATGATGTTTTCAAAGGCATGCAGGTATGTCAAGAGTTTTACCGAATTTAGGGATCTTAATGAAACAAACGTATGCGCAAGATACTATAGTCGCCCTTTTGCTTAATGTAGCTGAACTAATCTATATTTTCTACAAAAAACTTATTTGTTCTCCGCAAACCGCGCATAGAAAACTATCATTTACATGTCATATCCAATATCTTATATTAGGAATACATAGTTTAATCTCAGAAGGTTTGACTTACCATTTCAAGTTTGACAATGGTTTTACGTGCAAGATGTGTCCACATGTTGTATAACTGCCACATCAATGTATACCTGCTATGGTGCAGGAGGACGAGGATGGGTACAGGAAGATGACGTACTTTCTCAAACAAGGAACAGAGGCGATTACAGGACCAAAACAGATTGGGACAAATGTATCTCACATGTTTCTGGTTGATAATGGAACACGTCAGCCATATCTTTGTGATTTGTCCACCATGTCGTTCCGCGCGAGACTGGTTGCAAGTCTGGCAGCATCCGAGGCTGGGACAGAAGTGGAAATGGGTACGTCTATTTTCGAAAATTTGACACTGTAAGTATATGTACCTTAAAGGTGGATCAACACGGAGGATCTTATTCTTGAAAATATTTTGCTGTCATCTCTGGGGTCTCAAATATGTGACAATGTGTTTATTGAATTTGTTCATATCCTGACTTTGGTTGACATTTTACATGTTTTGCTTGCAGAAACATTTACGGAGACATGGATACCAAAGTACGTTACACCAAATATATCTGTAAATGCCCATTTTGACTTTTTGTCAACTGCAGGTTCTGGCGCCATTCCTGCAGTAGCCATCCTACATGGGGGAGAATTGTCTCACCTGGAAGGACTAAAAAATCACATCCAGGAAAATATCCCTGTTGTGATTATCAAGGTAAATGCTTAGAATGAAATATATTGTCCTGCTTTTCTGAATAAAATACGACCATTAGTACATATTGAAATCGGATGAGTGTGTTGTAGGAAAGAGGGGGCATAGCTGACGTGATTTGTACTGCATTTGAAGAATCTAAACCAATGTCTCGTGGAAATAGAGGAAGAAACAGTGGAGGGTATGGATAAACATATCAACGCAATTATGTATGTATGTCTCACCATGAAAGAACGTTTGTTAAAATCTTATTATGCAACATACAATGCTAATATATGAGTAAATGCACAATGTTCTTCATTGCTGGCGCTGTGTTCATGTATGTGTTATTATGATTAATAATCACATATAATCATGTATATGATGTCATGGTTTTCAAGGAATGGAACCGTTATTGACGACACACTAAAGAAGAAAATAAAAGAGGGACTCGTGAAGCAGTTTGGCGGGCGAGACACAACTGACGAGCATGTCCAGATCGTCATCCAGTGCCTCCAGAGAAGAGATCGCATCACAGTTGTTGAAGGGGTCTTTAATCTCTTTCAGGGAATTATCTCCGCCATGACTAAGAGTACGTAAACATATACTAGCATATACTAAAAATAACAGCAGCAAACTTAAGGACCCCTTTTAAATCTTTGTTGTTACTGGTTACCAATTGTTGCCATAGCTATCAACTTAAATAACGTAATACAATAGATACGTTGGCGGTAACAAGTTTATTAATTGACATGAACTTAAGATTATGACAAACAGGTCCCTCGGGAAAGAAAGCGTTGGTATAGAAATACTTCAAGCACATTCTGACAACTGCAAATTTGGTGGTTATTAACATGATGCTACCGTCAAGAAATATACAAATGACAGTGACCCTTGTACCATACACAAAATGGAAGGGCTTGTCCATCCGGAATTGTCTCCCCTTATTACAGGTTACACTACAACACTCCAAGAAGGTATCATCTCCCCTTGACAAGGTTACAAACAAATAATAAGATTGTTTTTCCATTTAAAGAAAATCGAGACAGAGGTAGCTGTCATACAGATCCCAAACAGATAGTTTTGAAATATATGCATTCTCTATGTGTTATCCAACAAATAACGTAGGCGTTCTTTGTCCCGTTTAAAGTAAAGCTGGTCTATATACCCCTAACTGACCTTGATGCGACACATCCGTGAGTGCAAACCAAGTGATCAGGATCCTATCATTGTTCTGATCTGAAGCCTTAAATTCGGGTCTCAACTTGAACTATGTTTGATGTCATGGCCTGGTCCTGATGACATCGCCCATGTGTCGCTGCAGCGACTGAATAAAATGCACCACATGAGACATAAAAGTGCCATGTTACAAATCTGTTGTGCCATTTTGTCTTATAGACTAGTAACAACTAACTATTCTGAAATGAAGTTAAAGAAAGTCTTTGATTGCAGGCAAGTCAAACGAAGACCTTATCGCCTTAGTTGATGAATACCTTCCTTCGCCTGTCTACAACCGCCACACGAAGGACAAAATTGAGAAATTTGTCGACTCAAAGACAAGAATGCACCAAAATGTCACAGGTTGTCTTACGTTAAGATTGACGTATTGGAAACATAAACTTTCATTTCCTCTGAACTAAATATTGCAAACTGTACATAAGAAATATGTTATGGGCTATATTTAAGCACCCCTTTGTAAATGGGGATGTTTTAAGATTTTGTATTTTTATTTCTGGTCTCTGTATGGGTCTGCTTATGTTTTCTCAAGAACTTGAATTTTGCAAAAACTTTTCCAACAAACAATCTTCTGATATCTTCTTTAAAACCAGATCGTAGATTTCCAAATAAAGACTTTATCAGTGAAGCATTTAGCCCCATTGACGTCCTGATATATCGACATTGGTCTTACCTATTGAGAACAACATGGACAAAAAAGACTATTAATCTATTTTCTTCTCAGATTTTGAGACTGTCCAAGAAATCCTTGTGGAAGCCATGGTTCACGAAAAGACCGAGTGTGTGGAGTTCCTGCTTGATTATGGCCTTGTTGACATTACGAGTGTCGACCTCATTGCACTGTACTCCAAGGTAGAATATTCAACTCACTTTTCATTTAATAACACGCGCTATATGTTTATAATGTAAGTAATATCACTAGCCTAGGCGAAGATAACAAGAATGACTTATATAGCAGTACCCTGTGTAACACACACAATAGCTAGCTGTAATGACTATTTCTATGAATCTTTCAGACAATTGCAGATCTTCCAAATAATGTTGCTCGGATGTTCACAGAAACCAAGGTAACGTTTCTATGTGTGTTCTTACAGCATTCAGTTAAATGTATCTGTCATCAAACAAAACTAGTGGTAAAGTGGTTAAAGCGTTTGCTCGTCACGCCGAAGACCCGGGTTCGATTCCCGACATGGGTACAATGTGTGAAGCCCATTTCGGGTGTCCCCCGCCGTGATATTGCTGGAATATTGCTAAAAGCGGCGTAAAACCATACTCACTCACTCACTCACTCACTCACTCACTCACTCAAACAAAAGCAAGCAATTTCTGTCATAAACGTACCATCTAAATGTGTTAGTACTGATCTAAAGGACTTATCAATTTAATTTTCAAGCAGATATTAGAGAATGGAAATACACTGCATTTCTTTCTACTGTTTAGGATGACATGGAACTCAGACTGATTGTTGAGTACATCTTTAAAGGTTGGGAGGTATGTATATAATATGTCTTGGTGGAAGTTTAATTGCCAAACCTACTATTCACGTGACATTATATTTTAATAAACACAAAGCATTGTTGTCTTGATGTGATTTTATGTACATTTAAGATCCATTTTAAAGGCTTAGGCAATACCAACCAATACACTTATGTAGCATTCTGACGTATGATCCTTCTTGAGGGTTTTCTATGTGGCTTGTTTACTCTTTATGAGTGTGTACAATTATTCATCGTCGTCATGTCATGTTCATATTATCACCAACAATGCCATTTTTCAGAGAAAGGGGGTCCTCAAGAGATTTTACGGATTTCTCCACTGCCTGAAGTTTGTATGTAACCAAAGAGATCCCATTTAATCTTAAGAGTAAACCACAATACATTTTTTCATTAAATTATACAGTTTCTACTCTACAGTACTTTTCCCAAGAAACACTGTATGAAGCCATCGTTGATTTTTTATATATTAAGCATGCTGTTTTGAATTATTGTTTTCATCTTTAGACCTGAATGGCTTTTCAAAGCTCTTCTATAAGAAATCTGTATCATGAAGTGAAGAGTTTCAATAGACATTATTGCAGTACCTGATTTTGTTGTTGTAGACAATGGACATCAAAAGACTAAACAAACTTCGGATATTCCAGGTATGTGTGTGATTGATGTAAACTACCGGTAATAAATAAGGAAAATTTGGTTCAAATAATGTACATATATTCCAGAACATGTTTGAATTTATTATGCATACACAGTATTCACAATTATGCATAGTTTTCTTGTGAATTACAAATAATTTGCATACATGTTGAAAAGAGGGAGGGCGAGACAATGTAGAGACTGAAAATATAATTTTGGGGTTATGACTTTCTTAGGCAGTATAAATGAAAGCGCCAACAGCATCTACTTATTGCGTTTTATAATGTGAATACTTTTGTGAAAAGTATGTATACATGTGTGAGGATATGTTTCAGCTGCCAGATGAAGACATGAAGAAGACCGTTGTTGACATTGTCAAAGATTCCTCGGTAGGTATCAACAACGCGTTAGTATTATCATCTGATTTCAATTAATTTGACAAAATGTTGAACCAGGTAAGTGCTGAATCGATTAAATAGGGTCGCATTACTCTTACGACCCTCAGCCTAATCACGGACGGTTATCCTGTTATTTTTTTCAAAATGGCTTCAAATGACGGTTGGGCTAAGCCATTCATTTGATTTATTTATTGGACATAACATGATATTGCGATTCACAAAGTCAACCTCTTCTTATTGCAGACCAAGGCCCAAGTAACCAGTAAGATTACCAAGATCCTAAAAGAATGTCAGGTAATTTATTATCTTCAGTTTGGTATGTTCTACAGTATACAATGTAAATTTTATGAGTATAATTACATTCATGGATTATTACTGATAATCACTCTGTATATGATGAAAACATGGTAAGATATTGGAGTATCCAGAGAAAAAATAATAATTCTAATTCCAAAATCTTTTGTTTTTCTCCATATACTAGTATCTCGTTGTAATTGGGATTTTTCTGTCATCGATGTGGAATCTAAAAAGCACCATGCTCAATCAACAGATAAAACAATAAGTGTGTCACAAAACAATTCTTCATATGTATGAATTGATGAACAAATAAACAATTGCATACACATGTAAAACATTGGCATACACACAATATTATGGATATACTTTTCCCAAGTAATATGAGCCGCTTTTCTCTGATATTGCGGGTCAGTGGCATGGGTAAAATAGGTGGCCAATTATTGTAAACCTTGCCTCTCCACCCTTGTATCTATATACAAGTAGTTACATCCGCAAAGAAATACAGTTTGCGTGAATATCGCTCTTTACGACCTTTAAACTACAGAAAAAGCAAGACATATTTTATAAAACATGAAATCATGAAACATTCAGTACGTATTATAGTCAAATCAAATGTGTACGTTCTTTTCATTTTCACACTTGTGGTATTCGAACTCAAAAGTTTCACCTTATAACTTACCGTCAATTCTCTGGACCCCTTAATCGTCTTCACGATACCTCTAGACCACGGGGATGCTGCGGGAAATCCCGTACATCCTGAACATGAGATACACTAATATATCTCATCATTATGTAAATATTGCACGGATTGTGTTCCCTAATCAGACACTTTGGCTGTTGTAAAAGGACAGATCATGCCTCCAGTACTTATTGTCCTCGTCGCATGTATACCAGGCCTGGATTTCCGGTTAGAACAATGTATCCCTGAAACCAGTGTCCCAGGACCTTAGGAACTAGCAGACAAGTCCCTTTACACCGGGCTAAAATATAGTAGTATTTCCATTGTCCATTTCCATATGTGTAATGGGGCTGTCGGGTAGCCTAGTGGTTAAAGCGTTCGCTCGTCACGCCGAAAACCCGGGTTCGATTCCCGACATGGGTACAATGTGTGAAGCCCATTTCTGGTGTCTCCTGCCGTGATATTGCTGGAATATTGCTAAAAGCGGCGTAAAACCATACTCACTCACTCAACCCATATGGGTATCTATTAATACCTTGAATGTCTGTCTAATTAATTAGTGCAGGGGGCACGGGTGGCCCTGTCGACTAAGGCGCCGCGATTCTCTGTGTCGAGTTGCGGGTCTTTGGCACGCCAGAAACCTATGATCGTGTGTTCGAATCCCGGTTCACCCCGATTATGTTTCTAGGTTTGTCAGCACCATACCCGTGCTCGTGGGATTCACCGAAGTGGTAAACGTCTGAAACCTGAATCACTTCGGGCTTTCCGTCCACACACCGTGATATAACTGGAATACAGTTAAAAGCGGCGTTAAATCAACTAACTCACTAGATTTGTCAGCACCATACCCATTGCACCAAAATGGTAAACGTCTGAGACCTGCATCACTTCGCGCTTTTCTCCCACATTAACCTGACATGCGGTGTCATAACAGAAATACCGTTGAAAGTGACGTTAAACCCAACTCACTCATCCATTAGGTAGTGCAACAAATTCATTATAAAATCATATTAAAATTCAGAAATGATGCCCGTAGGTGTTTATGAAACAGGTACATGTGTAAGCATGCCCTGCCCTATTGAAAGAACAACTCTTGCGTGAACGTCAAGATCTCTATACAGATGGCCTCAGACACAAATTACAACCATCAACATCTAGGAAATAATTTGAGAGTATTCAAAGTGAGACGCGCGACTTAGAGGCATCATTAAACCGATGATGATAGAAAGTAATTCTTAAGACATGTTATATATCGGAAATGTCATTTGCAAAGCGATGTTATTATGAAGTTGTTGGAAACACTGGAAATATAAAACGCATTTACATATTGGATAAGTACCATACAATAGTTTGGTGTAATTGTTTATGTTTCATATTATCTCATTCATGAGCTTTGTGCTAATAAATATATTTTACATATTGAGTAAAACCACATGACCTGCAGAATATTTGACGTTTCTAGACAGATATATCCTTATTTCAGGCCCAGACTGAGCTGTCGAAGGCATTTCGCTTTGTAAATGAGGTGTGTAATTTTTTTTCGAATATGGAAATGAAAGCGTTGATCAAATGTAACGATAATGATATACTAATGAGTTAAATGTGATTTTTAAATATTATTTGGATTTAAAGACCAAAGATGTTACATTGTTTAAGACACATTACAAATCTACAACTACTTAGTGGCGTTTAAGGTGCATGCAGTTATATTCAATACTTAATGCCATATTGCTGAGTGCGGCGTTAAACAACAAACCAACCAACGTAATGCCAATTTCGCGCAAAGCATTTCTATTAACAAGCAAAATGTTCATTTTACAGGAAAGTGGTCATGAAGAGGCAACAGAGTTAGAGACATCAACACAGGTAGGGATCACATCCTACGAAACACATACGATTTACACGCCCAAAATCAGCATTACTGCAATAAAACTAATACAAATTAAAGTGATAAGCCATTTCCATTATCATAAGAAAACTCTGCTAATAGCAGAGTCCATTGTACGATTCCTACCATCAGCAGAACATTTAGTGAGTGAAATGAACAATATTCCAGTAATATCACGACGTGTCAGCTTCATGTGGGAGGAAAGCCCCAAATGATGCAGGTCTCAGACATTTACCACTTTGATTATACTCATGAGCATGGACATGGTGCTGAAAAACCTAGAAACATATTTCGGGCGAACCAGGATTCGAACAAACGACCATATATTTCTGGCCTGCCCAAAAGACATATCTCTACACAGCGAACAGCGGCGCCTTTAGACGACTGGGCCATCCGTGCCCCATTAAGCAAATATTTATGAATCACTATCAAATAGTTTTCATACCAGGTGTTCACCAAAAGGTGAGCGTACAATGGGCCACCGATGGCATCGTAACAAACACATGCAAAGGCAAGTAAATTGTTCACCTGAAAAACACGGGAACTAAACGTATGGTACAAGTCAAATTAGGGAACTGTATCAGACATCCAAATGTCTACTATTAAACATATTGGAAGGTATATCGAGGCCTTGAAAGTTTTAAAACTGATCAAACAACTTTTTGAGAATGAAGCATATGACGTAGAAGAAACATGATTGAATGTACCTCAAAAGTTGTGACACTACAGGCTAGAGCTGCTGGAATATTACTGGACATAAACGAAAAGTTGACTATTGGAAAGCTGAAGTAATCTCTCTTGTCATACAATCTGGTGAAGGGTGTTTTGTCACACTGAATCTTTTGACATAGAGCTAAATATTTCACTCGTTTATTCTACTTCTAGCTCTTGTGTGTTGATTAGTGAAAGGGACTGTTTGACCATTATTAAACTACATGTATATCTGATTGGTGAAGCTAAACTCCTTGGCCAAATTATAGATCAGCAACGAGGGAACCACAATTGGTGCCCAGGGGGATGCATACTTCTAAAGGTCATATCTCCAAATTTAACATATGTTATCAATGAGGAAGTCCGGCATTTCACATATTGTTTTCTCAGTAAACTTCAGATGATATTTGCTTTAATTTTCTATTGGCAAACCTCTAAAAGACTGGGACAAAGCTGTTATATCTATGGTCATCACGTTGAGTGACAAATACACAATAGATCTAAGACTGAATAGAAAACTCATGCTCTGCATGACTCATGTGCTTTCACTTTCTCGTTATATTTCTTACAGGAGATCCCGTCAAAGGCGTGGAAAGGCTTCGATTACACATTACACGACACGGTGATAATCGCCGTAAAACTATCAGGAACCTATCAGTGCCTAAATCAATGGGACTTGAGATGTGACATACGCTATTGTTCCACATAAGTTTATGAGCACTTAAAAGTAGATTTGCAGGCGTATTAAGATTAGTTAAAATGCGTGGACGTAACACATGGTCATCATACAATACAGGCCTATATATATTTATTCACATGAAAACAATAGTAATTTGTAATGTAAGGTAGTCACTGTAATTCAAGAGAGTTTTCTTTTGTTTTTCTCCAGGCCTCAGAAACAGAGAAACGTCTCTACGATCCCATTGCAGTTTTGATGCGAAGAATTACATACGCCTACCTGCCATTCAGCTGTTTCATCGACGATGGACACATGAAACACAATGTAAGAGTTTAAACACATCAGGTGTTGCCCCTGCTGAGAATTTCACTTTGTCATATTTCTATGTACTAGTGTTTGCTGTAGAATGCTTTAGACATATTGGTTTCATAATCACACTTCGTTGACAAATTACATTCCCCTATTACCTCTGTCTCATATGATCCGGTGTAACAAATGTCTTTGCATGTGTTTATGATGGGTGCAATTGATTGGGCAGAATCCGATCACGTTTTCACGAACACCTGGTATCATCACTATTGAATGTGATAATCACATGATAAAGTCAGAATCGTCCAATGGATTTCTTATGACTATGAATGTTTTGTTTTTTCCAGATTGATGATGATTTGGAAGTTGAGGAGGCGTATCGGAGGTTATTCGTGTGGGCAGTCCTCTCAAACAGGAACTCTCTGGCCCTGGCCTTTTGGAAACGGGGCAAGGTAAGTGACAAATGTGAATCTCCAAGATGCAATACCCTTTGAAACATTTGAGTAACATTCATCGATCCTTTGCGAGTATGTAATGAAAATTGCATTTTGAAGGCCACGTGGACTACATTGTATCGTGTTGGTTTTTTTAAAAATACTTTAAGCGATATTCCTGTCTAAAATAGTTAAGATAGATTTTGGAAATCAGTAAATAGTACATTTTATATGAATATTATAGACGGGAACGAGTACAAATTTAGAGAACCGCGAGTTTTCTCATCTTACATGTTTTTACGTTTGTAAGGATCTTGTGACCGCGTCACTGGCTGCAGGAACTATAATGGACACTATTGCACAAGGGACTTTCAATAACAAAAAGAAAGCTCTGAGAGAAGAAAGTTCCAAGTAAGTCATATTCATGTTGTCATTGTATTTATAAACTTCACTTTCCATGTACTGCATGTATAATGAGCTTTTATTTCACACTCATGTAACTCGGAATGGAACACCTCTGCCATAAAGTTGATAATTACATTCGACCGTATGAGGATTCCTAAAATACCAGATGATCAATAGTTGTAACAAATGCTTTTGTTCTAGATTCTATAGGTCGCACGCCACCGGAACACTGGCTGCATGCTACAGAGATGACAAGGAGAAAACTGTTCATTTGGTGGAAAGAAACATATCAACGAATTGTTGGAACATTGATTTTCTTGCCCTTGCCTTTGAAAAACAGAATAACAGCATCTTCATAAGTGAAGGGATGGCATACTACACGTACTCAAAGTGGATGGGAGATATTCCAAAGAAAACATCAACATGGAGAGTAAGGTTGTTTCTTTTTTTATACCCCCGACAAAATGTCGGGGGTATATAGTTATACCAAGGTTCCGTCCGACCGTCTGCCTGTCTGTCTGTCTGTCTGTCTGTCCGAAAACTTTGTCCGCGCGATTTCTCTTACACTATTTAGAGGATTCATCTCAAACTTAGTACATATAATGTGTCATATGGAGGGGTGCAGTCAAAAGAAAGAAAAAAATGTTTTTATTAATTTCCATTTTTTTATGAATTTTTCAAACCCTGACCCTACCCTAGCTATTTAATTTGTAACTACTGACACACTAGGCGGGTCGGAGGTATTAGTGAGCCACGCTCACTTTTGCACTTGTTTCTTTGTTGTTTAACGCCAAACTCAGCAATATTTCAGCTATATGACGGCGGTCTGTAAATAATCGAGTCTGAACTAGACAATCCAGTGATTGATATCATGAGCGTCGAGTTACGCAATTGGCATACGATGACATGCATCTACCAAGTCAGCGAGCTTGGCCACCCGTTCCCGTTAGTCGCTTCTTACGACTAGCATGGAATGCTGAAGACCAATTCTAACCCGGATCTTCACGGGTCTGGAGAGTAAGTAATATAATCCTAATTGGACATTCTTTTTGGGGAATACTAATGAACAGAAGCATGTTTTCAATGTGAATAGTTACTAGATCAGTGCATTATAGCATATGTGTATTACTGTATATGGTACATTTACAATGTTTAATCAATTTTAAATAAGAATTTGAAAGAAGTCCCGATTTTTTTAAGATTGTTGTTTGCGCCATTCTTCCCTTTCTGATGTGGATCCTCATCGGGACACAACCCATGAAGAAGACTCCGAACCCGACAACGATTGGAGGAAAATACAGTTCGGACCCTGTGGATAGAGAAAGGTTATACATTTATTTGTATCTTTTATATTCTCTTTTGCTAAGGAGGTTGTTCACTAATTTGTTGGTTGTAAAACAAAATATGTCAATATATGGGCGCTTCTATTTATTATTTAATGTGTTAAAAATATGCACTTTGCAGCTCGCCCAGGGTCGGAATCTGCGGACGACTTGGAAGGTTTTACAGTACACCAATTGTCAAGGTCATTTTGAATCTGGTTAGTCCAATATATATGTGATTTAGGCCTTATCGTGAACAGACTTTCCACTCAGAAGGGGGACAAATATGAAAATACTACGCAGAGTACAAATAGAAACATAACATAAAGGATCAATAACAACCCTTTATTGACATTCCAACTGTAACCAAAAACCGCAACATGTGTTTCGGCAAAATTGAAAAATATTTATGATGTTACACAAAAGGTGTTATACAATGTTCCGTCATACCAGGATCAGCTTTCAATCCCACTTCTGCTAGTATAGGATTATAATCCATGATCTCTCAGCACCATACACATGTTTAGGGGATTTTATGAAAGTTGTAAGCACGCTCACTCATTCACGCACTCACTCACTGATCAACTCATTGAATCACTTACTGATCACCCACCCAAGAAGACAAAAAACATCAATTACCCTCAGTTTCGAAAACATATATGTACAATTGTTTGTTGTGGACTGAAAGTGTGTTGGCTTAATTGTACTTCAGATCGTGTACTGTGTATTCCTCGGCTTGTATGCGCACTTGCTGTTGAACAAGCTGGAGGAGGACTACAAGCGAAGGTGGGAAATACCTCTTCTTATCTGGATGTCAGCCTTCCTTCTTGAAGAGATGATTCAGGTACTGGTATTTCCTTTTTCATAATATAAACGACTTAACTAGTATCATAAGCATTGCTATTATGTCATAACCATTTCTCCTGGCCATTTTATCTGAGCAAGTAAAATGTCAAGTTATAGCTCTTATTGTACATAGGAACACTGGTCCATATAGCGAATAACAATGCATTCAAAGTTGCAATACAAGTAGATATCAGATATATTTAGTGCTGAAGTTAAAGATTACTTGCTGACATTTGTTTGTGTTTTTACATATTCCTTAGAAAATAATACAACCAACATACATTGATAAACAATGAACACGGTCGTAAGTATTTTGCTTATTGTGTACCAGTATTTCTTCCTCACAATAAATCATTACTATTTGATAGTGATTAATAAACACATGGTCATGATATAGTCAGAATCATAAATCGACTCTGCTTTTAGCAGAGATTTCTTTTGAACATGGAAAGGGTTTTGACTCTAATATTCTAATTATTGCAAAAGTGTACAACCCTACATGACTCTTGATTGGTGCATAAACAGTTGTCAAAGATTTGTACCTGTCATGACTTTGTTGACACAACAAATTAAAAAATAATCTGCTCGATTCATTCAAAAACTTAAAATGTATTGCAGACAAATTAAAATACCACACAAAGCAAAATCAACGGGAAGACAAAATTGATTTATCCAACACTAGCCAAAGCTTTAGCTATGTATATGTATCTCGGTGTGTATATATTGGATAAAACCACATACATGTACATCACATTACTTTTTACAGATAAATATTAATAAATATGTACAAGTTTTATGTATGCTCCTTGGTGACATCAACATTGGGAATCCCTATATCTTTCCTGCTCATTACATAAATATTGGTTTGATCTTTGAGTCAAATGCTTTTGACCATATGAGATGTAAAAGACTTCTGATTTCGCGATAGCAGTAACATACCAACAAAGGCCCTTTTGGTTCTCAGTGTCAGATTCAGTTATAATGTATGTACCTTTAGCTTATGTGGGAACAGAAAAGACAAATACTCATATCGAGTTTAGTTATTTTTCGCTATTTTTTCATATGTATCAGACGTCAAACGATCGTGAAGACCACTCCTTCCAAAATCTGTTTTGTATTTGTTTTGTCACGATTAACTCATTGTTTCCAAACTTATTTAAACAATTCATTTAACACACGGAGTGAAATAGAATTATGATATGAGATACAAAATGAGCTGACAGAATCAAAGGTCCAAGTTTAATTATTTATGAAGGTTACATGTACCAACAGCTTTTTAGACAAAGATATATAGATGATATGTTTTATTGATATTATAGACATAACTTTTGTTGACTCTCATAGTACTATAATTTACTTGCGAAGTTATTAACTTTGGTTACGATTTTGTCATCCCATATGTTGCAGGTTTTGCAGTTTGCAGTAGAAAGAAACGAATTCATAGCCTTGAACCGTGGACCAAACTCAGGGTGTTTGAACCGTCTGAAGTCAGCGGTGTGGTTGCTAAACAAACACATTAAAATATATTACCAGGACAAATGGAACATGCTTGACAGCTTGTGTATTATTGGGTTTATCATTGGGTACACGTTACGTATATTGCCTGTGTTTTTCAATGAGTACAAGGAAATGCACCTGTTCGGTTACGGGAGGCTTTGCCTCAGCATCAATTTCATGTTCTTCTTCTGGAGATTGCTTCAAGCCTGTACGCCCAGCAAGTCAATCGGACCCATGCTGTACATGGTCTTCAGAATGGTACTATATCACGTTTTGAAAAATACTTTCTTTTAATGCAAGTCCTTAAAGGGGGACTAGTCTCGTGCAAGTCAGTATCTGACAATTTGCTTCAAATAATTCAAAACCCTCTTTGTTAGATTTGATTATGTCTATAAGATTATCTGGTCTTGAATGCCTTGATTACACATAGATCATGTCTTAGTTCGACACATCACTAATAACAATATTTGCTCGGAGCATAGTCCCTCTTTAGTCATTAGTCAATGGGTTTCTTTCTTAAAATCTGCATTTGCATCCTGTTATCATTCAAATTAACAATGATTAACAATGATAACAGGTTTGATCCTGAATTCTTGGCAATAGGCGGTTGAAGTGATGACACGAAGTGACCTTTTTATGGACATTAGTGTAATTAACATTTGTTTTTCTCTATTCAGAGTATTGAAATTATTAATATTGTCCTTTATGCAAAAACAACGTAAAGCATACACGTTGTATTTATGTGAAAACAAGTCGCCTTATTGCTACGTTTCATTTATTCTAAGATTTGCGATATATTAGGCAAAAGTACTCATTACTTTAGAATTATTATACTCCTGTCATGTTAATTACGTTTTCGGTGGACCACGTAATACTGTCTTATTCTAAGGGTTACATCTTATTCAAAAGGTTACAATTCAATGACCCGTGAAGATCCGGGGTAGAATAGGTCCTCAGCAACCAATGCTTGCCGTAAAAGGAGACTATGCTTGTCGTAAGAGGCGACTAACGAGATCGGGTGGTCAGGCTCGCTGACTTGGTTGATGCATGTCATCGAATCCCAGATGCGTTGTTCGATGCTCATGATGTCAGAAACTGGATTGTCTAGTCCAGATTCGATTACTTACAGACCGCCGTCATAAAGCTGGAATATTGCTGAGTTCAGCGTTAAACAACAAACAAACAAACAAACAAACAAACAAACAAACAAAATAAAACAATTCAATGCACATTGTACATATGAAACCCACCTTACAACCTATCCAGGTTACGGATCTCATCCCTTTCCTTGTGATCTTCTTCGTGGCCATATGTTCCTATGCCGTTGCCTCTGAAGCGATCCTTCACCCACCCGGCCGAAATATATTTGACAGCCCATCGTTCGTCTTTGACTTTGGCAAGGGATTTTGGCAGATATTCGGAGAGCTCTTTTTGGATGAAATCAAGGGTGTGTTTGTTCATTCCTATAAATAGAATAGTTATCGCTATTTTCAGTTAAATGTTGGTTTAAGTATGAACAGAATGGTCATTCCACGTTTCTGGAAGATTGATCTTCCCATTTTGACATAATGTTTGTCATCGCCTTATTAACGAAGGTGAAGAAACTACGCTGAAAACTGAATGGAATATGAATGTGACCATCTGATAATACGAAAGTAGACGCTACCAGATTGTAAGTCCAGTTACTGAAGAAGCATGATAAGACGAAACTCTAATAATTCCAATATTACCAGAAAGTGTAGATGACTAGTTGTGTGATATATTTTCTATTTTCCAGGCGTCGGCGAGAAATGCGATGGGAGCTGCATACCTAACGCTGGAAGAATATGGGTGCCATTAATGCTCGCAGTATACATGATCATGACGCACGTTTTGCTCTTGAACATTGTGATTGCACTGTTCAAGTATGTATTATTTACAAGTTGATACCAATAGGTCGGTTAAGACTCATATTTACTCATCAAACAACCTAGCTATCAGATTCCTTAGTCACTGACATTTTTGGCACTTTAGTAACCACACTGCAAGTCCATTGTATGGCACATAGTAGATCTGTTTTTTCACACAAACGTTTCAGTTTGTTACATGGTTACTTGTGGACTGATAATGATACATTGGTTAAATGTGTCTTGGTGTGCGAGTTAAACTTCGGTCACCTGGTGTTCCATTGGTCACATTGCAATAATCATGCGAGTGGGGCAGGATACCCTCACCCGTTCGCAAACACATGCTTATGATTTAGTCGGAATCGTACAATGGATTTCTTTTGATTATCGAAAGAGTTGTGTCGCTTACATTTGCAATCCCTATGACACATGTTACTCGTAGTACCAGACCTTGCCTAACACTGCTTTGTTTTGTGTTTGTGATCAATCTCGATATATTGAGACATTTCAAGTATGTTCTATATAAATTCCTTAATAGCGTTTATATTACTGATGCTGTGATCGCTCATGTCATGGGCAATAGTCTTCCTTTATGTCTTAATGTTCATACTGTAAGGTGCCCGATGAAATTCTTGAAGTAGAACAGTTGAATAATTTAAGTAATAAAAATGAGCCCTTAAACTATACTGATACTATATTGCACCCTTTGAATCATTCATATGTTTTCGTTCATGAACAACAATTCTACGTCTTTGAACCTCTTTTTCAGCCACATCTTTGAAGATGTTAGACAGAAAGCTGATGAAATATGGGCCTGGCAAAAGTGTCGTTTAATGGTTGAGTATGACAGAAAACCACCACTTCCTTTACCGTTCTCGATCCTGTGGAGACTTGGAAGTTTGGCAAAGAAACTCACGTTTTGCATCCTATGCATAAAGAGAAAGGACAAGCGTAAGTAGTTCATGAATCAGAATTGAGGAAAACCTTGATTATAAAGTGGATGTTTTATCACGATTCTCTTTTATTAATTGCACATTGATCCCTTTGGCAGGTTTAGTGTTTGGTGTAGTCATGACTGCTATAATGCTTCAGAACCATGGTGTATTTTCCATACAGGCTTATGAAATAAATATTTGGTCAAACCTAAAATGTATTTGTCCAATTTTAGGTCAATGATATACATAGCCATGGATTAAACGGATACAACGAATTAGGAAACTACTCGACACTGGTGAATCAGAGGTTTCACAAAAAAACACCTTATAAAAAACATTATAGGTTACAAAGTGCAAACTCTAGGCTACTACAATATTCAAAGTACGTGTGCCAAAACGCTTTTCAACTAAGAAAGTTTATTTCAAATCTGAGGACAACAGAGTGCTTGATATTTGTGTCATAGTGAGGAGTGTGACGTCATGATAGTGACGTCATGATAGTGACGCAGGGCCAAACCTTTCAAGGGTTGCCTTCATTTTGGTTTACGAAGTACATGTACATGTATCTGTGCTACACCCTTTCAGTGCTTGTCATATATGCCAGTATATTGATGAAAACAAACTATCTTATCATACGGAAACGTCCTAGTTTGTTTAAAGGGTAGTATCGGTTTTTATTTTATTCAGACCCACAACCCACTCAAAACATTGGAGTCAATCAATATTTCCGTAAATGAGTTTGCGCTAGGTTTTGTCATGGTAGAATGGAGAGAAACACACTGTGTTTTCTATGTTTAGCTTGGTTACCTACAGATTTAACCGCGCTAAATTGAATTTAAAATCGAAGCGTGAGGTGTTAAATGTTCGGGTTATCTAACGGACAGGGTTATCTAGAAATATCTCTGTTATGTGTATGTTATTACCTTTGCAGGAAAAGGCCTGGAGGAGGATAATAGTGTCAATCTTCGGGAAATTAGACAGCATATAGACACAACAGGTAAGCAGCATGACGTTATATGTAAAGTATTGCGCAAACATAGATATCATATATGTGACGTCTGAAAGAGTATTGAACCCTTTCACAATACTCCGGTGTTTATAGCACTAACCCTTTTATTTTACGTAAATGCGCTTAGTAACGGGAACGCGTTTCAAACAGACGTTCATAACACTGTGCAAGTTATTTCGAACGAATAATTTAATGCATAACGAATGCATTATTGCCGCCTAGTGAAGGCATATCTAACCCAACATGAGAGTCACTGAAAATCTGTTGAAAGTGGGATGAATCAACACTCATTTAAAAACAACAATAATTGAATCGTTTATGCCCGTGTATATAGCTGAAGGTATGCGCTGAAGCGTTCCAATCCATGTGATCAGCTTTGAAATCATTTAAGAACAAGATTTACCTTATATTTGGCGAGCAATTAAAGAAAATGCCTCACTTGCGTTATGATTCGCGTTTTCCTCTCAACCTTTGTAATGCGCAGATAATTATTCTTTTTTTAATATTTGTCAAGGAATCTGTTGATATTGATTTTATTGATGTCTTAGTACAGCTTAATAAATGTGATGTTTTCGAATGTATTTCCCAATCAAGACGAACCATGCTATTTCATATTAAATCGTGCAAGTCTGAACTTTTACATTCATATCATAACGAATGGTATGTTCATCTGACTATAACACGGATCAGTCATGACCATGTCTAGCACCACGAATTCCATGCACTGCTTTGTTTAAGTTTCCATTCATTCATCTTCTTCATAACAGTATGCAACACTTCATTTGTTTAGATTCACGTTACATGTACCTGTTAAAACTACGATGAATGTCATGTTGGCTTTCACATTCAAATGTTTAGTTTTTGAGTATGCTTTACATTTTTTCAAATGTCTTTGTTTCTTTAACATATTGATATGAAATATATATATTTCCTTTCATAAGGTGAAGATACACACGATGGCGAAAGTCACGGTACGTAATGACCATGACAATGACAAAACTTTATCACCGGCCGCAAAGGAATTCTTTGTACATATGTACAAGTGCTTACAGATTTTAAACATATAATCACATGACAAACAGAGCGACGAAAACATTTCAGAAATTTACAATCATTTAAGAGACGGATACTTGATAGGGTAAAAGATCTTAGAGCTCTGTTGCAATGAATATCACAGAAGGTAGAAGTGCATACTCTCAGTTTAAAAAATGGTTATTAAGGATATGCTCAAACATGAAGCTACCTTACAAAGGGCTTTCAACTCGTACCACATACGAGTCTCATCAGGCCATAAATGATTAACAGACATGAAGTTGTAACGTATAGTTATTTTCATGATGAACCTACATTGTTTCAAAATGAGCAACATTTCAATCATGAATTGCGCCGAAGTTAAATGTAAAGGCGTAAGTTATTTGTCCATTGTCACCTTGGTGTTGTGACATCATGGTATTCCCCAATTGTCATGATATCAAGTAACTATACGTTACAACTTCATGTCCATTCATCAGTTGTGACCTGATGAGACTCGCACGTGGTACTAGTTGAAAGCGCAACCCAATCAAAACTTGCTCAATTGTACTCCACTTACTGAATTACATATCAGGAATTGTGCGGTTTCTATGTTCAAATTAAGTTCATGGTTAAATACAGATTCTTTTATTTTCTTTATTTCCATGTACTTTGGACATGGTAGTCAGTGTTTTGTAATGGCAATTAATACGCTTTCTCTTCCAGAATATTATTATTATGAAAACATCTGGGATGAAATAGAAGAAGATCCAGGTACGAAACTATTCCCAGCAATTTTACTGATCTCGTTTTTGGATAGGAAACGTTCTGCATCAACGCGTATATGTTAACGGTTTAACGGCCCAATAGTAAATACGTTCGATGTCTGCTGAAACATTGAACCTTTTCATTTATTTCAGAGACTCATAAAATGCAATAAATGGTTTTATTGTAATAACCAATCGTGTTATGAGTGAGTGAGTTAATGCTTTACGTCACATCGGCAATATTTCAGCCATATCGTGATGAGCAATCGTGTTATGAATCTAAATACTTTTCTTTATTTTCATATGATGAAGAGGGTTATGGTGATCCATATGAAGGTAATTAGATCATAACTACTAATAATCATAGGTCCACCGTTATATAATATGTTTTGGAAGCTGTCTTGCCTACGAGATGTTAATTTGAGATACGTAGCTATATTAAAAATATACTTGTCAAAATAATGAAGCATTGTCTGCCATTACTCCACATAAGAGTCTTACCTGATCAGCTTGACGCAGACATATATCCTTAATCACATGGATATGGCTGACCTGAGAATGTGTTGTGCAAATCCCACAATGGTGTGCGTAAATATTATGTCCGCTGCAATGGGTACAGCTAGATGTACATTGAAATGTGAATAATACTAGTATATGGTATTTAAATATATTCTAATATTGATAAGCTGCACAGTATATTCATTTTGCAGATGGGGGTGGAACTGTCAAATCTAACAACGCAGTCAGTGGTTACGAAGACCCATATCAGTACCTTTCTGCTGATTGTGAGATTGAATCCAATGATGATATATTCGCCGAAGGGGAGCAACAACTTGAAGATTCACTAGATGTATTCGAGAGAGCGAACGCAGAATTCTACATGCAAACTGAGCAGTCAAAGGATTGACCTTGGTGGGGCAGGATATGCTCACCTTTTCGCCAACACCTGGTGTTACCACTGATTTTAAGTGATTCAGTCATATACTTTGCAACGCTATTGTTTTGTATTTTACGCCCAGTGGAATCTGTTTCTGCAGATCATCGAGACTGATCATTCTCTGGCATTCTATGAAAGCAAGCTTGTGCCTTCAATTTCTGTGAAGTCAGATTGTCAATTCCCTTTTCAAACTATTCATTTAAAGAGCACCAATGTTGGTATCCTACTCATCCGACATTATTTAACAACAGGCAGCAATGTTTATTCATATCTTATTAATGATTTCTGATGATTATAGAAAGGGTTTTGACGCATTTATTGAATATGTATGAGCTTAGTTCATCTGCGTTGGTAGTTGCGGAAAATGCATCTTTTAGTCAATACAGTAATTACAGCCTTTAGGTGAAGGGATACGTCCAAATAGAAAATCGAACCATATCCATAACCAAGGATGTTTACCTCAACAAACGAAGCTATTCCAATACATGGAGCTCACACAATATTTGTACTGTTTTCATGATCATGCTTTGCATTAGAATAGTTATAATAGAATAGTTTACATTTTAATAATTAAATAGCCAAGCTTGACATATACGCCAGTTAAGGTATGTAAAATTACTTATGTTTTATTTCCAAAGTTGATGTTTGACTGTGTATATTTAGATTACAAAGATATAGACATGTGAACCTCTGTAATAATTACATAACTCACTCTTGATTCTGACAAGAAAAGTCAATGTTGAAATTACATGACAAGCAAATGCATAAAATGCAAGTCAACTGTATCAAATGTGTTTTTAGTCGTGCATTATTTAATAACCTAAACGTGTAATAAATCGACATAAATCGTCCAGATAAGAAATATATGTTCTTCTGCCCTGATATTTGTCAACATCGCTTATATTCTGTTCGTAGTTAATACAACACATCTATCAGGGATATAGGCCACGTTTACTTCTATTTTCGTTTTGAATGCATGTGACTAACCCGTACTTGTGTGGGTATTGAATACTTTTCATTCTCTCCAAAGAATTTTAATAATTCTGCTGTGAAGCCATTGGGCCCAGGACCGCATTTCATATCGACGTACGTTACTTCACCTTTGCGCACTTTCCTCAATTGAGACATAATGATCCTTTAACAATTCTTAAAATGTATTCTTCTTGTATATTGTTTGCTGTATAGTTTGCGAAAAGACGTTCTAGTTTTAACTAGTGTTAGTTGTCTTTTTGTTGTTTTCTTCTATCACAACAAATGTTTTTTTTGTAAAAGAAATGACATGCTTACTTACAATACTATTTTGTCATCACTATCCTTTTTCTGTCCATGTGGCTTCTGCTGTCACCATGATACCTTATAAAATACTAAATACTAATATACTATAATTTACTAGATAGATGTACAAAATGCTGTCTTTGACTTACACGTGTGTCAACAACCAGGCTCCAGCTTATCTCTCCACTCTGCTCCAGCTTCATAATCCACCAAGAACTCTTCGATCAGCAATTCAACACCTGCTATCTTTTCCTCAGTATAGACTTTCCAGCTATGGACTAAATACTTTCAGTGTAGCTGCCCCAAAGTTATGGAATGATCTTCCACTTGAGATTAGACTTTCCTTAACATTTCAGACATTCGAAGCAAAACTAAAGACAAATTGGTTCAAAAATGCTTTCCAGAGTGACATTTGAATGTAGCGCTTTGAGCATGTTCTCTACATGGATGCTAGCGCTTTTTAAGTACACATTATTATTATTATTATTATTATTATTATGTGCGTGTTGATGTTTCTCAAGTCATCCTGTAAATTATGCTTGATGTCAATATGTTCTGATTTGTTCATTTGCTGCACGATGCTTTTAAGTTAGTACAAGTTATAGAAATACATTGACAGATGAAATACAAAGTTATATGTCTGACTCTCGTAAGCGTGAAGTTGAAATAAAACTTGACAAACACAATGAAAACCTATGATTTCATGTATAGATGAGAATTGAGTAGGCTTCATTTGGCCTATTGTGTGACGTGACACAGTGGTCTCACATGTTCAGGTCAGGTAACCGACTGTAATGGTTCGTTGATAGGAAAGTTACATTGTAAGTATTGACGAATATAAGACATCGTCAACGTCAGGTAAAAGGGCTTAATGTCCATGTATCCAGAACCCTACACGCCTAAACACATCAATGCTAAAGAACTACATATTGATTGTGAAAACGTAAAAGAGACGGCATGAACAAGAATGCTACAATTATCCCTTGTAGATACTGAAGCAGAATGCGAAAGAAATGTTAATGTTTGCCCATGTATTTATGTAAAATGCATGACTAAATTGCTTTAGTTGGAGAAAAACATGAAGCAAAAATCGTAATGTATTGACGCTCATATTTAGGTCATTTTCTTGATTTATTCGGGATCATGTTCCCTATTCCCTATTTCTAATGTCTGCCTGAGACCTTCGTCAGCGTAGAACTTGATGTGTATAAGCAGATGGTAGGAGGCTAATCCCACGAATATGACACAGCAAAAATATGCCCAAGATTTAACAAACTATCTATCAATGATGATACAAAACTTTTCAGTCTGTTTGTTAAAAATTAAAAAAATACAGCATCCAGCAATACAGAAGTTTATTGATTTGAACCAACCTAAAAAGCAATATATATCATCCAGTTATATCGCCTTTCATTTTTTCGATATCTAGATTTATTGAAAGAAAGTCAGAGATATCAATATGTATCCATATGATATCATTTGAGTACTTTTGGTTTTCGAGACATGGTCATGTTTTATTCATTGTTGGTAGTCTTGATGGTATTTCTCTTTACTTGTAAGTAGGATAACCTCTGCACTCTACTTACTAGACGTAAATCAAACTTCCCATGTCGTTTTTAGTTCCAACAAAATCGGTAAAAGCGCTATCGTGTCACTGGTGTGTCTGTCTCACGATCACTTGGTCATGAATTGATTGTTTACAGGTCGCCGTCGTGCGGGTGCCATGCTCACCCTATTCGCGAACACCTGGTGTCATCATTGATTTCAGTGATCCATTCATATAATATTCAACACTATTTTGTCTCTCACATCCAATGGAATTAGTTTCGGCAGATAATCCAGACAATCGGCAGATTACACACCTACGAATGCACTAAATCATTCACCCGATGAAGGAGTAAGCATATACTCCGAAACGTTGTGTACGTCAAATAAGAAGTTGACATCCATATATTCCCTTCCTTATGCCCGATGTGGTACCTTTGCTTTTTGTTGTCTGATAGCTTGGTCAGACGGTAATAAGGTAGAGTTCAATGCGTCAAACCCCGGATGGAGACTACCTCTCTGGTCGCAAGGAGTCGGATTTCGACTATTATATTACAGTGAGCGTTTTTGTAACACATCAAACAGGTATTTAGTATTTGAGGATCGATTTACGTCCAATGCTTACAATGAGACTATTATCGCAGGCACTTGTGTGACAAGGTGGGACAAGATCGAATGCAAGTCTTCAATATACACCCTTTGCCGAGTCCACTGGCCGCGTCTTACCATACACTTTGTTACCCTGCCTGGCGCTCTGCATTAAGGAGATAAAGCAAGGATTGGTCGTCTCGGAGTCAGCATGATGTGCCTGAGTTGGGTATCGATGTTAAACTGCGGCATGGTATTTATTATGTGCATATTTATTATGCGCCAAATCTACAGCCTAAGGCATGCTTAAAGGACTACATTATTTCCCCGGTCAATGGATCATTGTGCACTCGATTTTCATTCTCAGCACCTTGGGTAGTATACAACCCAAGCTGTTTGCGAGGCGCTAGAAATAAGAAGGTTAACAGTCACATTACCATCTCATCCTACCAGAGTATCCATTCTCTGCTGCCTAAACAGAGGCATGTTTGCAAAAAGAGATACTTGTCTAAGGAGATACAACATGTGCTACATGTGCTTCAGTATGGATCAGCTGCCAAACGCGGTCACCCATCCCACTACTCCCCGCAACCAACACCTGATTTGTGACCTGTGTGCTGTACACAGGACCACGTGCCACTCAATGGACTAGTCTGGACTTGCACAAGCAGCCACACAGACACACACACGTACATACACGTTGCATAATCTTGAACGTAATGTTTAAACCCCATTTCACCTCACATCTCCAATGGTATCGAATTCAGTTTGTCACCAGTTAGAAAATATGTTTAACACAGGTTGTTAGCTTACATTGCCACATAATAGGAAATACTGTTTTTTCTTGATCCCTATTTTTGAAAGCTAATATGTTGTCTATAAAGCTCACTTTGTGCGGGACGAACTTTGTCCTTCGCTATAAGGTTGGATGCAGCTCCGTTGCGGATGATGTGCTATGTTTCCTTTGTGTGTGTATATATATATATATATATATATATATATATATATATATATATATATATATATGTAAGATCCCGCCTAGAGACACTGCAGGCCTATTATGAGTATGTACCTTAACGTTTACGTAGACCCACATATAACCTCGTGTATTTGGAGATAACTGAAATCCCTTGTACTGGATACTAACCTTGTCATTGAGGGTCCGACAATTGTCTTGGCTAAAAACCTTACATGTACGTGATTCCTTCACAGACATTCCATCTCCTGGGCACTTAAAACGTACATGGTGCATTACTGTCATAACAAGTCCATCAGATCATTATATGCCAAGCGACCGCCTACGTGGTCTAGTGGTAGAGCGTACGCCCGGAGAGCGGAAGATCCGGGGTTCGCCCCAAGCCGCGTCATGTCAAAAGACGTTTAAAGATGGTACTTGTTACCCTGTCTGGCGCTCGGCATTAAGGGGCTAAAGCAAGAACTGGTCGGCCCGGAGCCAGTATACTGTGCCTGAGTGGGGTATTCACGTTAAACTGCATTAATATTTCTTTTAAGATCATTTTACTGGTTGCACATGACTGGTATGTGGCACACCATGGTATCGTCAACCTCCATTTACAATGTAGTAAATGATGCTACGCTTCGTTGAGCACAACGTCAAAGGCTTTACATTGTATTGTTGAGTTGGGCCTAGAGATCGTGACTTCACTGAATTTCAACCAGACAACAGCTGACAAAAGCATGGGGGTCGTGTCAAGGAGCGAAATTGTAAATACGAATTTAACAGGGGTAGACGCTACGTTACTGCAGTCATTTATTCCCGGATAGCTAAAATAAAGTTCCAGAAATGATGTTTAATGATTATGTTATTATATTTCCAATACATCAATAATAACACCGATGTAAGCAAGATAAATACCACACAAAGAATATGTGTACATTATACAATAGTACTCATGTAAAACAAAACCAAATGGCACAGGTATGACACTGTAGGTTTACATTCATATGTTTTATAGGCACAATCTCCCCAGTCAAGAGCCTGCGGTCTGCAGGGCGTTATCTTGCTCCCTGTCTATTCCCCTCTTTGCTCGCAAGTGACGTCCAGCATTCAGATGCATTACTTTGATTTCCGTTGTGTTTTACTCTGTTATTATCATGTATATAAACTTGAAGTGGTTTAAATAGCATGCGTCTCGACGGTTGAAGCTCGAATGCCAGGTCTGGTTTGTTGAAGTAAGACGAGTTCTATGGATGAACAACTTCTTTATTACAATTAGTGCGACTATAAAGGTGTTAGAATCTACACCGAAACGTCGCACTATTTGTAATAAAGAAGTTGTTCAACCATAGAACTCGTCTTACTTCATCACACCAACTTCTAAATGACACTGAAAGAAGTCTGGTTTGTAGTTCTGGTTTCTACAGTGTGGATATGGCCAATCCTTGTTTTAACCCCTTTAAGGGTAACACAACTACGATTAGTAACGTCTTCTTGGTATGACGGAGCACAGGGATGGAACCACCGACCTTTAAATCTGTGGACAAAGGTTCTCTCTACTACACCACGGCAGCAATCCCCTACACCACGGTCCGTCCACAGTGAGATCACGTGTCAGCAATATCTTAAGGCATGAATTGAATACAATGGCATAGCTTTTGGACCGCTTGTCCCACCTTGTGATTATATTATGTTATATTGTGAAAAACAAATTCATGTAATTTTTTCTGTTGCTGGACAAACAACACAACTAGATTTAAGAAAGATAGCTACCAGCGATTTCGAAAAGAACCTGTTTAAGCTCATGAATAACTCAGTATTTGGTAAAACTATGGAGAATCTAAGGAAGCGTGTTGATGTTAAATTAGTCAGATCTAATGAGGAAGAAAGACTCAGGAAACTTATAGCCAGTCCGGCTTTTAACAGAAGCAAGATATTCGATAACGACTTAGCTGCACTACATATGCAGAAGAGTAATATAAAATTCAACAGACCGGTGTACGTCGGTATGAGTATTCTCGACTTGTCAAAACACTTAATGTATGACTTTTATTACAACGAACTTAAGAAGCAATACGGTGATAGATGCGAGGTTTTATATACCGACACAGATTCTTTGTTGATGGAAATACAAACCGAGGATGTGTATAAAGATATGGCAGAAAAAATAGATATGTACGACACGAGCGATTACCCTAAAGATAATCCACTGCACAGCGTTGTAAATAAAAAGGTGTTAGGTAAGATGAAGGATGAATGTGCTGGGACCCCTATAGCCGAGTATGTCGGATTAAGACCTAAGATGTATTCTATAAAGAAGTCCGATAATGGAGAAATAAGAAAAGATAAGGGTGTTAAGAAGTATGTTGTAAAAAAGCATATCAAGACGAACAGTATAAAGTATCATTATTCAACGGTAGAACGTTCAAACACGAGATGAACTCTTTAAGAAGTTACAATCATAGGATATATGGATTAAGAATGAACAAGACACCATTATCCCCCTTACATACAAAGAGATGGATTGATAATGATGGTGTAACTACCTATGTTTATGGTTATGGTGGTAATACCGTACCGTCGGGAACTATGAACAACTCTTCTCGTACAAATGCCCTACCCGGTCCATCTTGAAGATAATATAGAATAGGCTCTCCTTCTTTCATAATCAATCGACTAATGTTATACGTCTTTAGGGACCATATGGGATCGGTTGCGCGACGTAGGCCTCCTTCGAGTTCACCTGCCTGGTATAAATATCTTACCCTTACTCTATCCGGAAGTTTTCGTTCTTTGCCTCTCCTCGATGCTGAAGATTCGGAAGTCACGGATTTCATTTTAATAGCATCGGATGGTTTCTTCCCTATTAATCTCGTTACTTCATTATTCAGCGCTGATACAACAGCTGATAATCGTGTCACCCATTCGGTTGATCTCAATCGCTCGGATTTCATTTCGATCCCATAATGATAGCCAAACAAACGTTCCGCTAATGTCCTGTTAAATCTTTCGACGATAGCTTGACTGCGGTGGGCCTCTCTTTCACCACGGACGATTTCGACATCGTTCTTTGTTAACAGTTTAGTTACCGATCCCATAAACTCGCGACCGGGATCTACTTGAAATAGCTTAGGCCATTTTAGCGGTCCGCGTTTATATATGCGGCTCAGTGCATTAGCTACTTCTGTTGAATCTTTCGAAGTTAATGGCTCAGCCTCTTTGTATCGACTAGCCACATCCACTACTGTTAAAGCGTATTTATACGTTTTGCGTTTTACCTTATCGTGGGGAAGAAACAAGAGGTCAGCCTGATGAACTTCATTCGTTGTAAAAATATCAAACTTCTTCCTCGGTATATAACGCGGTGCCGGTAAATATATTTGCCACATCGATTGTTTCTATAACCAATCCTTGGCCACATCTTTAGATACCTTAGCCGCGGTGGCTAATTTTTTTATTGCTCCTACACCTTTCCAATATCCTCGTGGGCTATAGTAAATTTTATCCATTATTAATTAATATTGATGTTTCTTTTAATACGACTTATGACTATCGTTGAATCGCATCATCATTTTGGCATAAAAAATGCCACCTGTAGTAGCAGTATAGGTATATGAATCTGGCTCCAGTGGAAGTGGTCCAGAACCCCCATTACCTATACTACTCAACTACTTGGTTTCGTTGATTATCCAGTTTTGTGTTGCTCCAGGAATCCTGCCGATAAGGTCTTATGGGACACTTCATGTACAACTATCAAACCATACATATCCTCGTGTCATGGAAGTTCCATCACTTACGAAAAATCGCTGACTATTCAGAGTAATATTCATATGATCTAATTTTCATATATCAAATATGTCAAACATTTCGGATTCTAGCTATTTCAACTGAAACTGACACCCAGGGCACAACAGAAGTGACCCAGAAAGCAACGTCACACAAGTTCAATCATTTGATTGGCTGGCTTGTCACGTAACAGGGATGACATGTATGGACGATCTCTTGTGTCCAACTCCGAATTAGAGCATTCCACAGAGGTTTTATGATATTTTTTGTCCATGGAACGTTCGTGTTATGTTTTAATGTTGAACAAACGATCAAAAGTCACACATATCCAGCTTATTTACAAGGTTGATGCAGGGAGTTTTTCTTCAAGCTCATCGGGACAGGGGCACCAAAACTCAGAATATCGACACACGAACACGAACCCGTGTGCGAACTGTTGATGGCGCAAAGTTAATATTGGTTGTGGTAGACTTGTCAAATGTGTCCACATTTCCTGAAAGAGGATTGCAAATGTGTTGGTGTCAGCGACAGGTTATAAGTTCTACAGCCAAGTTCACAAACCGAATGTTTATCAACTGAACTTTATCCCGCATACACTTATGCCCGTAGTTGTTGTTCTGTTGGCTTTAAAACATGGGACGTGTGTGCAGGCAGTACAAACAAAATAATGTGAGGCTGACGTGGCCATTCGATGAGTGGAATAGACACGTGAGATATATGACCATCGTACACAATAAGAAGTTGACTATCTGCAGACGCGGCGACAGCATGCTTCAGGAAATGCTCTGTCAGATAGTGTTGATAATCTGTTTGACAAGCCAGTCGTTTACAGTGCCTGCTGCTCCAGGTGTACTTCCTGAAAGTATGTCTTCCCTCATCCTCTTGCCCTTGAATGCAAAATACGGTGGTAAAGAATTACCAGACGCATTGCCGCAACCTATCACAGTTGTAGTGCCGCAGCTGGAGTTCTCTGACTCGATGGGACTACTGATGGTGGGGTATGACTCTCCACAAGTCCCTTTTAGTGTCATCAAGTGTAGCAAATGGAACAGCAAAGGTAGTGGCAGCTTTCCTAATTGCCATCCTATCCAAAACAATTTTATATGCATTGTCGAGGCCTGCAGACAAATATTGCCCATATAAATGTTGCCTCTTCTGGTTGGTTCACCATTGGTCAAAACCTGTGAAAATTAAACTTTATCTTCCATAGGTGAGGTGAAATTGGCTTTAACGTCGTGTGAGGCTAGTTGTACTAGTCCGGACTGATGCCGATTTATAGTGCTAGCTCACTGAGATACCATGCCGCAGTTTAACATGAATACCCCACTCAGACACAGTATACTGACTCCAAGCCGACCAGTCCTTGTTTTAGTCCCTTAATGTCGAGCCCAAGACAGGGAAACAACAAGTACCATCTGTTGACGTCATTTGGTATGACGCGGCCGGGAATCGACCCCGGACCTTCCGCTCTCCGGGCGGACGCTCTACCACAAGACCACGTAGGCGGTTTTATCTTCCATAACATTGTAGAGACAGAAGTTCTCCAAAAGCATCAAGCTTTCTATAAGAAATTACCTTCACTTGTTTGACGACGACATCACGTGTCTGGTTACGTGACATTTACTCCAGGGAAGTAAACAAGCAGACGACTAGTGTGCCGTGGATGTAAAACATGTGAATTCTTTTTTTGAGCTTATAAAGTTACATCAGTGATCCAGGGTTACAAAGTAGTTGTTTGCTGAAAATGAGCTATAACTTAAGTTGGTAACTTGACACGAAGCATTTTCCGGTCCAAGCAAATGAAAGCGTTGTTGCCAGAATATCAAAGCTGTATGTACCGTAATTTCCCTTTTCATATCGCGAGAATTATCTTTCACACTTGTTCACACTAATTAATTAGTAGACTCAAACAAACACTCAAACATACCTAGTTACATGCTTGCTTAGTGGGTGAAATTGGTTGGTAACATTCATACAACCTCCATGCACCCGCCAAATATACATACAATGATGTGTAGAGTGACACGCACGCACGCACGCATGCATACATAAACGTGATGTAACGATCCGGGGTAGAATAGGTCTTCAGCAACCCATACTAGCCGTAAATGGCTACTACGCTTGTCGTAAGAGGCGACTAACGGGATCGGGGGGTCAGGCTCGCTGACTTGGTTGATGCATATCATCGTATCCCAATTGCGTGGATCGATGCTCATGATGTCATTTACTGGATTGTCTGGTCCAGACTCCATTATTTGCAGACCGCCGTCATAACTGGAATAGTACGGCATTAAACAATAAACAAACAAAAACAAACTTTTGAACAAAGCAACAAAGAGTTGGATGTAGGTGTAGGACTCGATTATTTACAGATCGCCTTCGTATAGCTGGAATATTGCTGAGTGCGGTGTTAAACAACAAAACAAACAAAAAAAACCATACATAAACGAAAGAAATGTTTACCTGTTGCATGTGAACGAAGGACACAATGGCTTACATCGATATCACTCCACCATGGAGGTGACTGTACAGTCTCGAAAGGTCAACCTAAAGTATGATATTCAGCACAATGATAACGAGGACAGACTCAAGTCAGACATGAATGCTAGCTACAATAACTATGAAAGGAGACCTTGTCACACCCAACATATCAGTTCATGGGAGGGCCAAGCAACTTGTACATGTGTACATACCCGCTCTCACTGAATAACGAGGTCAGTGCATAATACTGCATTCAAGCGTAGATCGCGAATTGCATTCAAGCTCAGGTCGAGTTGACTATCTTACTATAATGTTCCTCATGACAAAAGTACCACCCCCACTGATCAATAGGAGCACCGAACGTGATATCCCTTCGTCATAGTTACTCCCACTGCACGAAGGTACCTGTGTGTTTCATTCAGACATTGTCACTCGTGGGAAAAGACTGTAAGACATGTACATGTAGGTAAGTTGTTCCGGTTTTATCCTTTGGCTAGTTCATGCACTTAACAAATAACATAAACGTTAAAAAATTATTTTACGAGCTGAAGCTCGTTATATGTTGTGGATTCAACTTGTTTCCCCATTTACTACATCAGTACTTTACAGTAAACCAGTATTGCTGTTTATCATCGGGGCAGTGTTTGTTAGTTAGGTTTAGGGTGTCGATTCCCCTGTAGCGGATTCGTTTGGTTGACATTCCTATTTTATAAAATAATAAAGTCCACTTTAGTCCAACATCTTCTTTATATCAGTTTCAGACAGTACTTTCACTGTCTCATGACAATGACATATGAATGACGTCATACTTATGATGATGTCATAAATTACAACTGTGACGTCATATATATATATATATATATATATATATATATATATATATATATATATATATATATATATATATATATATATCGGCGTTAAACAACAAACAAATAAACCATAGTTACCACAGTGGTAAATCTGTAAGGCTTTCCTTAGTCACGCCATGACATACGTGACATACTGGAATTGCGCAATTGTGAGATTTTCATCGTCATACGCCTACTGACATTCCTGATACAATAACTAAAATTCAAATATATATAAAATGTCAGAGACAGAATATTTAGTCTCAATTATCTACCGAAACAGATTCCATTGGGCGTAAAAGTCAAAATAGCATTGACAATTATGCGAATGGATCATTGAAAAATCATCTCATTTATCAACACTAAAACAACCACTCCACAATACACGTTGGGTGAATACTAAGTATCACAGTTACCTCAAGTTTGACAGGGTTATCACATGAAACAGCTTGCTTTATTGTCATTGAGACATCAATTGACTCACTCATTATGTTAGCAAAGAGACAGACATGTACCAAGTTTGCTTTGTACTATTCAACTGTACTGTACTAACGCTTCATCACTTATCAATGAATCAATATCATCAAGAATTGTCCACATTGAAATTCGTGTTATAATAGCCTGTCATTTGAGTGTGTGCGCTTTGTATCGCTAGAAAAGACAGTTGATTGATTTCACATACTTTCACATACGTACAGTTCATAAGCCACACGGATATATTTAGCAACATGATAGGTGTTAACGTTCTACAGTTGGGGCTCGCACTGCCTTCTTTGTATATATGGATTACGTACATGCGTCGACCATCATAACATTGCAGCTATCACTGCTGCCTATTTCAGGATTTGTGTTCATGTCTCATGGATTTCATGGTCAGCTGATGGAAGTAAACATGTACACTTGCACTGGCAGTTCGCATTCACGCGGAAGCTATGTCTTAAGTAATAACAGTAAGGACCTACTTCGCTTTTAAAGTAGTACTTTTACGAACAATAGCAGATGGGTGAAAATGAAATTGTTGAGAAATTAAGTGTAATCGAATCCCTCCGTGTATAACGGTGGGATAAGTCCAAGATTTGACTCGCATGGAGGTTTTACCTTAGAAATGGAGGTATTGGTAAGTTGAACATACTCTACTGTTTACTGTTTACTAAACATGTGTAAAAATAACCCAAAGCATCATTTATATTGCCTGGAATACTGTATCTTGAACATCCTACGCCATTGTTAATTATACTGCTGTTTGATGATTTCTTCACAATGCCGAAAATGAGTATAAACTATTCTAAGCACTGGTTTTGAGTGATCCATTCATATTATTTTCACCTCTATTTTGATTTGTACGTCTATGTGTTCTGTTTCTTCGGATATTCGATGTTAATTATTTACGCCAAAGACTCATTTTGGACTACACATTTGAGTGCAAGATATTGTTTTCCTTAACCTATTGGGTATCCCCCGCTGTTGATCCATGTGGTTCCACAAAATATTTGACCTCCTTCATCGTGGGTTCGAATCCTACATAGCATCATACCCCTGATAATTGGTTTCATCAAGTTAGAGGGGTGGTCGGGAAGCCTAGTGGTTAAGGCGTTCGCTCGCCACGCCGAAGACCCGGGTTCGATTCCCGACATGGGTACAATGTGTGAAGCTCATTTATGGTGTCAATCGCTGTGATATTGCGGGTATATCATCACTCACTCACTCACTCACTCGCTCATCAAGTTAGCCATTAGTAGCAGCACTGTCGGTCACATTGGTATTTCCATCAACACTAGGCTGTTGCGTGGTGTTAACGCAAACTCACTCACTCATTGTATAATATAACTAATCTATGTGATCGATTAGAATAGATTAGACAGTTGATAAGTTTCTCCAGAGCAAAATGTATGTGGTTGGGACATGACATGTTTTCAGTGTACTGTTATTGCTATTTGGAATATTTTATTGTTTGCACACGATTTGTATGCAAACTATTCTGTTATCATCAACATCACATTTACAAGTATGTAAATGATACTACACAGCATGTGTTCACAAGTGTTCGGCATTTTATACAGGTAACCAAGACTGTTCTAAATAGACAGATGGTGTCAATGATATATGAGTTTTATAAAGTACATGTAATTAGAAATTAGTGAGTGGGTGAATGAGTATGGTTTTACGCCGCTCTTCGCAATATGCCAGCAATATCATGGCGGGGGACACCAGAAATGGGCTTCACACATTGTACCCATGTCGGGAATCGATCCCGTGTCCTCGGCGTGACGAGCGAACGCTTTAACCTCTGGGCTACCCGACCGCCCCAATTAGAAATTAGAAATGATCTAGTATATGATGTAACTTAACTTGTATAGGGTATAACCAAGACATGCATTTATGTTCTTACTAAATGCCATATGCAATATTGATTTGATTAAATGTGTTGCTGGCAAGGCGAATGCCTGTGTGAGTGAGTATGTTTGTATCGCCGCTTTGAACAGTATTTCTGCTACATCACAGCATGTTAGCTTAATGGGAGAGGAAAGCTCGATGTTTATGCAGGTTTTAGACGATTAGCACTCATGAGAAATCCTCAAGCACGGGTATGGTACTGACATCCCCAAACACATTATCTGGGAAACGGTGGGTTTATCCTCACCCACGATCATAGGTTTCTGGCACGCCTAATGGACGCAACACATCTCCTTGCGACGCCTAAGGCGAGTGTCCGTCCCCCAAATCGTGTCAACCTACGATGGGAATGTCATAGATTTCTACAGCTTTTCTCTTTTCAGACGTTTAAGATATACAGTATAAATGGAATCAACATGCGTGACGTGAGGATACTAAGCGCCAGCGTATATGAATGTATGCCGTGTGTTGGGTCAAAGTGTGGGTAGGTGTTGTGATGCAGTGGTAACATCGCTAGACTGGGTGTTGCCCACGACATATATAAAACAATCTTCTGTTTGTGATCCCTAAATAGACAATGAACAAGGGTGTGTCAAATATCATTATCGGTAAATGCATTTAAAGTTACCTGTGAACGTAAATCTCTCTACGCCTATCTCAAATTGGAGTGAGTGAGTATGGTTTTACGCCGCTTTTAGCAATATTCCAGCAATATCACGGCAGGGGGACACAAGAAATGGGCTTCACACCTTGTACCCATGTCGGGAATCAAACCCGGGTCTTCGGCGTGACGAGCGAACGCTTTAACCACTAGGCTACCCGACCGCCCCTCTCTCAAATTGGAATTATGCCTAAGCTTCACTACATGTGTGTTTCAATTTGCTCACATTCAAGTAGCAGTAAAATGCTTCATGAAAACCTCTAAAGTACCCTTTTTGAAATATCATAATTTCACCAGTGCATGTTGTATAGTCATAGTAGTGAGTGAGTTTGACTTTACGCCGCTTTTAGCAATATTCCAGCAAAATCACGTCGGGGGACACTAGAAATGGGCTTCACACATTGTACCATGTCGGGAATCGAACCCGGGTCTTCGGCGTGACGAGCGAACGCTTTAACCACTAGGCTACCCGACCGCCCCTGTGTAGCCATAAGTCCCAAACATGCAATTGTTGGAATAAATACAATTTTACTAGTTCTCATCACATGAGGATATCGGAGAATTGTCTTACATGTTATTGACTTTAACAGTTTTGCTCAATACTTAAACTGCGACTTATAGGTATGACAAGAGGAAATAACTGACTGAATATATCATGTAAAGAGGGAACTAGCGTGTGATAACTTGGTTATTAGATGAGTGGAACTATATATGAATAAAGTATAAGGTGGAGTACATGTAGTTATGCTTGGCGATCCTAACACACTAGTATTAGATTCACTCTGTCCGAAATGTCACTATATGTATATTAATCTTCATGATAAATTAACGATTGTGTGTGTATGTAGTAATAATTATGATCTGATTTGATGTGAACTGTATATGTTCACTTGTATAAGAACTGTAAATATTTACTTATATACATCGTCAGTTACTGGGTTACATGTTGTACTGGATAGCATAGTTTGCTACCGGTAGAAGGGGACATGAATACACTTTTCACCGCGTGTCGTCACTGATCTTCAGTGATCTGTTCTTACAATCTTTGACACTACTTTAATTTTACTCCAAGCAGAATCTGACTGATTTTTTATTGGCTTTGATTATTTGTATTTACTCCTACACTTAAACATGTTTACAGGTTGACCTGTCTGATCATGTGATCACCTCACGGTGGTCTCATGATCAGAATTACCGACTGAGTTAGATTACACACCGTGTGGGACAGTATTTCCGTTACATCACTGCGTGTCAGACTTTACAGGCTATAATAATGTACCTGTAACGCTGTTAACAAATACAAACACTCACATAATGATTAAATTATTTGATATATGTATCACTCCTTCTGTCAGTGTTATCAATGCTGTAAGGAAGTTTTTCTGCACAGCGATTTTGCATCGCAAATGACTACCGTGTCACAGTTAAATTTCATTTCATCTGTTTACAATAGCACTGTAGATGTACATGTATTTACAGCTGGCTGATACTGAGCTGAAATGGAATTGCCAACTAAACAGCATGAGGGTAGGTGATTATGTTAAGTGGTGGTGCTGCTGCTGCTGCTGCTGCTGCTGCTACTGCTACTGCTACTGCTACTGCTACTACTGCTGCTGCTCCTCCTCCTCCTCCTCCTCCTACTACTACTACTACTACCACTGCTGCATCTTTTTCTGCAACGCTTCCACATTTACGTGTTTCATTTCCGTACAATTTTAACGTGTATCTAATTGACGTAATTAAGCAGACTCTGTTCTTTTGTAAATCAGATTGAAAACTACGAATCTTACTAGATATGTACATGTCCACGGTTCTCAAATATATTTTCTCTCTTCTTTTGTAGATTAAATACGTCTTTACATTTCTTTCAGGAGTCTCATCCTGGGCCAAAAGGCCAGCCGGCATGAATGGTATGAAGTTTTTAATAAGCAATTTTAAGAGGAATTATAATAATTATTAACGACAATCTTACCAATTTTTGTTATGTTCAACTTCTACATATTTGCTAATGTTTACATATATCTTAAAACTACGACATATCGAAATAAAAATACTATCATAATATGTATGACGACTTAATAATATCCAGTTTTATTTCTTGGCGATTATGATTGCATTTTGTGACCTTAAATCCTGATCTTATTGAAAATACATAAGAATTTCATTGCCGCCAGATTCACCCGTTGGCGTAGACCCCATTGAGTCCGATACAGCGGAAGTGGTATGTATGCTTCTATCAACAATCGTACAGATATGTTAAGGCTGCAAAACATACAATTTGTTTACTTATATCAGCAGTTCCCGTCAATCTTTCAGTACAAGTTTTCACCGTCATGTTATCCCGTGTAAGGAAGTATGTTTTCTCAGGAACTGAAACGTGTAAATGTGTAGCCTTGTTCTAGAAGCTAACATGCACATACTATTTATGTATGAGTTTAGCATATTCAAGATGAAACCAACAATATACAATGAACTGTTGTGTCAGCGTGTTGGTCAATGCATTCAAGGTATATGGTGCGAATTGTAGGTTTATTAACAGAGATGATGGGTGAAACAAATAAATATATACACTACATGCCTCATACATTCAAAGTTTCAAGTCCATGTACTGTTTGAGAGTGAAGCAAATCTTGAAATAACTAAGGCGTCATGAGTCACGTTTACACAAAACATATACAGCTGTACACCTGAAAATATGTTTTGCACCCCTAAAATATGTTAATGACTAATGAAACAATTGCTGGAATGAAATTACAGACAAAATGAGCATTGATAATGAATGTGTTCTGTAAGAACAACCCCCTGACAAATTGTCAGTTTTATCACTATAATGTAGCACAATCACCAGTGATGATTTTCGGAGTCCATATCTGGATAAAAGTGTCACTTTGAGTCCCTAGATGACAAATCCCGTAGTTCAGTAGCGACTAAACCCTCCACATGCCCGGAGAACGGCCACCAACGTGTGTCTCATCCCTTCGGATCTTGTCAAGGGGATACTGCATCCGCTCCTGTTGCAAAGCTGCTTCCAATAGACGCAGATTCTGGACTTGCGGCTTCGGTTCATGTAGACTACGCCCTAGGGTGTCTCAATGTGGTCCAGAAGATTTAGATCTGGACTCATGGCGGGCCAAGGCAGAGTCGTCACAGAATTGTTCTGGAGGTAGGCTGTTGCTGCCCGGAAACGAGGGGATCTTTCGGCGAGTGTGTGGCTGTCGAAATGGAGGGCCATCAAGTGGTTCCAGGACATCTCGGATGTAATAATTACCTATGAGATGGCCTTGTATGGTGACCAGAACCAGCTTGTAATTGTGGGAGATCAGTTGGCCTGATGTTCGTGGGTATATAGGCCTGTGAATCCAAACACCCAGTCCCCCAAAAGTGACATGGAGCACGGACCTGCGTTCGTCTTACCAATGGAGTTTCCGACAGGTTCTCAGAATCCAGCTACATTTCGTCCTACAGCACACACATGCCGAACGGAACCTCTGATGGCGATCTGCAAGTATTTGGGGAGTTTGGTGACTCTGCTGGGCGCCATTCCTGTTGCTCATAAGCGGTTCCTCAAGGTTCTGGTGGACCAACGTCGATGGGGTACCTTCAGGAAAGTATTCTTTGCAAATGGCTGCCGTCGTACTAATCAAAGCAGTGTTCTGTCTGCACGTCGTCCTGACCGCGAAGGTCCATCACAGCATTGGTTTGATCACTGAATCGTCCAACCTGGACACGTGCAGGCTGAGGATCCCGTTCTGAACTGGTCTTCAATAATCCATGCTTGTCGTAACAGGCGACTAACGGGATCGGGTAGTCAGTCTCACTGCTTTGGTTGATGCATGTCATCGTATCCTAATTGTGTATATCGGCGCTCGTAATGCCAATCACTGGATTGTTTGGTCCAGATTCGATTATTTACAGACCGCCGTCAAATAGCTGTATTCTGTAGTTGGACAATGGATATAACACACCGTTGTGTGAAATAATCCCATATGAATAGCATGTTTGTTTGTTTGTTGTTTAACGCCGCACTCAGCAATATTCCAGCTATATGACGGCGGTCTAAAAATAATCGAGTCTGGACCAGACAATCGAGTGATTGACATCATGAGCATCAATCCACGCAATTGGGATCGATGACATGACCACCCGATCCCATCAGTCGCCTCTTACGACCAGCATAGTCGCCTCTTACGGCAACATGGGTGGCTGAAGACCTATTCTACCCCGGATCTTCATGTATCTGGTCAGCATATGACGTCAAAGTTATGTATTCTAACTCCATTAACATTGTAAAAACGATGTCACTTCATACACCTGGCATAATCTTAACCAATAGAATGTCCATAATCGTCCATCCTTCGTCAGAATTCATCGTGACTCCATATAAGTTCAATGGTCTCCTGGGCGTTGAGTTACTAGTGGGACAGGAAACACTCACATTTTCGTGAACACATTGTATCACAACGTATTGGTAGTGATTCGTAAACACATGCTACTGACAGTAGGAATCGTACAACGCTATTCTGTCTCTTGTGTTCACTGTGTCTGTATTTCAGGAACCATGGTACAAGAAACATGACGCCTGGATTCAAGAACACGTCAAACAGAGAAAATGTTTCATGTTTTCAAAGTATGTGTATTGTTCAAAAAAGGCCTAATAGCCGAAGCATTAGAAATCAGTGATGTTGAAAATATTTTCATCAGTTCTATTGAAAAGGTAATCGAGACACAGATCTACTGTAAATCATGCTAGTGTCCCTTGACACAATTTTCTCTGGACATATTGTCATGTCAGGTTCACTGCAGATGGCGGAAACAAAGCCCACAACAAACAATGTAATTGAGCGCTAGATTTAGACAGTGCTTCTCACCAAGTACCGTTTCAAGTGTGGTCAGTTTACACAAGTTGATCAAGCTGTTATGACAGTCGCAAAACGCGAACAACGGCATCTTGGTTCTTGGTGCTGTAGTATTTGTTTATCTTAATATTATATATATGAAAAATATTATTGTCTAGAGACTCAACGTTATTTTATTACAATTCACTGCAATTCTGGACTTTCTGAGATGTTTTCTAAGGCGTTGACAGTGAATACTGACTTACGACATATGCATTTCTCTCTGAAGGTTATCTGACAACGTCTGTTTATGCGGCCACTATAAAGACGACCACACAGACAAGAATGACAGTCCGAAATGGAAGAAGGAAGTCAACACAAAAACAACACCCACGGAAAACTACGGAACGATCTATGTTAAAACGGACACGGATCAAGAGTTCATGGAAGGTGAAGAAGATACTGATAACGACGTCAGTGAGAAACATGAAGTGCAGGTAAAATCTACATGAGAAGGGTTGATCTCAATATACTCACATACATGTATCTCACAATAAATCCAGCAACTATCTGAATGTTGTGTCCTGGAACCAATGAAACATGTTCGCAATTCTTTATTGCAGTTTATACGCATTGATGAAGACGTTTCAATGGACTATGTAAAATACCTGCTGTTCGAAATATGGCACCTCACTCGACCAAAATGGATTTTTGCCTTGCTCGGTTCCAAACCCGAAGATACTAATTTCAACATGGAGTATGAACTTGAAAGTGCCTTGGAAACGTTACTAGGAACATCAGGTTTGTTGAACAGAGTAGATATTTGTACATCATGTTACAATAATGCCTCATATCAGATTTATCACGATTATAAGACCTCTCTTTGAATACATGTATCTAAAAAGTTTGAAATAATTTATATTTCAAAACAAATTATCATCGTTATATAAGATGCTATATGAGTATAAAGGAAATCTGTTAATTAATATCAACATGTAAAGCATGAATCGAAGATACAGCGTTCATCCAAAAATCTTTTGTCAAATATAGATATATGGATAATATCTGATGGCCTGCATAATGGTGTCGCCGAATTCATCTCTGACCTGAAGGAAAACGAGCGTGTTACCTCTATTGGATGTAGTGCTTGGGGGAATTTTGAAGACGTCCTCGGGGCGATGCAGGTATTGTTAATGTAAAGAGCATCAGCGAATCACTTACAGCACATATCGTAAAGTTTCCAAGAATGTTTGATACATACTTTTTAAGTATTAACGTGCTGTAACAACATTTGCCATCTTTGTTGAAGCATTTTCATATTAATATAATTTGAACATTTCACTTTCTTAAATACAATTATTTCAACTTTTTCTATAAGACCTAGTTTCTGCATGTCAGTTTTAGTATTTTACTATGTACATATGTTTAAACATGTAACTGCTGTGTTGTAGGTACAATGTGTAAAACCAGATCTTTGTTTAAAGCTGCATGAAGCTGAAATCAATCACTGCACATCATACATCGTCCTTGAATCTTTTCCCCTCCAAGTAATACACAGTATACACCTGTACATGAAGTTAGTGAGACAAAGTGTTACCTCTACGTCAATGTATTGTCACATTTCGATCTATATTCGTATACTAGGTGGATGAGAAAGGTCACAGACACGTTGGTTATTTGCTCAGAGATGACCTTGATGACACGAACTCAACAAGCCTGCGACAGTTTGGGATGACCACAAGCCATTTCTTACTGACCGATAATGGAACACGTGAATCCTACCTGTGTGATCTCTCTAACCTATCATTTCAAGCACGACTGATTGCTGATCTCGCAGCAGGGGGCATTGGTAAGACGGATCAGTTTCACAAGTAACAATCTTTGATGTAAATTCTGCCAAGGCATATCTATTAATTTGATATTGATATCAATCAACATGTTCCCACTTTCTTTTATCGGTCCCATTGGATTTGTGATATAGAGAATCTCACCCGAGTGTCTTTTGATATCAAATATATCAACACGAGTTGATAAAAGTGGGAAAACTCCGAGGCTCGCCGATTTTATTTATCATCCAACATCATTCTTCCAACTTTTTCAGCTTGTAGAAAGTAATAAGTAATGTCTTAAGTGTAAATAGTACTGCTAACAGCTTCAGTAGCAGAGCCATTAGTGATGTCATTTGATTGTGACGTCATGGTAACAATGACGTCACAATGGTCTGAAAAGCACTGTGATGCAATTTCATTGCAGCGATATCGACAGTTTAGATATCGCTTGATCTCACCCAAGCGATATCTCCCGTGGGATGATAAAACGAAATCTTACTATATATCCACACAATTTGTTTGCGTGAAACATGCACTGTTTCATCAACTATTAACATTTGCCAACATATGATAAATCGTTGAAAGTACTGTAAGTATGATTATGTAATACAGTATCCGAAACTGGCCCCCAGTATTGACATCAGGCGATACATCTGGAGAAGATATCTATAAAACATGTGTGTGAATTCGATTTTGGTACGAGACCGCCTCTGTGGTGTTGTGGATAGAGCGTCTGCCCGGAAAGCAGACGGTCGGTGGTTCGATCCCCAGGCCACAACACACCAAAAGACGTTAAAAGATGGTACTTGTTACTTATAACAATTTCTGACATGGTATTTTTCAGTGAGCTTTCAATCAAGTTGCAATCAGTACAAGACTTTTTATCGTTCGACATGGCGTTTGTAATTCATGATCACATACTTAAGCACTATATAGATACTGATTTCAATATAGAGGTACATATATATTTTATGTTGAGACTGTAACAGTTTCACGATCCATATTTTTGTATCCTCCCTGCACCATTTGATGATACCAAAAATCAGCATGGTTTAACAATGGTACCATAAGAAATTCAGAAACATTTGTCGTGAAACAAGAGTTTGGGTACATTGATTTATTTTAAGATAAAAGATGCGATCCTACGTTATCGAATGAGTGAGTGAGTGAATAGGGTTTTACACCGCTTTTAGCAACACTCCAGCAATATCACGGCGGCCTACGTTATCAAATTCAGTTATGTTTGTATGTTGTGAGTAGCGGGTGTTACCGATAGGGCAGGAAAGGCTTACCCTTTTAGAGGACAACAGGTGTCATCACTGACTGATGTGATCACAGTGATCCATTCATATAAAATTCATTATTTTGCCTTTACGCTCAAAGGAATCTGTTTCGGCAGATAATCAAGACTGATTATTCTCTGCTGTCGATCTTTTACATGTATTTGATCTATATTTCATTTATTCCCGGTAAGTCAGTGGGCGTATGTGGGAGTAAGTCGCAAAGCTCCGATAGCTTCGTGTGGTCACACTGAGGACAATAATCGTGACAAACATGGAATTCGAACCAACAATCGAATATCTTTGTATGGCTTGTATGGCTCGGGGTTTGAACTGAGTAACACAACTCTGTACAGCGAATTGTAGGATCTCATATATGTCTGTATTTAAGGTTATCAATATTTTTAAGAAGGTTCCAGTGCGATTCCCACAGTGACAATACTTCATGGTGGTCAGCTTATTCATCTTGAAGGAGTGAGAAATCTCATCAAAGACAATGTTCCAATTGTCATTGCCAAGGTATTTCAACGTTTTGTTTCAATATTCTTACATTAACAGTTATTAGCTTATTGTTATAGCTATATAATTATTCTTTTAAATATTCCATTAATTGTTTAAATTTTTTGTTTTGTACAATCAAGTAACACGTAGCGTACACAGGCCGAAAAACATCCTGTGCACCATAAAACATCACATTAAAATGAAATTGCCATGGATTTTTGAGAATTATGCATCACATGAACAAACACTCTGTGATGATGAACCATTATGTCGTTGAATTTGCACATTACTGCACGTATGTCATAGTCAAGACAACATCTGAGGTCCAGGCTATATGACTTTATAAGATTAGTCCAGGTTTCATCTTGAAAGACAGTGGCGGCAGTCAGCGTGTTAACCAACGTCGGATTGAACTTACGATGACGCATTTGTTTTCAACGTTCTGCAGTCGGTTGTGGGAGGGTAATGATATCAGGAGGCATCACTACACATAGCAGGACTCGTCTATTGGGTATCTATTGCAATTGGACAGGTGTACGGTACAGTGACGAAACTGTCCGTCCTTATATTCTCCCTTTCCTTCAGACGCATGGACGTCACTCACATACTCCCTTGACCTGCTGTTTCGCCAGATCTGTCGCCCATCGTGTATGTGTTGGGTGAAATGGAACGTCGTTTACGCCGACTTCCAAACAAACCGATGACGTTGGTCCAGCAACGTCAGGCCTTGGTCCTTATCTTGAATAACATCCCCCTGGCCTCCTCAGCCATATTGTGTCGTCAGTGAGGCGTCGTTGGCAAGCTTGTGTGATGGTGATCATATCCAAAACTTACTTGTGAACTGACAATTTACCGCACGCTACTTTCAGCCTGAGATTACGTTTACAGAGGATAGGTGTTGACACTGTCATGATGTATTCATTATTTTCATGGATATATGCTATTCCTTTTAAAATTTGTTTTTGTTTGCGTTTAATACAGAAAATAGTCGATATCGTAATCAACGACCTTTTATCGTAATACATATTAAGGCATATCTGATACTCTATTGGACGAATCAGTGTGATCTACTGTCTAAAAAGTTCAGTATCTTCAGAGCTAAATGTAAGAAATATGAAAAAGAACCGTTTTATAACTTTAATGTAATTAACGTTGCTCGTCTATATTTGTTGCATCAATGCCATTGTAACGTTGTTACAGAATACACAAATATATGTTTCTCTTTTGGGATTTTATGCCTGATAACATGATATAGTCATATAACAATCACTTTCTTCTAGAACACAGGTGGAATGGCTGATGTGTTATCTTCTGCCTATGAAGAATCCAAAGCTGTGTCCCACAACAAAATTGAAAGAATCAAGAATGAAGGGTATCTATACAGTTACATGTTTTATAGACACACAATTGGTGTGGTGAAATGTGTTTATAAATGTAGGACTGTAGCTGTAATCTAAGAGACCGACCAATTTTTACTATGATGGAATTGAAATAAAGCAACAAATACTTGCGGTTAACATTCTATCCAAATCATGCAGTGAGGGCAATATCCGATGTTGTGTCAGTGAACACACTGAGTACCAGTCAGTTGGGTACAATAATATGTACATGTGCCATGTACTCCTAAAATATTCAGTGTCCCATATCCCATGGTATACATGTATGTATGTATGCAATTAAAGTTTCCTTTTTCAGTCAAGGAACGGTGATTGATGAAAGAATAAAGAAGAAAATAAAAACGGATCTTGGTCGAACATTCAAATCAGAATCAACTGACGAACAAGTTCAAGATATCATTCAGTGTCTTCAAAGACGGGACCTCATCACTGTCGTTGACCTCAACAAAGATATGGATTTCCTTAGAGGAATACTATCTGCAGTTGTCAAAAGTATGCATCGAAAAGTGACTAATTGTTTGCTTTAAAATATTGTAGCTGAAAGTCCTCCCTGGAGTGAGTGTCTAAATTGGGTGTCGTAATCGTAATTGACAGGTCCAGGTTCATAATCGGAACGAATCACATGGTCCGAAGATTCTCTAAATGAAGCACCTCACCATAGAAAAATGCATTTGATACTTGCAGTTGAAACGTTTCATTTATATACACAATTTGTAAACTAAGAATTCCATTGAAGGCAATAGCTTACTAATATTTCAGGTAAATCGGATACGGATTTGATTTCCCTTGTGGACGAGTACCTCCCATCCCCTGTCTTCAGTCGGAATACTGACGAAAAATTCGCAAAATATGCGGAAGCAAAGAAGAGATCGTCAGATAATTCGGATGGTAAGTGTTGATTTGCTGATTCATCGATTTGTTTTATCAGACATGTGATTTTAAAGAGTCTGCTATGCAATTGGCAAAATACATTCATTATTGTTAGCTATATCATTAGCGAGCTGTGAATATTCATTTGTTAACGCCATACAAAAAGTGAGGCCAATATATATAGTCGATCAGGATTGAAGCATAGCCTAATACAAACATCTTACATGACCCAGTTTTCATACGACCAAATGTATTCAAACTACTTAGGAACGGGAATAGAGCGAATCTGGTTAGTCTAAGCATTTTAAGGTTTGCCCCGAGAAATGTTCCTGTTTATCACAATCAATCTTACATTTTACACAATTACATATGTTTTGTTGTAACATTTACATTCAGCTGCAGACTCAGATGACCTTATTCAGAAGATACTCGGGGAAGCATTAGTTCATGAAAAGACAGAATGCGTTGAGTTCATTTTGGACTATGGCCTTGTAGATCTGGAGGACATCTGCCTTGTCGACCAATATATCGAGGTTTGAAATATGAAAGTTCAGAAAATCTGAAATTGACTTCATTTTTGCATGAGTCTCACAAATGACAGTTATGTACAGACGCTCACCCGAATGTCATCCGAAATCACACATTTCAAGACGAGATGACAAAAGTTACAAATACCCCAGGCTTGACGAAGAGTGTTTTACTTTTTTCAGCGAGTCAGTATATGTTTGATCTTGGAAGGGTGTGAATGTATTTATCCAAAATCATTCTTCCAACTTTTCTGTTCGTAAACTGCAATACCAGGCTGTTTGTAAATTATAGAGCTACACTAGCAGGGAGATAAGTGATGTAATTTGATTGAAAAGTATTTGTAAAGCATTATGGTACAATTTCATTTAAGCCAGTTTTGAATGATACATGTTTTCAATAACTTATATATCATTTTAATATTAATACCTGCTGTAATAGTATTTCCAGACTCGTATATTAATTAAAATAAATTGAATTCATGATATTTACGTTTCAGACCCGTGGAGATCTTCAAAAGATTGTCGGGAAAACATTTAAGGAAACAAAGGTTATATATCGTTTAGAAAAATAATGACATTTAAATAGCGAACCAAATATTTTGTCTATCGGCTCATAATAGAACCGTATTGTATGTTAAGTCTTCGTTGTGCATTTAGAAATTTGAACATGAAATGAATAACAGGTCCGCACTAAGTTAATATCAACTGAGTGGGAGCGTGAGTGAATATCCAAACTACATCGTAACGTCAGCCTGTAAAGGCGCAATATTGGTTATTACCACCCCTTCTCCAAATCTTTCGACAATCGTGGGTTTCTTGAGGACATCCCGCCCATACTGACTACCAGGAAAGATATATTGAACCTGTAATGTCCTAAAATTGCTGATCCTACTCCATGTGATCTTTCAGAGGGAGCTAGAACAGAAACTCTTCCTTGATTACATCCTTAAGGATTTTGAGGTATGTGTTCCATTCATGATGTACATATAAACACTGACAGGAAGGTAAATAGTTATACCTCCATGTACATACAATGTATATAGATATGAATGTGCTTACATAGATATGTACGTACCTCGATTGTTTTAAAAGCCTTCATATCCATTATCCTGATTGTTACAGAGAAAGAGAATCTTCAATAGGCTATATGGACTACTGGAAAGACTTCGAGAGGTAAGAAAAGGACTTGTTAAGAACATTTTAACCATTGATATCAGATAAAGCCGTCATAATGTTTGTCTGTACCTCCACTATTACCAATTACATGTCTATTTACAGTGACAGTGTTGTTCACCTTTATAATAGAATCAGTGTATTTCAGTCACTTAATTGTGAAGTAGTGAAGTCGTGTGCACATCATATAGCTGAGTTTCAAATATTCATTTAACTACAACGACTAACCTAATGGGAACCATATAGTTGTGTTTCTGTAAATGAAAAGTAAACGGGAGACACAAATCTGGATTTGATGACACTAGGTGTTCAGACAAAGATCACAATATCATGCCCAACCGGTTGCATCAAGGCCCTGGCACACAGTTGACACAGGCAAGACGCTTATTCTTGCTATAGAGTTGAAGCAATAATCAGTATTTCATAGAAGAAAACACATGGTTTCATCCGAGATTTATCAATGCGTACTTAAAACTTATATATGTTCATTCTCGTTAATGTGACGCTTTCCCGAGAGACTACGTTACACATACTCGTAACGTGCATGTCATTTGATATCTTTGTGAGTGTCAGACACTACACACTGAAGATGAAGAACTGACCGCTGCACTTGTCATTTCAGATTTTGGAAGAATCTAAAAAGAAGAGTGGCATCGAAATACTGAAGGTAATGACAAATGGTATAACACAAAGTTCGTACGCCATTGGGTATATTCAAAAAACAACATCCAGTCAAGAGATGTGCCGTTTATGTTGCTCATCCGATACTTCATTCAACAAGTAGATCAGTGAAAAGCAAGACGTTTACCATTTACACAGTTTGTGGTAAGAAAGTGCATTTAGTATTGTTCTTTCAAACATTCAACAAAACTGAAATAGCGTTTGGTTTGTTGAAAAGTATCATTTCCCTGCTTAATTTTCCGAGACAAACTACTCTTTCAAGAATATGTTTTGCAAATAGTACGCAGCAATTATGGAAAATTATAATGCAAATCAACCACTTTACTCGGTTTAAAGGCATGCTACTTTTAGAAATATTGATCCCTTTTTTGTATGTAAACACAAAAAATTCAAACCAGATTAGAAGCGACAAAATGCTTTCCATAATCATAGGAGAGACAGAGTCCAGTATACGATCACGACTATATCATAAGCATGTGTTTATGAATCACTGTCAAATAATGATACCAGGTGTTACGGGATCCTGCTCCACCTGTTGCAGCTGTCTCAAACACATGCAAAGGCAACTCAATTGTTCACCTGAATAACAAGGGAACAGATAATATATATGCCGAAATAGGGAATTGTATTGGTCATCATTTTTGTCACTGTTGCTTCAAATTTAGAAATGTCCTCCACATTGTGAAAACTTTGAATTAAATATAAGCGACAAAACCCTTTCCAGAGCCGAATGTACGTTTCTGACCGTATCTTGAGTAGGGCTGGGACGGGTAACTCGGGTACTCGAGTCGGGTGGGTACTGAGTAGGACCCGGTTCCCCACTGGACTACCCGGACCCGTGGTTAGTCGCGTGATACATTGTTTCATGACAAAAAATCACTAAATAACTACATGGTTACACAACAACTTTAAGTCTCTAATGTTCGCTTTTCTTCATGACTATGAAGGCATTCCTTCTGACTTACATATGTTTGAACGAAGATAAAACGTCAGCCAACTTCAGTGTATGCATGACCACATCGTTTTATACGTGTATCGAAATACACTTTGCCAGGGCTACTGGCAAACTATTCCCAATCGGACATTTTGTACCTATCTCTTAACATCAACAGCGGGTACCCGGGTAGTGTCGGGTAATAGGGGTGTGGGTACCCGTGTAGTAAATGTGGACTCGTTCCAGCCCTAATTTTGAGCATGCGTTTATGAATCACTATCAAATAGTGATGATACCAGATGTTCGCGACAACTTCAGCTGTATGATTTTACACGTATATGTTCATAGTGCCCCGAGGACAAGATGAAGAAAATACTTGTGTCAACTGTCAAGGAGAGCAAGGTATGGATATAAATGTTATTGATTCTCACTGATTGACAAAAATGTATCTCAAATATCTGAAGCTTATATGTAAAGTAGATGTAGATATAGATGTAGATGTAGATGTAGATGTAGACGTTGATGTAGATGCAGCTGTAGCAGCAGCAACATGGAAGAAGTAAATATATCAGTCTTGATAATTTGCCGAAAAGGACTCCATTGGTAGTAAAAAAAACAAAGAAGTAATGAAAATTATATGAATGGACCATAAAAAATCCAACAATATTACCATTTTTCAACATATTTCTTGGTTACCCTCCATATATTTTGCTTGTTCCTACATTTATAGAACAAGGATGACATTCGGAAAAAAGTGACAACGATTCTAATACAATGCCAGGTGAGAAATAGCAATGTACTGAATCCAGTGTTGATAACGTAGCATTGCGCATAGGTATTTCATATATATTTCGGGGGCACGGGTGGCCCAGTAGTCTAAGGCGCCACGATTCGCTGTGCAGAGTTGCGTCCCTTGGGCACGCCAGAAACCTATGATTTTGGGTTCGAATCCCGGTTCGCCCCGATTTTGTTTCTAGGTTTGTCAGCACCATACCCGTGCTCGTGGGTTTCGCAAGCGGTAAACGTCTGAGACCTGCCTCACTTCGGGCTTTCCTCCCACATTGACACGCCGCGATATATCTGCCAGTCCGGGGATACTGTTAAAAGCGGCGTTAAACCCAACTCACTCACTCACATATTTCATGATGTATCGTTTCAGGAATCAGATCAGATCGACTTGCTCAAGGTGGACCTAAGGCTTCTGGATTTAATGGTAAGGAAACGCGTTGTATGAGTCAGATGGATTTTACGACGACCATGTTTGAGAAGGTGAGTCAGATGGATTTTACGACGACCTTGTTGAGAAGATGAGTAAGATGGATTTTACGACGACCATGTTTGAGAAGGTGAGTAAGATGGATTTTACGACGACCATGTTTGAGAAGGTGAGTCAGATGGATTTTACGACGACCTTGTTTGAGAAGATGAGTAAGATGGATTTTACGACGACCATGTTTGAGAAGGTGAGTAAGATGGATTTTACGACGACCTTGTTTGAGAAGATGAGTAAGATGGATTTTACGACGACCATGTTTGAGAAGGTAAGTAAGATGGATTTTACGACGACCATGTTTGAGAAAGTAAGTAAGATGGATTTTACGACGACCATGTTTGAGAAGGTAAGTAAGATGGATTTTACGACGACCATGTTTGAGAAGGTAAGTAAGATGGATTTTACGACGACAATGTTTGAGAAGGTAAGGAAGATGGATTTTACGACGACCATGTTTGAGAAGGTAAGTAAGATGGATTTTACGACGACCATGTTTGAGAAGGTGAGTAAGATGGATTTTACGACGACCTTAACTGTCTGTTTACGTATATTTCGACGTGAAACCTCAATGTCGGCCATGGCTCATAGTCAAATCTTCCTTCGTTCAACGAATCCAGGTTTTAAATTACGCATCACCGCTGCGTTTTTAGATATCAAACAAAGTGGACCATCACTCGAGGGTATTATAGGGCGAGTATTTACTCATGTAAAGTTGATATTGGTAATAACTGAGATATTGCAAGTGACTTTTCTGATGTTGTTGTGGAAGATAATTAAATATTGAAGCAACTTACATTGTAATGTCATATTATGTCATGTATATATGTTTCATATGCAGTATACACAGACAGAAGCCACCAAAGAGTTTGAAACCGGAGCTTCCGAGGTAACGTGCTTCTGCATTTAGAAAGTAACGGTTTTGATTTTGTGTTATATCATGTAATACGCTGATTTCTTTGATAATATAATAGTTACCATGTATGTAGTTTCATATGTGACCCTGGGCGGTCGGGTAGCCTAGTGGTTAAAGCGTCCGCTCGTCACACCGAAGACCCTAAAAGCGGCGTAAAACCATACTCACTCACTCACTCACTCACTCATAAATGACCCATAACCTATCATGAATACATAATATGGAAGATTTCATTTTCATACTTTTGTAACTGGACAGATTGAAAGACATTATTTATCCAATTATATCGCTTGTGTGAGATTAGACCATATTTCCTGGGAGATATTGGTTCCCTTTGAGTCATCACCCATTGGTCAGATGACATAAGTATTAGCATGAGGTTTAGATGTTCAAACATATATTTTGCTTAAGAAGTGTTCTTTTACTTCGTTCAATCAATGACGTCATTTTACTGGACTTTTTAGCAAGTGAGGATGTGAGTGATTTAGTGAGTTGGGTTTAACGCCGCTTTTAACAGTATTACAGTTATATCGCGGCGTGTTTGCTTAATGTGGCAGGAAAGCCCGAAGTGATGCAGGTCTCAGATGTTTACCACTTCGGTGACACCCACGGGTATGGTGCTGACAAACGTAGGAACATAATTGGGTCGAACCGGGATTTGAACCTACAATCATAGGTTTCTGGCGTCCCCAGGGGACGCAACTCGACACAGCCAGTCGCGGCGCCTTAGACGACTGGACCACCCGTGCCCCCACTTGAGGATGTGACTGATAGCAAGGTCAAAACGTTCTGTAGCTGCAACGCCTCAGCATAATAACGTTGCAACGTGACGTCACTTTTTGAATTTGATGTCATAAGGGAACTTAGCAAGATCCGAGGACTGGTTGTATGGCTCAACAAAGTCAACTCCTTACCAACTTACCACTCGAGCAAATAAATGCTATTAGTTTATCTTTGCGATAGGAAATGTATGTATGCCCATCACGTAAATATAATATTTATATTATATAATTGTAGATTTGTTTGACAAAGAAGTTATTCATAAATAGTTTGTCTCTTTTGGTAGTAATTTCTGAACTAGGTCATCAAATCAATAAAAGAAATTGCAGTTAATTGAGAATGGTATTGAAATGCAAATAACATCTCACCCAATATCCGATATCTAATGTATGAACACGGAAGCCTCGGAATTTTTCTACTTCAATTGACTTGGAGTTATATTTGAAATCAAAGGAAACTCGGGTCAGAATCTCTATGTACATGAATACAGGGGATATCACCAACTGTGTCTTTATGTTGTAGAAGATCCATTCAAAGACTGCGGGAAATGATGAAGATGGTGCAGATGGTACGGAAAAAAAAGAGTTCTCTAGCTTTTCCAGAGTGAGTTATTCCACACAACATACACAAAGAACTATGTTTGAGATAGTGTTTTATTTTTTTACATAATGACAATTGATATCCACTTACTACTTCCAACCACTAAATCTTTACTTTCGTTATTATTATTATTCATGTTTACCGTATTAGAACGGCGTACTATATCAACGGTGTTGTTCAACAGGCGTCTGACACTCGGAAAGAGATCCTCGCAACATTTTCTGAGAAGATCATACAAAGATTTGTTCCACGTAGTTGTCTTTTGAGTGCAGGCGACGAGGCACATGAACAAGAAGTAGGTGCATTTTATAGGTAGTTTTATCATCCAGTAATGCCATATTAATACAGAAGATATTACTTCTTCTCTGCTACAGATAATAATTATAAAGTATGTATATGCTACTGATTTTAAGAAACTCCTCTTTCGCAAGCAATAAAAAAGGTATGACACTCGCTCGTAAAATCAGTATGACCACACACAGCCGTGAATTACTCTGACCGTAGAGAAACATATGTATGTATTAAATAGAAAATGTGGATGTGTCAATATTGTTAGTTTACATTTCATACATGTTGTTAGTTGTTATGTCTGTGAGGAAATACACCAGACAGTCCCTATTTGAACCGTGAAATGTGATGAATAGTTTACATGTTTGAGACAAATTAACGTGTACAGAATGGTTACGACTTGGATTTGATGTGACCTAAACTTGAATTCCTCATATACTGATAATATGTAAAATATGAATATTCATTGTTTAGACTGATGAGACCCTGAAGATGCAAAATGTTTATCGCCAGTGGTTCTTATGGGCAGTTCTAACCAACAGAAATGACCTAGCTCGGGTCTTCTGGAAACGTGGGAAGGTAGGAATTTATACGTATATTGTGCATCAGTATTGTCTTAATGTGTACATTTGCTATATTATAAAGAATTGGTATTTTTAATCGTCTTCTGATAACAGGACAAAGGTAACATGACGGAGTTTGGCGAGTAATAGATACTGTCCATAGTGTAATAGTTCCGCTTACTGGTTCTCTATATATTGAGATTTTTCAACCGCACCCATCCACAATGGGCAAAATCTTGTATTGCCTTGCCTTGCCTTGCCTTGCCTTGCCTTGCCTTGCCTTGCCAATTGATTATGTGCAGTGTGATACCAAGGATACAATATCATTGATCAATAAATATTGCCTTCAGACGCAAAATGACCGGGATGGTTGAAAATACGATTGAATCAATGACTTAGTTGTATTTTTTCATTCATAGGTTTGTTTTGAAAGTAATCTACATGCAACGCTATTGAATGACTAACAATACTTCATATCATTTCAACACTTTGAACACTTTCTCCCGTATATCAGCTTTGCTGAATAATCCCATGCCTATATTGGGAGGACTGTGACACACATGAAGCGGTTGCACAATATGATTAAGGTGAAAAGACAGGATGAACACACAGTTCACCATCGTTTAAATACTGTCATGTAAATATATATTGTAAATGCAAGAGAAGAACTAGTCTAGATTATCTGCCGAAACAGAATAACTGTGACAATTATGTGAACAGACCACTGAAAACCAGTGATGACACCAGGTGTTAAAGGGTAAGCATATCCTGCCCTAGAGGAAACACAGACTAAGCGGGGAAACAACGTATTATATGTTTAAGATAATGTGAATGATTTTGGTTTTTTTACAGGATATCGTAGTGTCCGCACTAGTAGGGGGAACCATCTTATCTTCAGTTGCACAGAAGACTTTCAACAACAGAAAGAAAGCAATTCGAGAAGAGAGCGCCAAGTAAGATACAAGTTTGCAAATCTTTACAAAGGATGATATATACTTACATTGCCTCAATGACAGCTTGTCCATTTAACACTATTATTCAACTTATTGTATGCTACAGATAAGTCCATGTTTATGAAGACATATTTCTAATAATGTTTAATAATAGTTTTAAACAACTTGTTTTCACAGCTTGTTCAAGGCACACACGATTGGATTAATGGATTCGTGTTACAGAGATGACAAAGATAAAACTGTGAAGTTATTAGCCAGAAACAAAGAGCAAAACATCTGGAATGTAGACTTCCTGGCCCTTGCCTTCGAGAAACAAAACCTCAGTATCTTCAGGAGCGAAGGAATGACATACTACACGTTCTCAAAGTGGATGGGAGATATTCCAAAGAAAACCTCGAATTGGAGAGTTAGTTTTACATTTACAATTACCGTACTTCTTTCAAGTATTATTTTCATTTCGTAAAATAAATATACGTGTATCGTGGGAAGGAATACAACCTCTGTTTTGCTTTGCGTGATTGTTGACAAAATGAGGTGACCTTCAAAATCAGATTGGTATCAGATATTCCTGAAAGTCACGATTCTCTGTAACGATCTTATTAATAACAACTATGACAATATCGTGTTCAGCTCATTCTGAAATTGATCTGAAGTTTGAGTTCCCGATAATATCGTCTTTCCAGATTGTTGTTTGTACAATCTTGCCATTCTTGATGTGGATCCTCATTGGAAAAAAGACGGACAAAACTTCAAAACTGAACCAACACGGGAAAGGAATAGAGGACGAGGCTTCAAAGTAGGAAAACATTTGTTTTGTTGGTTCAAACGTTGCATTATCCCAACTGCCCATTTGCTACATGTTGTTACTATGTACATATTATGCCATTGATGTTAATTGTATATTATGAAACCTTTATCCCTTTAATATTACAAATCTGATGTCAAATCACTTTTTATGAGAACCTGTACATGTAGCTACTCCGGCTTTATCATGTAACTAGTGTATTTGTATTTCCTAATATCAATAACGTCGCTGTGCCTAGAAATTGTTGACTAACTTAGTAATATCAATAACGTGTTGACTTCCAGGAAACAGTCATGCTGTGGCAACTGCAAAGCAGTCTTCACACGGTTTGGCAACTTTTATTCAACGCCAATTGTGAAGTACATTTTAAGTCTGGTTTGTGCATTTATTTATTATTTATATAATCAGTTAAAAAGTATTAGAAATAAGTTGTAATGAGGTTCGCTCAAATTTTGAGGCAATGGCATGTCAGTGAAATGTTTTGCAGTACTTATGATGTGTGTTTTTGACAGGTCATCTTCTGTGTTTTTCTCGCAATGTATGGTCATTTGCTGCTTGTGGTCTTGACGTTTGATTACACGTGGAACTGGGAGATCCCACTGTTAGTGTGGATGGTGGCGTTTACACTCGAGGAGCTCATACAGGTAAAGATTGTAACCTCCTTCTGAATTAATTAGATTCAGATGACATTAAATTGGTTATCTATGTCATGGTTTTCGACAGTTCAACTTCCAATAACATAGAATGTTTATGGTTTTCAAAATATGTGTTTAAAAGTGTTTATTATAGAAAGGGCTTTGTCGCTTTTAATGCCAAAAAATCATCGTTTTATAGAACTCAAGTAAAGTTACAAATACGTTGTGACATGTGTGGCTCAAGGTTGTCATATCTGACATCGAGTGTTATTGTAGCGTTACCCAGCTGCATTATTATGTTATGAGCCAATCAGTTTCATGATGACTATGTGTCGTCAACTGTGACATATTAGAGGAATTTGTTGCAGATCCTACAATTTGCAGTGGAGAGAAGAGAGATTACAAGAACAAAGAAACGTCAAAAGAGTAAAACGTGCCTTGAAAGGTTATACTCGGGCCTGCATTTGGTACGAAAATATACAGGGATATATTTCCAGGACATGTGGAACATACTCGACAGCATGTGCATTGTAGGATTCATCATTGGATATACTCTGCGGTGGTTTGAAGACACATACAGTTATGGGCGTGTGTTCCTCAGTATCAACTTCATGTGCTTCTTCTGGAGACTACTTCAAGCATGTACACCCAGCAAAACCATAGGACCAATGATTTACATGGTTTTCAGGATGGTATGGCAGTTGGAATAATTATTGTATCATTTATCATTATATTTACACAATTTTCCCAATGATACTACTTTTCTTTAACATTACGTACTTGATCATACTCTCGGTGAAAACTTGTGATAAGTATCTGAAGTATTCTGATCATATCATTCGGTTTTTTTCTACAGGTAGCAGATTTAGTTCCATTCCTTGTCATCATATTTGTGGCTATTGGTTCCTATGCTGTTGCCACTGAAGCCATACTCTACCCAAATGCATCCTGGTCGATTTCCTTTGTTCTGGCTATACCGAAAAAGGCATTTTGGCAGATATTTGGAGAGTTCTTCTTTGAAGAAATCGGAGGTGCGTAGAGTGTACCAATGGAATATCGTATGGCTGTCAAGTTTTATAAACATCGCTCAACAGGTGTCCATAGTCATTACACATTCATAGTGTACACAGAGGCGACTTTTAGAGTTGATTGCGTGTCATCTTAACCCGGGGGCGTGGATCGTTGCTCACAATATCAATAACAGTCGTGTCTGGACCAGACTCGATTATTTACTCGCCCCCGTCATATAGTTGGAATGTTGCAAACACAAACACAAACATCTAATATGTCCTTGTATAAGCAGGCACTCAATTTTAGCTATGGACATTTTAAAATTGACATTATAGTATACTGTATTTCAGGTACAGAAATTAAATATAAAAATTTACAATTAGTTCATTTTATCTCTACTTCATACTGACAAGGTCAGCACGCCATCATATTTGCGTATATATTTCCTATTTATGCTTGTTACCTTTATTTATTACAGGTGATGCATGCATCGCTCCCAACTGCCCAACAGAGATAGGAAAGACCTTGGTTCCATATTTCCTGGCTATTTACATTCTCATGACCAACGTCCTATTGTTGAATATTCTTATTGCTTTATTCAAGTATGTTATTCTTATGAGATAGTCTCTTATAAAGACAAGATTATTATATCACTCTCTTACCAAAGTTGAGAGCACAGTAAAAGGCGTGTATCCAATAGTTGTTCATCATTTGAGTCACGTTTATCACCTTTCAACATCCTATGTATGTATGTCAACATCCTCGCCTTGTGGGCCCTTATGTTCCGATAGAATACTGTCACAGGATCTTTATTTATTGCAGAGAAATATACATTACATGTAATGCAGACGTTAAGTGAAGGAAGAAGTAAAGGTTCGATCTCGTAAAAACTCGAGGGCAAGGTTTTTACATGCACTTAAATATATACAATCGGAAAAAAGTTCCTGTGCATCACTGACTTTCATTGGAAATTATTACTTAAACCACAAAGAAAGAAAGATTTTGCAACAGAACGATATATTGGTATCAGTGAAACATGAATTCCTCATGGCAACGTCAACCAATGACTTTGAAAACATCATGTCTGACTGAGAGTATCGTTGGGTCAGCTGTCAGTTCACAAGTCAGTATCGGGTATGGCAACCATTCGTATTGAGACAAGCTTGATGACACAAGGTTGAGGAAGGCTTGCGGATGTCATTCCAGATCTGGACCAAGGCCTGTCAGACCAACGTCGGTTGGTTTCGATTTCGACGTAAACAACGCTTCATTTCTTCCCATACATATTCGATGGGCGACAGATCTGTCGAAAAAGCAGACTAAGAGAGTGGAGAGATGTTATGTCGTCCAGTGAAGTCTGTGCCAACGCGTGCAACGCAAGGGCGTGCATTGTCCTGTTGTAAAGTGATGTGACGTCCATAGATTCTAAGGAACGTTAGGACGGAAGAACGGTTAACATTGTCACAGTACTGTACACCTGTCCACTTGCCATCCATGACCACTAGAGGGGTCCTGTGATATGCATTGATGTCTCCCCACAGCATTACGCTCCCACCACCAAACGCAGAACGTTGAACAACACGTGACGTCGAAAAAAACGCTGACGGCCATCACTGCTGTCAAGATGAAACCTGGACTGACCTGTGAAGAGGACTAACCTCCAATTATGTAACCTGAACCTTAGATGTCGTTGCAGCAATGCTGGACGGACAGCTGGGCGTAATAGATTCCTCACAGTCCTTGCACTAAACGGATGCCAGCCAGGGATGCTGTGGACGGTTAAAGTTGCGGCCTGAAACCAAATTTGCACGTGTGCCAGACGGATATTATTATATTATACTCGTGGACGTCCAGAACGCAGTCGGTCCTAGGTGTTGCCAGTCTGTTGGTTACGACCCGGAGTGACTGTATGGTGTATCGATGAACACCAAAACATCTAGCAACAACGTCTTGTGCAATTCCGGTTTCAACCATTCCAATGCACACCACTGATTTTTAAATAGGCATGGCATAACATGGCACATGTTTGGAGGTCAACACAGTTTCTTTTTCACAGTTAAAGCACGTCGACGATTTACTCTACGTTTGAGATGACTCAGTCCCACGTGTGAATGTGTGACGAATCACATACTGGTGGAATTTTATACATGCTATGACCTGGAATTGTGAGGTCATCATAGGTTTTCCTGACAAGGTGCTTGTACATTGTCATGCTTGTGATTGTCATGCATGATTCTGAAAAATCAATACTATTTTCATGTGATTTTTTATGGTGCAAAGGAATTTTATTCCGCTTGTGTACTATAAAAATATAAGTATCTATGGACATATTTTCATAACTCAACACCTGAATATAAATGCACGAGCTGGCGAGTTGCATTAAGGGTTCACAGAAGGAAATGAGAAGATAAATTATTGGGTCTATATATATACAAAATACCTGGGACTTTAATAAATAGAATCCCTTTGATTTTGTAACATACGCTATTTTAGTTATAACTTCCTTGGAGAACAATGAGATGACGTCAAATGCGGTTATAACTGTAGCTTACGTAAATAGTGGTATACGTATCCTGCAGTAATTAAAGATTTGGACTCAGAACACTATTGATACATACATGTACAATGTACTTTTGCGTTCGAGTGACACACAACATTATATCCTTTTCAGCAACATTTATGAAGATGTTCGCCAGAAAGCTGATGAAATATGGTCCTGGCAAAAATGTCGACTTATGGTGGAATATGAGAGCAAACCGCCCTTTCCCTTGCCCTTTACCATCTTGTGGAGGATTGGGAATCTTTTCAAACTGTGTGGATCCTGCAAGAGAGCTCAGAGCAAGAAGGGTAAAGCAAAACAATCTTCTTATTATAGTAGTCATATGATTATAATACTACATGTAACTGTCGTTTTGTGAAAACAATTGGTTCCTAATCAGTAGTGACAAGGAAAATTACTTTTTTTGTTACCGTTTGTAGGACGTCCTGGGGACGATCGTTCTGCACCTGAAGAACCAACGAACACAATGGTTCTTCCTGACGTTCCAGGTAAGTGATAGTAAACACATGTAGAATTTTTATCACGATCTAAATCTAAATATGTCGTGAAAGCGTTGATGCGTTGAATGCTTTTGTTGTGAAATCAACACAAACATATCTGAAGTGTATCAAGTTTATTTACTGAAAACTTTCAAAAAAGAAATACCCATATTTTCATTGTTATGAAACGACTATTATAGTAAGCACATTTGTGCTTCCTTTCATGAGTCTCATTCTGCTGATATCTTCTGGAAACCGATGAAGCAGCCATGTTTCTTTTTTTTTTTAAAAAACCTCACCTTCAAATATATATCAATAAAGTCTGAAATCAGGGCAATATTTAATAAATAATAATTGCAGGGGACCCCGTAGCATTAGTTTGGCTAACCAAGCAAATTATTTTGAGATTGTGTCTACATAAACCGAAAAAAGGCCACAAATTAACAGAGTACTGTATTCTGATAGTCTGTGAAGGTACCCTTGATGATGTATTTATTAAGAACTGACATCAATATGTGTGTGCGTTTGTGGAGTTATAACTTTAAAAAAAACAACGTTGTCCACACTTTGCGTTCATCCGTCAATTATAAAACTGGAGAGTTACATTGTTCTAGTTGCAATTGACGAGACCTGCCACTTGCATCACAGATATCGATACTGGAGACGATGTTGCCGTCAATGCGGAGCAAGATGCTACTTCTAACGGATCGGAAGCAGAAACTGATGCCCCTTCTACAGAACCTGTTGCGGAAGAACCTGATGCTGAAGAACCTGTTGCGGAAGAACCTGATGCGGAAGAACCTGTTGCGGGAGAACCTGTTGCTGGAGAACCTGTTGCTGGAGAGGCAAGTCATGAGGATGTTAACAGCTTGGTCTTCGATGAAGCAGATGATGAAAACGGTAAAGTATTTATCAATGACAATTGAACTATTTCAGATTCAAAATGATGACTGTCGGCATTTTCCTCTAACATCATTGCAGTCTCAGTTACGATGAGGGCGAACATTCTTAGAATGATGTGGGTATTTGTGCATGATATATAGAATAATGAAGTATGTTAAGGGCTTCCTATATAATAGTTACGTCACTGTTTCAGTTGGATCAATATTGCCTGTTGTAACTGTCCAAATGACAATTCATTGAACTATAGATGTGATAAGTTAATGTGCACATTGCAGGAATCTTTTTCGATTCGCTCGTCACGCCGAAGACCCGGGTTGTATTCCCGACATGGGTACAATGTGTGAAGCTCATTTCTGGTGTCCCCCGCCGTGATATTGCTGGAATATTGCAAAAGCGGCGTAAAATCAAACTCACTCACTCGATGTTAGAATTTGAGAATGACATAATGATAAAGAGTTTCACGCGTGTGTGTGTTTTCAATATCCTGTGTAAGGATAAATCTTAAAGATGAACGACAGAGAATGATAAATCTCGATTATCTACCCAAACAGATTCCATGTGCTTAAAAGGCAAAATTGCAGTGAAAATTATATAAAACGATCACTGAAAATCTGTTAAGAAACCAGCAGTTCGCCCGAGCTCACAAAGCACACTCAGTGTGATTACCACTATTTGTATTATAATGACTATGTATATCATATAAACAACAAGTCGTTTATCTTTCATCTGAAGAGGACACATGGGGTCTTGATTACGACGGTAGGTATGATTTGAATATACAAACTGTGAACACTGAGAAGTACTGTTAAAACAGACTGTGTAATGATTGTAATATATCTTTGAGCTTTTTAAAAATTCATCTTCGATGAAGTACACACATTTAAAGTTCTGGACAACCATTGTAATACCTCAAGTCCAATGTTTTCGATTAAATGGCACTTGTCAGAATGGCTGGATAGATGACCTTAATGATGATCACTTAATACCATACTTCAATGGCAACCTCGCCGACCGTGTCATTATACCTAAGTGGGGTGAAGTATCTTTGCACACGAGTGGTATCCAAGTTATAGGATCTTTAAATGCAGATGATGACGTAGCACCTTTAAGTAACACATGAACTCACCACAATCCTTGTTTTCCGATTTCTTTAAAGACCTTGACCTTGACCTGTCTATATCAACGTTTGATTTCGATGAATCCGATCTGAACTTCACATCAAGTGATGACGACTTCTGCCTCGATGAAAGTGACCAAGAAGATCCATTGGATGAATTTGAAAGAACAAATGCTGATTTCTACATTCAAACAGAAAACATTAGACGTTAATGCTCAATGTACAAACTTAACCAAACCACCTCCGTGAGACTGCCGACATGTTATTTGAAACCGTGATTACCCTATCTACGTTACTAAGGCTTAGAATAGATAGTTGTGAAGCACACAATTTAGATTACAGTGAAACATTGTTGGTAGATCCGGGGTAGAATAGGTCTTCAGCAACCCATGCTTGCCGTAAAAGGCGACTATGCTTGTCGTAAGAGGCGACTAACGGGATCGGATGGTCAGGCTCGCTGACTTGGTTGATGCATGTCATCGTACATGTATACCAACTGCGAGGACCGATGCTCATGATATCAATCACTAGACTCGATTATTTACAGACCGCCGTCATATAGCCGGAATATTGGTGAGTTCGGCGTTAACAACAAACAAACAAACATTGTTAGTCCGGACGCCTTTAATCCGGATTGCCTCTTGCGACGGTTACAGGAGTACACAGTGTTCTTTATTCTCGAATTGTTTTAGCTCGGACGAAATTTAGTAAAAGATGCTACATTTTACATTAACGAATGTTTCACTGTATATAATTTTGTATATAATAATCTCCAAGAAAAAAACATAACCTGCAACCTTAAGCCTTTCAGTAGGTAAAAGATGTTTTTTGGCATGGCTATATCTTGCAAATAAGTTAATGAATAATGCCTACCCATCCCCTTCCCAATGATGTGTTTAAATGAAGGATAGCGGTGGCTGTTTGGTCCATATTTAATGAGGTACCATAGGATACCATGCTTAAGTTTCAGATTCAGACAACTATACTGATTCCAAGCTGGCCAGTCATTTCTTTATCCCATAATGCAGGGTAACAGCAAGTAAAATCGTTTTAACGTATTTTGGTATGGCGCGACCAGAGGATCGAACCAACTACCTTCTACTGCGTCAGGTTCTTTCCACTAGTACACGGAAGCGGTTTTAAATGAACGCGTGCATGGATATAGGGTTATGTGTTGTAACAGTAAGGACTCTCACACACCGCTTGTGAAGTGCAAAATGAGTGATGTTTCCGCACCATGTGCGAGGAGTGATACATGTGTCTCGGTATTTCTTTGACGGCATCAAACCTAGAACAGTCATATGTAACAGTGCTTTGTGTGTTTGTACTAATGTGTTGAACCATATCTGTTCTTATAAGTTCTGTTTGATTTGTGCCATATTGCAGTCATATTGGTTTCCCGTGTAAGCTGCTTGATTTACGCCATATTCTGTCTCAAATCAAAGTTCGTTTACAATGTTTGTTTTTTACACTAATAGAGATTGTATAGCGTTTAGATCCCAACCATGATCAAAGTTTCATGAGGTTTTACATATATGTATGCATTGTGTATAGGTAGCTTGATTGGCTCCCTATAAAAAGAGTTTGAATTCAATTTCATTATTAATTTTTGTTTCAATGTTTCATAGATGCCGTTACAATGATCGAATATTAACAACTTGATTCGAGACTTTTAAGTTCTCATTTGTGATAATGTTGTGCTTTGACATTTACCAAGTACCACACAGTTCTGTAACAAATAATAACATATTATCTATATTGTATCCTCAGTACGTTTGAAATCATATTGGGTATTATACTGTTCTTGCTTTGTCAGCGCTTGTAATATATTGTTTTACCAAAGCGATGTGGCTTTTTCCACCATATTACTCTAACTCGCTGTGATATAGCTGAAATACTGTTCAAAGCGGCGTTAACCTCACTCACTCACTCTCGTTATGTGACACCCTAACCTACATGAATACATGACCAACACAGCGTGTTTATACATTTTGCATTTGGTTGGTAATTAGTGTAAAATGCCACAAACAAGTTTGTCAGCTATGTCCTTCTTTATTGTTAAGGCATTTGATATGTCTGACTTAACACTGTCAATTTTCATATCTACTTATATCAAGTAAAATAGTATGTACCCTAAACTACCGAGTTTCTTAGCTCTGTCAACACGAATAATGTATAGCGATTATTCAAGATACAATAACACACACACACACACACACACACACACACACACACACACACACACACACACACATATATATATATATATATACATACATACATACATACATACATACAACATACATACATACATACATACATACATACATACATACATACATACAACATACATACATACATACAACACACATACATACATACAAACGAAATGTTAACGAAGGACTCAATGGCTAACATCACCTCAGCACGCAGAAGACATATTGGGACGTGCTCCAGGACAAAACAGGGATGGACGTGTCTTCAGGTTTTATAGTCAACTCAAAAGTTGATAGTGCTGATAAGTGATTTTGGCATATATCTGTCTTAGTTAACGTACTGGCCTTATATATGGCATTTAATGACAAAGTTTTTTGTGTTATATTATATTCGTTTCTTGTGACGCATATAAATGTCATAACGAAAAACACCGATCTGTGAAAGAGGTTTTGTCAAGGTCATATTTGCTTTCATAAGTGGAAACTTGATTGTTGATTAAACTTTTGCTGATAATTATCATGTTCTGTGATGTCACGTGAATAAATTATTACGTCACACCTGTTGTTTTTTTAACCTCGTTTTATTCGTTTTGATTCGAAAACCGTGACCTGGCTTTTATTCGTTTTGACTCGATAACCGTGACCTGGGATCCCTCGACGGTTAACACCCGGTATGTCACTTCCCTAACAGACAATACACCACCCCCATTTATTTAAGTTAGTTAGGGGCTTATGAGAACGGGAACAGTTACCTAAATGACATACCTAAGGTCACGCATGAAATGTCATTCATAAACAATAACGAGACTTTTTCGATATTAACAATATTTTCAACCAACCAAACATGCAACAAATTCTCTTTGCATTCTATACTAATTATACATTATCTTATGCAGAAATTATGTAATCGAACTGTATCCATTTTCCACGTACAACTACTGATAGATCTTAGTCCCATGGGCATGATGCAACCGACAACTTTAGACTTTGAATTTAATATAATGCAAAAAGTTCAGCGTGGCAAAATGTAGTCAGTTTAAACAATTTGGACAGATATCTAGAGTCAGATGTTCCAACTGTCATGGGTGTCCCCTTCGATGTGTATAATGTGGCACTGTTTCCGAAACTGTTTCTTTAAGAATGAACGTACAAGGCTGCGAGATTAGATCACTCAAATTGAACAGTCCCGATACGAAATTGTACGAATACCCTGTGCATGTGTGCCTGACTTCTGGTTTTATGTACCAACACATACTAAATGTGAACAATACTTCCGGTATTGGTCTCTGGCGTGAATCACTGTGTGCACTTCGCGGTTGTTTCTTATTCTGATGGCGACCTTGCCCTTCGTTTGAAGCTGATAGTGACAAAACATGCAAAAGGAGATGAGTATGTTGATTTTCACCTCTTTAGTATAGGGTGTTTTCCGAATGTACCTACAGTAAATGTGTGAAACGATACAGTCTCATGCTCAGCAAGTGCTGCATGAGAGAACAAGGCTGTTACCTGTGTCACCTGTAATAGAAGATAAACATATTGAATGAAACCATTTAGGCACAATGGGAAACACTTATAAAATGAAATAAAGACAGACACATAATGAAAGTCAAGGATTTATTATATTTATACCATAACACAGAAAAATTATAACAATATTTTGCAGGGTGGAATACTTTAACATTCAATGAAGTTGAAATTGTCACGACAGTCTTTCCATATTCGGGGTGTGGGGGTAACCTCGTGGTTCGAATTCCCCCATGGATACAATGTGTTAAGCCCATTTCTGGGAACATGAAAATGCGAAAAATCTGAAAAAGTCCGTATATTTTATTCAACAGCTTGCAACTATCTATCTACATGGAAAGCAAATATATATCCTACTACCAGCTGTACATATTTCACTTCATTTTGAACACACCCGTGAAGATCCGATCTTCAGCAACCCATGCTCGCCGTAAAAGGCAACAAATGGGCGAGTGTACATTGGCACGGATCATTGACTTGGTGTTGATTAGTTGCCTCAACCTGAGAGAGTGAGTTCGAATCCCAGATTGGATGCAACCCCAAAAAGTAGTAAAATTTGTACTTTACTTAGAAGTGTACTAAGAGTAATCCCAAATACAACATTTGTTACATATTACTACATTCTAAAAATCATGGTGTATTCATGACATTGTGAATATATGAAGCCACGACTGAAGTAATATCGAAATAAAGGTGAATATGTTCATGTACATAAACGCATTTAAATACACACCCCGCAGTCCAATAACAATAATAAAGTCTTCATTCTTTGAGGGGGGCACGGGTGGTCCAGTCGTCTAAAGCGCCGCGATTCGCTGTGTAGAGTTGCGTCCCTTGGGCACGCCAGAAACCTATGATTGTGGGTTCGAATCCCGGTTTGCTCCGATTATGTTTCTAGGTTTGTCAGCACCATACCCGTGCTCGAGGGTTTCACCGAAGTGGTTAACGTCTGAGACCTGCATCACTTCGGGCTTTCCTCCAACATTAAGCTGACACGCCGTGATATAACTGTAATACTGTTAAAAGCGGCGTTAAACCCAACTCACTCACTCATTCTGCATCCGATAAGTTTGTTTGTTTGGTGTTAAACACTGTTCTGAGGAAGATTCTAGCTGTATGATGGCGACTTGTACAGAATCAAGTCTTGACCAGACAATCCAGTGATCTATATTGTGAGAACAGATCCACGCCCTCGGGTGGCGATAACACGTAATCAATAACGTCACTGGGCCTGATGACCCAATTCATTTTGGCACCTATGATGATAGTAAGAGGACACCAAATGGTCATCATACCTAGTTTAACCCGGAATTCCCTCGGGTCGCAACCGATCAGAGCTTGAATGAGTAGAAGTCAGAGAGACATGTGAGGTAATAAAAGCAACAAAACCATTTTCCATATTAATAAGAAACCAGAGTCGATTGTACGATTCCGACTATTTCAGGGACATGTGTTTATGAGTCTATCAAATACAGTAAACTTCGGTTATAACGAACTCAAAAAGGTTAATTTTAGTTCGTTATAACCGTAGTTCGTTACAAGCATATGTACAGCATATATATAACAAATGTTCGGGACCAAACAATATGTTCGTTATACCCGTCAGCTCTTTATAAGCGTGTTCGTTATGAACATAGTTTACTGTAGTGATGATAGCAGCTGTTTGTGCAGAAGTGAGCGTATCCTGCCCCACCCGTCACAAATGTCACCCACCTCACCAATCACCAATGACTGA